GGGATACGAAAGACCCAAAGAGTTGTGCTATTCATGCAGACTAAGAGTCGTAAAGGAAACCGCTCTCTCATGTGGAAGTTTGCGTCTTGGACCTCTTGAGTAGCAAAATACGACACGCAAACTGAGCAAGCTATTTCCCCCTCACCTACTCTCTTCCAGAAGCTGTTTGTTTGTGTGGGGAGCCCCAACGAGTCGATCACAGTGGAAAATTTATGATTATTACTTCATGGAAATGCAATCAGACTGAGACGCTAAGGCAGAAGAACTACTGTGTCTGCAGTGCAAAATGATTATCATGATGATTATTATAACTTCATGGAAAAGATCTGTTGCACTCAGTGATAGAAGCGTCAGGGCTCCACCCACAAACAAGGGGCTGCTGGATGAGAGTAGTTGAGTTGTGCTTAGTCTCTTTGCTAAAGAAATTAGTCAAAGTTAAAAAGATGTTTGGTGTCTAGTACTATGGCTGGGACCCTATATGTCCTGTTGATGAAGTTAGGTGCTGTTCTGAGCATTATTTGTGGCTGTAGAGTGGCGTTTTGGTTGAGGTTTGTTTATGGCTCCTCAGACCGCTGTGTATTACTATCCTGCGGTCGTTACTTAAGTTGGTATAACTAGAGAAGCAAGCAGTGGGCAACATTCATCTCTGGAGGGGGTGTCTAACCCGGTGTTTCGGTGTGTTTGACCCTAACTTAATTTTACGCCGGAATATCCCTTTAACTGATTAAACAGACAACATACAAAAATCCTTAAAAACACTCAAACCTTTCATCTACTGCATGAAACACTGCAGGGTTATCTACACTGCAAAAATGCATATGTATTTCTTCACATTTAAATGTAGCTTCAGTAGTATAACAGCTCTAAATACAAGTCTTCTTTCAAGATATTTTAAACCAAAGTTTTCTACATTAGATCCTTTAAAAAAGTGTACAACCCACTTTGATGAACACTTGTATGGTTCCTAATAACAATCTTCCGGTCATGACTTGATTGTACAGAGATTATCTATGGACTTCTAAACATGCTGGACTCACGCTGAACAGGTGCAGAGTCAGACTCACTTCATACATTAATCCTGTTGGTTATATTACAACAATCATCTCCAGAAAACACTTTACATTTTGGTACTCTACCCACCAGACTGATTCGAAGAATATCCAGCACTTAAGATCGCTGAGGTAAAAAATGGACTTGATTTTTTTCTGTCAAAGCAAAACCGCAGAAAAAAAAGGTTAACCTGACCCAGCACCAGCTAAGTGGTTCAACCCTGTATTTGACTTAATTTTACACGACTCCCTCTGGATCCAAACCGCTCTCTGTGGTGTGGTTGTTCCCTAACAAGGGTGTGGTTGTTTATGAACACACAGGGTCAAACACACCATTACAGTTGGGTCAAGTTACCCCAGTGCTGCATCTGTGTGCCACAAGGAGAGGGAGATTTGTAGCATGCAACACCTTGAAGTAGATTTAGTCTGAAGCGGTCCATTGGGCAGGTGTGAAATGATCAGGGAGTGCTGCTTAACAATAACATCCCTGCTGCTAAAAAGCCTCTTAAACAGTTCCCTCACTGCGTTCATGTGGTGTCAGAATTAACTGTTTAGTATTTAGAAAACTACAGAAGGTCATCCGCTGAAGTTCCAAACACTCTAAAGTAATCTAAACCAAAACCTTTGTGTTAGTTTAGTTCCTGCTTTGCACTATGATTTGTTGATCCTCTTTATCCCTAATGTGGCTCGAAACCTCTGTCTTAATTCAGCTCCTTCAACACCTTCGCCACTTGACTTTTACTTCACTGTTTCCTTGCAATAAATTAAAAAAAGTCTTCAGCTTTTTCTGGTTTCTGTGCATGTCTACACAAGTTATAATCATCAAGTGCTTTACCAAAGATATTATAACAGACATTTCTGGCAAAAGATCTTTCCCTCCTTCCAAAAGGGGAGTGGTCTCAGAGCCGTTAAAACCAGACAGCTCAGTGACAAAGCATTTAGATAACAACAGACATGTGGACACTTTGTGGCCGACATTAAATGTTTTCTTTATTTCCTGATTATTTTTCTGGGGTTTTTTTTTTGTCTTTTCATTTTGAAAGAACAGCACAAGAGAGAGAGAGAGGGGAAATGTGGAAAGACAACATACACCGAATAGCAACAGGTTCAAGAGTTGAACCTTGGACTGCAGCCTCCGTACATAAGAGGCCTGCTCAACAAACTGAGCTGAACGAGAATCCTCCAATAGTTTTGACTCTGTATAATATGTAAGTTTTCTTTTTGGATAAACTAGAGAAGAAACATTCAAGAGGTTTGCAACAGGAGCCCAAAACAGACATTTCCCAAGCAGGACACTGACCATGTCACCTCTCTATCTGCAAAGTAAAATGGAATTCTTCTTCTGTCCTAAAACAACTTTGTTTATATTCATCAAACACCAGAGTTTGTTGTTTTTTTTCTGCTGAGTGTCCCTGCCTACCCACACATATACACAACTATAGAGGGGTGGGGATGATGAAGGCAGACAGGCATCTTTCTCATGCTCATATTGATAAATCCCTCCAAGCAGCTTGGATCAATGTGGCCCCTGCTAAGATTAATGGTGGGCTGCTGAATCCTCAACACGTTGACAACAGCAGAACAAACTGTCAGGAGAAGGAGAGGAGAGCATGGAGAGGAGCAGGAAGAGAGAGGAGAGCAGGGAGAGGAGCAGGAGGAGAAAGGAGAGCAGGAGGAGGTAGATGTGTGTTACAATGTGTGACTGAAAAGTAAAGGGACGGAACGAGTAGGACAAGACAGAGGCCGTGGGAAACAAAAGTATGAAGGAGCGAATGACTGTTAGTCTAGCAAGAGAGAGATAACATTCTTAATCGTAATAAAACACACGGCCATGTCTTGACGTTATTAAGGACTTTAAAACACTGTTGTTCAATCTGCAGCCTGTGATAAAAGTGTAAATAGTAAAGGAGATTAAGGGCCAATCCCAACTGTCACTCCTTCCCTTTCCCCTTCGTCTTACCCCTTTGTCTTCTTCCCCTTCGCCACTCAACTCTCGCTAAATCATCATGCCTTGCTGCTTGCTGGCTGTGTCATGAGCTGATCTGATAATACCGGTAAACAAGCTGGAAAACAATGTCTACTATTGTCACGTTTAGCCATTGTTCGCTGTCGCTGGCAGTCACAGTTAAAAGCACTCATACAAGAATCGGGCCGGGTAATATCGGAAAAAGTTTATCACGTTATATTTTTTTCACATCAGTCAATGTCAATATATGTCACAATATAAAAAACAATCACTTGTCAATCTTAGATGTTCCCTATGGTTGTGCGTAGCTGCTGTCTACTACTACACAGTTGTTTGCTATTTGGTTCTAATTTCATAAATGATTGGTTCAGTGCAGTGCGGACCAGGAGCAACTCCTCATCCCATTGGCTATTTGTATAGTCTACCTAAACATGACAGAATTCCATCTATCAACAAGTATATTGGCCATGTTTCGTATTGATATTGAGGGAAATTAATTTTCAATATATGTTGTTATCGTTTTATCGCTCAGCCCTACACAAGAGCAAAGGTGGAAGCTCCTGATGGAGCTTGTACATTGTAGGTTACTAATGTACTGAATGAAGCTCAGCTGTCTGATCAGTCTGTCGAATCATTCATGAAATGCAGTACATCGCAGTAAAGCTTGTTTGCTGTGAATTTGTCACCCGAGTCTGACATCAGCGTGCTATGATTAGCCATAACTTCATTAGCTAGCTCGTCATAATGAGCAGTTTTAAAACGCAAACAATTCAAAACATTGCTAATATTCACGTGGAGGATTGAATATCTGATAAAAACATAAGTGTTGTTACTATGAAAACTATATCAAAATCTTAACCCCCTTGCTTCAAATGAGGTCCCCCCTTAACCCCTTACCCTTAACCTTACGGAGAACCACTTCGCTTCACGACGACGAGCAAAACCGAGGGCTAAGGAGTAAGACGAGGGCTAAGGGGTACAATTGGGATTAGCCCTAAATCTCTAATTTATTTCTGACATCCACCAAAGCTGTAAACCTGGGGGAAACAGTTTGTTGTATTATGTTAAATGAAAAAATAAAAAATAAAAAATAAAATAAAAATATCAACCGACCTGTTCTCTCATTATTGGTATCAGCTTTGTTAGTTGAAAAACTACAACGGTCGACTGATCGCAAATATGCCAAAAAATTATAACCAAAACTAAAACTAAACAATAATCCTGATTATCTTACAGCTCGATCTCCTGCAGGCAAAACGCACCTCATGTCTGCATGTCCACACAGGCTACCGTAGTGTGCATCGTGTGTGGAAGCTGCAGGCTATTGGTCAATTCTCTATAGTAGTTAACTTATGTCTGCTCGCACAGGTTTGCACGCATTTTAACGCTGATAATTAACCTTTTTTGATTTAAATGAAGGGTCTGAAAATGCTTATGTGTAAAATGAAACCCCTTTATTTCTATCAACAGATAAACCAGTTTAAACTCCAACCCTGGACTGAAACTCATTGCTTCTGCTCAGTTGTTGTGCACACCCGGACACATTGAGTTGATACAGAAGAGAAAATGTTGATATTTAAAGCCAGATATTCTCCTGATAGTCGGGACCGAGGACCTGCGATAGACCAGGAGAACCTGAAGAGTGGGCTCACAAACAGGCATGAAACGAAAGTGAAAAAGAGATAACGGCTGCAAACATCATTACAACATCTGTGCATCTGTCCTGATAATAGGATTAAAGAATAAAATGGAAGCAGGGGGAGACGAAGAGTGTCTGTCAGTCTCCTGGCATGCTTGCACTTCATGCTGTCTGCCATGGAGATGATGATGATGATGATCGCCTCAGTCCCCCCAAAACAAGCCTTACCTTTCTCAGTCTTCCAGTCCTTTTTCTTTTTGCTCATGCTGCCGGAGTGGTTTGACTTCGAGTGGTTGTTTTTTGACTGTGGCAACCCCAGGCTCACAGTGAATAGTGTTCCGCGAGGAAAAACTGGAATGGAAAGTCAAACAGCCCCTGGACGGTTGTCTCACCTGTGAAGCTGTCAAATTTCTATGGACCTCAGACGGCTCAACCTACCGTGAGTGCGCCGTAAATTATGTGTACGAATCCTGGGCGATTGATTGGCTAAAGGGAAGGCGGAAGTCAGCGCGTGATTGGCGGAGGTGAAAGTCAGTCAGATGAAGTTCCACGCGCTGGGGGAGGCAGGGTAGGTAGTTCCTGAAGGTTCCTCCTCCTGGCGTGTGAGAGAGGCTGGTAACGCCGGGCTGCTGGATGTAAACTGCAGAGAGGGAGAGTGAGTCACTGCAAGAAAACTCACAAAAACACAATTATTTACATCCATCAGATAAAGTCTTTATACGAATTTGTTCTGCATTAAAAATGACAGGGATTTTTGATGCATTTTAGATGCATTTTAATTCATTTAGGAGAAAAAGGTGCTGGATGCTGGTGATTTATGATTTTAAAAAATAAATCAGGAGAAGGCATATCTAAAAAAAATGTAAATTTGTTTAATTTATAAATAAATTACAGTTGTCTAATATAAAGATCAATACCATCCAATGCAATCTGATTTAATAAAGATATATCAAGATGAAATAAATTAAGACAAAATGTGAAACAATTTGGTTTTAGACATATACAATATATGCATGAATGAATGAATGATTTATTTCAGTATAATATGACAGAAAGGATGTCGGTAGCAGCAGAGCATAAGCAAGGCATAAGCTAACTAAGCGCCTGCTTAGGGCCCCGCGGCCAGTAGGGCCCCCCAGAAGCAATGGGAAAAAAAAAATATATATATATATATATATATATATATATATATATATATATATATATATATACACACACACACACATATATACACATATATACACATCATACAGAAAGCATCACTCATACATGCTAAATGTATGAGTGATGCTTTCTATATGATCAAATATATATTATTGAAAAAATGAAATAAAATTATGTAAAAACATTTTAGTGTCAAAGCTCCACTACTGTTATGTGCCTTCTGCCGTGTAATGTGCACTGAGCATCCAAAGCACAGGTAGTTGTGGGGCAAAAAAATGGTGCAAAAAAGGGCATATCCTTCAGGAGGAGAGAAAAGAAAGAGGAAGAAGAGAAAAAATGCAAGATAAAGGTATTTTTGCATGTCATGGAATGTTAATCAAAGAGATTTGTGAATGATCAACAATCAATATTATTGGCAAAAATAGAGGGCCCCAAAATCAAATTTTGCTTAGGTCCCCATCGAGGCTTGAGTCGGCTCTAGGCAGTAACAATGCTTATAAAGATGCTTTACACTTTATATTAATAATCATACATCATTTTCTCTACAATATTGAGAAATAACATTATTCTTGTTAAGTCTCTTAAAGCTCACCAGAGTACTACATTTTCTCAATTCTAGAGCAACAATAATATCAAACAATAAAAAAATGTAAGCTTAAAGAAAGCCTCAGGGTTTAAAAAAATTGGTGATTGTTTTAAATCTTCATGATGTAGTTTATCCTTTATATTTGATGCACACTTTGGTTAGTTGTATGTCAGTAAAGTCCACTTTTTCTACCTAAATAATCCCCCTACAGACACAGGAGTACACACAGATAGATATCAGCCTGGCCTGGCTGGTAGCAGAGGACAGGATCTCTCAGGATGGACCAGATCAGAGCAGTAAGTCAGGCTGTCATATGTGAGGCGGGTTCCAGAGACCACCGTCTGTCATCTGTTGTGTTAGCTCCTCTCCGGCCCAAACCCATCTGCTCCTGGAGCCGCTGACATTATAAAAGAGTGGAAAATCTCTGCCATCCAAGCTGTAGTCTGATCCAGATCCAGATTTTATTTTCATGGAATACATCCAGTTTACATGTCAGCAGTTCAGGCTTTGCAGATGACGAGAAAAACGTCGGTATTAGTACTTTAAATAACATCCACAGTCGACTGATAGTTAAGATAGACGGTATGTAATCTTTGTTATTTAAAAAGTCAGATGAAAAAAGTGATTAAGAAACCCTCTGACAGTTATATTGACGTCAAATTATTACATTCAACTGTTCCACTATTTTAGGAAATTAATACAAAATAATTCTCTCTATTTGTAGCTCAGATTTTTTTAACTACACTGTCGGTATTAATGTAAACATGATGATTGTTCGCCAGGACAAGTAAATCCAGTGCCTTCATTTACCCTTCACCCAAAGCAGAGGTATGATTAAAATGAAGTTGCACCTGTTTCTCCTCTGCACTGCTCAAACTAAACCACTAGATGTCACTCTTGTTATGTCATTTGCGGTTTATCAGGACATAAAAATTTGTTCAGAGAAAAGAAGTCTGGGATTGATGATAATTACAGTGATGGCTTTACACTTTCAACATTAATACCCCTGCAATAAAACTGATGAAGATGATAGAAAAATAACAGATCAGCTAAAGTTAGACTTGAACCTACACCTGCAGCTGCAAGCTTTATCGAGCAAAGTGTGCTCTGTACCTGCTGAGCGACCGGCCTGCTCCATGTTTGGGTGAGGTGCTGCAGATTGGGAATGAAGGCACTGGCAGTTTTTGTAATCCTATCCTCAGATATTTGCCCATAATTATTGAAGACTGTTTAATATTTCCTCTGTGGAGTTATCACTCTGCAGGTGATGATAAATACACTTAGAAAACAAACAGCATGGCTCAGGGGTTACTGTTGCTGACCTGCAGTCTTGAGGTTGTTGAATCAGATCGGATGGCTGGGTTGTCCTTGTGTGGAGAGGTGATTCTGGTTCTGCTCAAGGTTTCTGCTTGTGAAAGGAAGTCTTTTTCTTCTTCTGGACTGAGATGAGACAGAGTCCTGATTGTTTCTTTTTGTGAAGTATCTTAATATGTTTATTTAAAATTGGCTCTCTGTAAATAAAGATTGATTGATTGATAGTCAGTAGAGTGAAGTTTAAACTCGTCTGGCTATTTCTCATTCTGCATTTCCAAGCAGAAGTGGGAAGACTGACTCTTATCGCTATGGTTACAACACAAGTGAGTTTATGCCGCTGGCTGTACCTACAAGTCATCAGTAGGATGTCTTCTAATCTATTGTTGGCTTGAGAGATCTGTTTTCATATCCTATTATAATCACAGCAACATGATTACAGCGAGCAGCTCAATTATCTGGAGAAGAAAAAAAAAACACTAAATTACTCCCAACTTAAAGTGAGCCCTGAGGACAGGAATTACACTAACAGCAACAGTTGTTTATATGAGCTCTTATGTCAATACCAACTAATCCTCTGAAGACTTTTACAGACTATTTGGCTATTTAAAGGGATTATATCATCACATCTGTCTAATGATAAAAATCATCATTTGTTTTTAAGAGTAATGGATGCTTTTAAAGCTTTAAGATGGGGCTAAATACTTTCACTTCGTCTGGCTCTCTAATCCAGACTTGATTCTACGTGAAACATCGTCCACTTTATTTCACTAAAGCCTAAAAGTATGTCATCCTTAATGTTTTTTTACAACTTTGATCTCATGTTTTAGCTGAAATTGAATGTTTGAAGCCTTTTCAGAGTCTGTAATGGTTTTAAAAAAAAGTGTAATTGCTTAATTGCTTACAGCTGTGAGAACTTCTTTTGATTAGAAAACCACTCATGAAAATGTTTGGATAGCTCCTTTTTCCTGCAGTATCAAACAGAAAAAATGTGTCTTATTTTGCGATCAGCATCCAGAAATAAACTCTTTGGTTGTACGGTCAGCGATTGATACATGTTGTTTGATTCTTCAGATGCCTTAACATTTATAATTTTGTTTTTATTTTTATTTTTTTGCTCTTTTCTCTATAATTTACTTATTTCTAACCCTGACCCTGTTTACTCCCTGATTACCAGCATTTCTAATCCGATCAAAGTGTCCTATAATCTACCTGTCAGGGTCATTTGTCTTGAGCTTTATTGTGATGCACTCATGTGAATGTGGTGGTTTACAGTCCTGTACTCTGTTTAGTCTACATCCTCCGAGCAGGTTTGTGGGGTTGGATTAAAAAAGCACCTCACTGCGAGTCTTCTTTTCCTGCAGGATTCCTGTGGCTTGTAGCTTTGGCAGAATGTGTTGCAGCAGCTCCCTCTGTTTATTTTACTCTATTTAATAAAGCCTCCATCCAGCATGTCTCTTCACACCAGAGCGTGCTCGCTCAGAGCAGCAGGAATTCCTTCCTGGTCGCTGGCTGAACTCGAAAGGATTCAGCATGGAGAGATGTTCAGATGTTCAAAGCGTGTGCCCAAAAGTGATCTGAACTTTGAACGGCATTAATGAGCCAACAGTTTTCTGGGTGGGATGTTTCTGCTCATGCAGTGTTGGTTTGCTGGATTTTTTCTGCACATTGGTTTTGGTATTTTACTTTTGAATCACTTGAAATTCTCAAGCTTTAGCAGAAAGGCTGAAATCCAGTGAATATCATTCAATTTAAGCGCCCTTGGACTGCTGAAATGCAAATCATTCAGCAGATAATGTGCATAATATTTTTGAGTCTTTATATTTTGGTCCTTGTGCACCAAATTTTCATACACCACATATCATTTTTGATAATATTCTGCAAGCTGTTGTATCAAATGTAAATTCTCCCTCTGAAAGCTGACTCCCTCTCCTCGTCTGCTCGTTCTGTTTCTGTAGATGAAATGCTTGGTGGCCATCTTTCATCTTTGCAGACAGGATCCAAAGAAAACAACTTTGAGCTCGTGTTATTCCACCCATTTAACTTCTGCTTCAATAACAAACAAAAGGCGCTGATTCACATCTGTCATGATACACTTCTAGATTTGAAATGTTATTGATCAATGTTTTCCTTTTTTGTGGTAAAGTGTGATTGTTATTGTAATGGAAATTAAAATTTTGAAATAATATGGATGTTTATTTTGGAGTATGACTACCTAAAGATGGTGTTTTTTAAAGACATTGTCTTGTCTAAAATAAGCCAGAGATGTTTTTATTGTCAGGCAATATTAGTTTTAATCTGTGAATTTTTTATTTCAAACTTTACTGATAATCAGTTCAAGATTAGACTACTGTAATGCACTTTATGTCGGGATCTCCCAAACATCTCTTAGTCGCCTTCAACTTGTACAAAATGCTGCTGCCAATCTTTTAAGTAACACGAACAGATGTGAGCACATTACTCCTGTCTCCTGAAAGGGTTGTTGTAAAGGGCTGTATAAATAAAGAACATTTACTTTTACATTCACAAAACAGTACTTTAAAACTGCATTAGACATGCATACAAACGTTGAAGTGTCGATTAATTTCATCAGCTGGATATTTCATCTATTAAATATATTAATTTTCATGTCTGCTACAATGATAAAAAATGAAGTTTATTGCATTTTTATGAATATTTCCTCCTCATAATAACAGACTTTTATTTTGTAACCGCTCCCTCCACGTGCGCTCGCGATCGCGGTGAACGCACTTCCTTAGCAACGTGTATCTGAACCAGGAAGTACTCTAGTTCGCTACTAGCCGTTATCAGCGCCGAGAAGTGAAAGTGTGTGTTAACAAAAGTTTGTTCCGGTCACATTTATCAGCCCAGCTGCTGTTTATATGTTTCAGACACATGTCGGGGAGCGTGGCGGTAAACGGACACGTCTGTCGCTGGTAGAAGAGGAGAGAAAAGTGTGAGTTCTGACTGTTTTAGGAGGGTTAGCTAGCTGTTAGCTAACGAGCTAACGAAAACATAATACTGAAAATATTCTTCCTCTTGTGATTTATCAGTCTTTGTCATGTTTAATAATTAAGTTCATGAAGATTACCGTGCGTGTTTAAGCACCTTAAACTGTCATGTGTAACGATAACCTAGCATTAACACTAGGAGGTGTTTAGTAAGCTGGAAACGAACGAGAGGAGAGCTTCATATGTCAGAAATGATCATTCAAACCTTCATTAAATGTCATTTAAGCTTTCAGTTAGTATAATTTAAACATTCATGAAGTGTAATTTAAACCTTTATTAAGTAATTTAGCATTTCAGGACTCTTAATAGTGTTTTTAGGTGACATCTAGTCCTGAAATGACATCCACAAACTCTCTTATTCTTAAAGTAAGATTAAACCTCACCTGTGTCCAGAGTCAGACACTTTTTTGACATTATACTCTCAGCAGTCAACCTGAAAACTCTTTACAGCAGGTACAACACACCACAACACAAAATAGAAAACACAGGATTAAGGGATCACTGGAAAAGGAGCTTATTTTAACCAGCTGTAAGTAAGTTAGTAAGATAAGATCAGTATAGTGAATGATACAGTTGCTCCCAAACAAAGCTCTCGCTGAACAGAGAAGGTTCAGCAGATCTCTGTATCATTGATATGAACTGGCCAGTGTGAGATAAGCCACATATAATCAGTCACAAACATGAACTAGTTTGCTGTCACACCTGCATTCGCAATCTGATTAGATGGGATAAATCAGCTGTACCCCTATTCTAGGCTTAAAACATAATTCACAGCAATAAATGTGCGTAATTTAATGTCTTCTGTGGGGTTAAACTTGAGTTCCTTTGTAGAAGACTGTCAGGAAAGCACAACATAACTTTCTGTTATATTTTTCACACATAAAATCCTACAGGTACACCTAACCTATTGAAAAATAATCTCTTTTAAATCCAAACATCATTTTGCAACTGTGATATTTTTTCAGGCCTTTTTCTTTAGTTTGATCAAACAGTTTAGAGAGAGAGGATCTGTGTAAAGAGAGTAAGAGATGATCTGCACCACATCAGAGCTAAACCAGTGCCCCAGGTTCCAGATTGTTTTTATCTATGTGATGATTTGACTTTGAATTTGCAGATTTCCTTTAAAACAAACCTTTCACTCTTTGGTCAATTAGTAACAGCTGAAATGTGTTTGACAGTTGTGTTTTATGGTGATGTTTGTGTTCCTTCTGTCACAGCAGGTGTTCCCTAAAGATGATGTCTTTACCGCTGTCTGATAAGCCATGATCGGCTTGTCCAGTAATGTGGGGGTTATGGAAAGTCTAAAAAATTCTGCTGAAGAGCAGCAACCCTCTTCTCCCCTCAACTCCTGGTCCAAAAACCAGGACTCATGCAGGAATCACAAGCAGAAACTAGCTGGTGGATTTGTTTTGGTGCATGCAGGTAAGAGGGTGGACCATAATGTATTTAAAGAGCTGAGAGCTTATTGAGAAGACATATAAAGCAGCACATTGTAATAATAAGAGTTAAATTACATATTCACATTCTCATATCTGTTTTTATTAGAAAGTATGTCTTCGCCTCTTGCATTTTTATCCATTACTTTATTACCTCTTGTACTCGGTTATGTGTATCTCAGTATCTTAGTGTCATAACATTAACAAACACTGGATCTATAATGACTCTTAGCATTAAGTTATGTTTAAGTTTTCTTCTTTGAGGTAAACTATCATCACATGTTGAACTTGTTTCTTTTTACCTTCAGGAGCAGGTTACCATTCTGAATCGAAGGCTAAGGAGTACAAGCATGTGTGCAAAAGAGCCTGCCAGCGGGTAAGTTTAGTTTACTAATAGAACTAACTGTAGTTACTGAGGTCTAATCTGTTATTTTTTACATGAGTAGTTTAACGTAAGTCAAAAGATAGAATAGACTGTCTTTGCGTGACAACTAAACTGATATAATGAGGTGGAGAAGCTTATACAGGTCACCTTATCTTATTTTACTCAAACATGTGATGCACATGTTCCATCAGTGCTGTTTAGAAAGTGCACGTTTGTAATCCTGTAATCTCACCCTGCATATGAGGACTTGAAACTCTGAACTTTTGAGAAATAGTCTGTCTGAACTTTCAGGGAAGGATAATGTTCTTCTTTGGGGTCCTCCTCAGGTTGGATGGGGAGCATCTGTGAACAGCTGTCATTGCACATATTTACAGCAGGGTTCCAATCTGTGTTTTGGCAGAAAGACTCGAGCACTTTGTTGTACTCGGTCTGAAGTCCTTCCAGTTTTCCTTTGGCTGTATTAACATCATTTTGCTGTTGGCGGGGACGTCTTTGTTCTTTGGCTCTCTGAAGCAGGTTCTTCATGGGAATGTCCTTGTATTTAGTTTCATTCATTGTTCCTTTTATTCTTACAAGTTTCTTACATCCTTACAGCTGAAAAACAGGCTTTTGCTGCTGCCATGACCCCCGCTGCAGGAATGGTGTTAAATGGTTTCCGCTCAATGTTCAGCTTTGTTTTAGGGCCAGTCAGTCTCTGAGTTTCATGCCTTTTTTTACAGCCTCATGGCGCGCTGTCGTTGTCTTTTTTCACATATACTCAGATATGGCAGATTTAATATCTGAATTGGACACTCAATGCATGTTTTTGAACATCTTTGTCCATCATTGGAACTTGCACTGTGGTTTAAATCCTAAATAACTCTACTAAGGAGTCTGTTATATATCTTATTTGTTTTTTCCTTTATCGGTAGGTTTATAGACCTGTTCGTAAACGCATTTGCAAACACAAAACCAAATATTTCTTATATCTAATCAGTATGTTGTTGGGTTCCTGTCGTCACTGGGTTTATTGTACAAACCCTGCCCTGAGTAATGGATGTATTTGGTGTTATAACTCGAGAGCTGCCACCTGCATAAAGATGTCCATGTGTTTTTATCTCCAGGCTGTGGACCGGCTCAAAGCTGGGGCACTGGCAGTGGAAGCTGTGGCTGCTGCACTGGTTGAACTGGAGGTTGGTTGATTGTGATCCGGCTTCGATTATGTAAAGCCCGTCTTGATGAATAACACATTTATATCATACATAAGGAAAATACATGAGAAAATGATTACAAGCCTTGATTGGACATGAAAGAAAGTTCGAGAAAGTGGGTTTTACATGTGTGTGTGTGTGCTGATCGGAAACAGCTTCTTCACACTCTATTATTTATGCACATGCATCCTGTTGGATGACATAACGGAGGATTTTCTTTAAGGCTACTTTGGAAAGAAAAAAGATATTAACTTCTGATTTCTCTGCAGGAACAAAGTTTTCAGAAGTGTGCAAAGTAGCAAGCACTTGAATTGTTTAAGCAAGATCAAAATATCTGCATGCAAGTCTCAGTTTTTATTATAAATACTCATTTTTTTCAAGTTTTTTTGAGGGCATTTCAGCTGAAGAGGTATAAGAAAAGTGGGGAGTAGAGAGAGGGGATATAACCTTGATGCATGGGGTGCTAGGCCTTTGTTTGTAAAACTGCTTCGATGAAAAATGCTGTAATTTGGTTAATGGAAGTGAAACTGGCCAAGTATGAGAAAAATTGTACTGAAGATAAAAGAAACAGAGAGAAAATATAAAAAAATTAAGATCCTCTAAGTTCTCACAACTACTAAAAAGACCAAATGAAAGCACATGAAAAAATCTAATTTAGGATAGATGGGCAAAGATGGGCACACGTCTGCTTTGGTGAGGAAATGGGATCAAATTAAAGCAGTTTTAGAAGTTTATATGAATCCTTCTTCCAGAACACATCTACACTGTGTAAAAGATTGATTTCCTGAATGAAGATTTTAAGAGAGGCTTGGACGGAGCAAAAATAAAACAAGTATCATGATTAGATAGTGCGGAGGACAAACAGAGCTTCAGTTTATCAGTCTCTTCCCGGCATATGAAGTGGGTGACAACAACAGGATGTGGTTCTGATCGTTATCCTGTCACTGAGGGTGCTGCAGTTTCTAGTGCATGAAGTTTTCATCATCTTTCTTTTTGTCTTATTATCTGTAAACTTATTTCAAACAGTTTCAATTCTTTTGTATAAAGTTGTTTCAAAGTATTAAAAGGACAAACAGTTTCAGCAGGAATCTTTTCAGAAAGTTTGACTCGACATTTAGACTCTGGTGTTCAAATGTCCCCAGTTTGGAAAAGTCCTTTCTATTTAAATGAAACTACAAGATACTTTTTCTCTAAAATATACACTTTGACAATCCATCTGATTACAAATAAAGTTTAACTCCAGACTCCGCATGTCTTTGATTGTTCTCAGGACTCTCCTTTTACAAACGCGGGCATGGGCTCCAACCTGAACTTGTCAGGAGAAATCGAATGTGACGCGAGTATCATGGATGGGAAGACACTGCATTATGGTGCTGTAGGAGCTATAAGTGGTGAGTAACCACACGTGTTGATATTTACGTAACTCTTCTGAGTTGTTGTGGCACCAATGTTTAGCCCAGTCTGTGTCCTTTGTGTGTTTCACTGAATTCCTCTCTACCATCTCAGAGCTTCGTTTGAGATTACTACAGGTATTTGGCATCATAAATCTTAACAATGAGGGACCACCTATGTTTTTTTTCCTGGAGTTTAACCAAGACGTGCTGTTGATATGTACTTTACACGTTACTGTAATCTCTGAGGTTTCTGTAAAGACTGTAAGAAAGAAACGTTTTTCCACTTCAGACGACCAAAGGGGGGAAAACTGGCACCTGACAGTTGGTCTAAAAGACAACAGATTGTTTTTATTACTGTGGCTGCATTATGTAACAGCCAGACACATGATTCTCACATGACAGATGGAGAGGTGCTGGCTTTGATATGGAAGCAAACCTGCCGACCTAAAAAAATGACTAAGGTGTGTTTAAAATTAAAAAAGCTTGGTGCTTAACTACAGCGAAATCTGGATAATAAGACACACACTGGTACATAAGATGCAGTTCAGTTTGTTTTTTTGGGGTGTCCTCCTTGGGGAAAAATGTAGGGCTGGGTGATAAACCGAAAATTTACTGATACTAAAATTTACCAACATCATTTTGCCCATATTGGTATATTCAGTGTCAAAAAATAAAGCTGGTTTTGGATGTGTGTAGGTAGGCTATGGTCTCATGTCCCTTTAAGACGCTGTCCAATATATCAGTGTTTCTCTCTCTCTCTCAAAGTTGTCTGAAATTGTCTTTTGATCAGAGCATTATTTGTTTTAAACTCAGCACCTTGACTTTTAAATACATGAGAGCGATGCAGTTGAACTGACCCGCCTCACTGTGTATCCAACAAACATTGATCACTGAAGCAGTCCCTCGCTTCATTCAGGGCCAGATGGTTTGTTTGTGTTTAGAATAAAAAACGGTTGAATGTGTTTGATTCAGGCAATTTGATGGTCAGTATGAAAGTTTAACATTCGTCGCTGCAGGTGAAGAAAACCTTCAAAGCAAAATATCCTTTCATGCGTATTCAAATTCATAAAAACACAAAGACATGAGCTTAGAAACAAAACTGTATTCAGTTACAATGAACTTCGACATTCATGTTCAGTTAAACACAGTGTAAGTGTTTAGATTTGTCTTTATTGTTCTCACATCATGCGATTAATAACTCTGACTCTCCCTCAGGCATTAAGAATCCAGTCTTAGTTGCAAACCGTCTACTGAATGAAGCACAGAAAGGGAAACTCTCAGCCGGCAGAATACCACCCTGGTGATTATCAGCATCATTAATTAGTGCGTTATCATTCTGACCTTGTGCACTTTTATGGATATCTCTTCTTTTAACCGTCGGTCAGCTTTTTAGTGGGGCGAGGAGCACACGATTGGGCGGTCAGCCACGGGATACCGCAGTGCCCGTCAGAGAAAATGGCCACCAGTGAGTTTGAAGCTGATTTAACGTGCTGTAGAATAAAAGGCACTAATGAATCTAACATCATATTACTGAGGATATATATTTATATATTTTTAACACTCACAGAGTTCAGCTTGTCTGCCTACAAGAGGAACAAGAGAAAGATGGAGCTGGCTGAGAAAATGGACCAAGGACACAATCAGACGAAGAAGAGACGACAATCATGTGAAAACGTGAGTCAAACTTCGAACTCTAATTTGGATCACCTGCTCATTATACATCGGCACAGAACCATCAGATGAACATTTCTATACCAGGCTGCACTGAAACAGTTTTGGTGTTTCCTCGCTCTTAGCAGCTCAAGTTGAGAACCTGATGGTCTGAAACCAGCTGAGAGCTCGGCTGAGTCACCAAAGGGCGGCACAGGAGAGGGTGGGAAAGTTTATCTTGGTTGGACTTTTGGCAAATTTGATGGAGTGAAACATGTAAATGCAGCCAGAACAGCTTGACTGGATGTGTTTTCATTCAGTGTTATTATTGAGTTTGGTTTAATTAATCCTCAATATTAATGACACGTCCTTAAAAATAATAGAATAACAACCAAGATGGATTGGTTGTTGACCCAATCAGTGATTTATGGTGAAGTAATGGGCTGATTTCTGCCTGTCACAGGGCCAGTTGTACAAACTTCGAGTGTTATATTTATCCTCTCTGTGTTTGCATAAACTTCTAGATGTACTACAGATTAATTCAGGGTCCCTCAGCTACAGTTTTAGGGTATTTTAACTTTAACTTTACTTCATCTTGAGCGTTTTGAGTCAGAATGTTTGCTGTTTCTGTTTCAAGCGTGTCCGTAAGAGACTCGAGGATCGGACAAGAGCTCAGTTTTTGCTCTCAGCCTGCTTTTAATTTCAAACATGGTGATCTTTTTATGTCTCTGTATTTCTGCCAAGCCATTAAGTCTTTCCATTCATTTTTGAAGACACTACAGGCACCTGTTTCGTGATGGTGTAAACCTGCTGCGTTGATTAGGAAAATCTGAAGCATTAAAACACATTTCCTAAGACGCCTAAAGTGGTGAAGTCCTTATCTCCTCTTTTTTATTCACTGAAGCTCGCTGATAAGAAACGACAAGATGGTCTTTGTAGCATTTGTAAAATCTGGCTCTTGTTGTTTTGGCTTTAAAGCCCGGAGATATGGCTGATTTAAGAGAGTACCAGACAGATGAGAAACACTGTTGTGCTTTTTTCACTCTGTTATTTTAGTGAAGATCCTCAGTTTTTTGGTGGGAGAGGAGCTCAGATCGGGTATCATGAGGCCATTTTGCACATTTCGCCTGTAGAACTCTATTTATCACGAGCGCTGAGTCATGGTGGTTCACAAACAAGTCTTTCCTAAAGCAAACTGCAATCAGGGAAGAAAGAGAGCTGATTGAAATCACAACAACACATCTCTGATGAAATATGAAGGCTGAGGGAGAGTGATTCATAAATGTATAAGCTCATGTCGAACAGTCTTCACTTCAGGATGTGAATGTTTGGATTTTTCCTCCCGTGTTTGAACAAAAATTTTCACTCACCAACATCATCGTCTTTTCCAAGTGTCCGTTTGTCAGTTTGTGTTTTTCTCTGATGTGACTCGTCTCCTCCTCCTCCTCTCCGGGCTGCAGGAAAACGGTCCAGGCTGCCTCGACACAGTGGGAGCTGTTGTTGTGGACCTGGAGGGGAATGTAGCTGCAGCAGTCTCCAGTGGAGGCCTCGCTATGAAACACCCCGGCAGGGTCGGGCAGGTAATCCAGCCGCCTTCTATCTCTGCCCGTGTCCTCACCCACACAGCAGGGTCTGTGATCACAGTTTTTCCAGGTGGACCCAGGCTTTTATATGAGGTGGTCAATCTGACATGTTTAATGCTTTTGGGGGCACTTTTCGAGAAATAAGACGGTGGATAGAGAGGGGAATTGGGAAGGGAGACAGTAAAAGGTTTAGAGGTCGGGCTCAATTCCAGGCTGCTTGTTTCAAAGCTTATGATCAAAGGCTCTGAGGTTAGGTAAGGATATGAAAGTATAATTTCATGCAAGAGGGATATAAATAAGTAGGAAACAAGGAAATATCTCTAATTCAATTACAATTACAATGTCATTAAGCAGACACTTTTATCCAAAGCGACGCACATATGCGATATACGCCAGTGGAGGACACACACTGGGAGCAAGGTGGGATAAGAGTCTTGCCCAAGGACACAACAGACAGACTAGGGGTAGGGGGGAATCGAACTGCCAACCTTCCAATCGTTTGACGACCACTCTACCTCCTAAGCGACTGCTGCCCTGTTTCGGTTTTTCAGTTTAAAACAAAAACAAGGAAACAGAAGTAAAGTTTTTTTTTTTCCTCTTTTGTTAATTTTTTGTCCCATTTTATAATTTTTGTTGTAAAATGAAAAATGAGAAAAATCAACTTTTAAAAAATTGTCTTTTTTCTTTTATTTCTTTATATTTTATCCCTAGACATTAAATAAGGATGAGGGATGATCAGGTGACAACCAAGTCCAAGTGAAAACTTCAAAATAAAAGCCAGGGAACAGAAGGAACCATCAACAGACAGGCTTGTTTTTCTAGAGTGATGTGGTTTAGTGTATGTTTAGGTTTTACTGTAACACATACAATCCCAGCTGATGGAGCATATCTAAAGTCATCAGCAGAGGTCTCCACTCTCCAGGGTTAAATGTTGACCGACAATAATCATGTAAGTTGAGAGGCAGGCCAGAGCGAGGAAAGGAGGATGTGTCATACAGGACAACACAGCAGGTGGTCCGGTGATCATTCAGGTGCTGGAGCCAAAATCATGATCCTGTCGCTCTGACCTACCAGAGTCCTTGTAAATCATGCTAACTGATAATGCCTTCAGTAGAAAAACAAAACATACGAGTCCATGACTGTTACGAGAGGCTGCAGGGTAAAACAGTAAAAGATGAAAACTTTTCTCCATGGGGTTCAACTTGAAATTCGTCTAAACAAAACCATATGTTGTTGTTATTATTGCACACACTGATCTGATTGTACGTTTTTTTAATGTTTATAGTGTTTTAAACTCTCTGTGATTTCTGTTTTCATTTGTGGGAGCCAAACAAAGGACAGGGGGTTGTAAATGACCCGTGGTTAGAAACCTGTATGCATCTACTTTGGCAACTGCAAGAAGCTATTAGCTGCAAAAACAGCTTGAAACCACGAGTCAGTCAGTGATCAGCCAGTTACGTGAATGAATGAGTAACTTTTCCCTCACGCTGTAACTGTCACAAACCTTCAGCTCACAGCAGAAGAGTTTTATGTTTGGTATGTTTTTCTTGGGAGTTTAATGATTTACAAATGTAGCACAAATCCATGTATCAAGACTGTAATTTTTCTTTGATGCTCGACTCGAACTTGTGGGAGGATTGATGGTCTTTTTGCTCTTATTCCCAAACATGAATATTTTAACAAGCAAAATTTCTTGCATCTTAAACAGCCTGTTTTTCTTGCTTTTCCCAGGCTGCTCATTATGGATGTGGCTGCTGGGCTGAAAACGCCTGTAATATGAACCCTTACTCTACAGCAGTGAGTACCTCAGGTATACGCAGCACTCTCTCTCTCTCTCTTTCTCTGCATGTGTGTGTGTGATGGTCCTCTGAGCGCTCATGTTTACCACCAGCCTGCCTTTTGTTTGGGCGACGATATGAATCAGAAACAGAGATTTGATGCAAGTCTTTTATTTAGCCTCGGTGAGTCAGGCTTCAAAAAGCTTGAAAAATACTTTCCGATGACCTCCAACCATTCCCGCTGAGTGATTCTCATCAGTCACTTCCTCGGCTGATTGAGTCATCATTCCCCGCTCTTTGTTAGTCAGCTGCACGCCAGGTGCATCGCAAAGCTCTGCAGCTTTTCAGCGACATCTGACATGGGACACCTGCTGTAGATATGATAGAAGAGCGAGAGCTGTGGGAGTGCAGTGGAAAGATGGTGGAATTGGCAAACTTCATGTGCAGATATTTACCCTCAGAAGAAAACTTGTGTTTTTGTGTTAGTTGGTATTTAAAGCAATCATGCTTATGACACAAAATCACATTTGCTTCACAAATCCCTCATTTTAAAGTATTTATTTCATCTTAAGATTTGAAACTGGACATGCAACTTTAAAATGAAACTGACTTCACTGCAAAGAAGACTTATGCTGCCACAGTGAGATACCCATCCTTCCCTCCTGCTCAGAGCAGTCATGCTAATAACACCCATTAAAAGAAATTCATCCTTTAACAGTCTGGTGTTAACTTTGAGTGTTATTCAATCTTAAAATAGGTTAGATATTATCTTCTGCAGCACTTTTACTAACTTTGAATTGTTGCCATATAATGATAGGAAGGTTCAGCTGCTGTAGTCGTGCAGATCTTTCGCTCCTCTTCAGTTCGTCGACAGCCTCTCTGTCATTTCTCTGACCTTCCTGCCCCCCCCACCTCAGACACTTTGTACCACAGTAATGAGTTATAGTCGTCACCTGTCACGCTCTCCTCGTCCTCCTGCAGCGTGAGCCTCAGGAGGAGGAGGAGGAGGAGCTGAAGAAAGGAAGAGGGTTGTTGTTGTTGTTTCCTTTCATGCAGAAACAGAGAGGTAAACCTCTCCGCCAGGCTTTACAGACGGATTTCCACTTAAAGAGATTTCACAGTTTCTGAAATCTCCTCAATAATTTATAACAGGATGTATGAGCAATCCGAGTTCGTAGAGCAGAGCTGTAATGGCTGCATTAAATTATACATTTTAACAACCCAAAGTATAAACTCCTACATTCATGTCTTCTGTCCTGACCTTAAAAACGTTGGAATAAAGCTTCAGCAGACAACAGTGCAAATTTAAGAGGTAGTTTTTAACTCCTAAACTCTGCCTTTGGGATGTTTGAGATTTATGGAGAACATCAAAATACATCCAGGGGATTTTTTTTAATATAATTGTTTAAGGATTTAGGATTAGCAAAAACACGTATGTTTGATGATGAAGTACTGCTTTAAAAATAGTCTCTACAGTCAGAGCTTTGCCAGGTAAAATAGGGAAATGGCTGCAAATAAGATTTAATGTTTATCCCAGCCTCTGAATTAAAGTTGTCATAATATTCCTGTATTGACAGTAACCATCGAGCAGCTTTAAGAGAAGTGATTCGATGTCTTTAAAAACTGATGTTCAAGAACATCACACCGGTCCTGTGATCAAAACTAATGATCGTTTGACATGCTTTTATTTAGGTATTTTTTCTATATCACATTTAAGTTGCTTTATATTCTACTCTATAAACTGTGCTTTTCTTTGAAGTGAGACACTTCTGGTCTATTTTCAAGAGCGGAATAAAAACAGTTAGAAAATATACAAAACTAGCTGAATAGTAAAAAAGAGGATTAGGGCCACATGAAGAGAAAAAAATAATTATAGAGGGGAGATTTTTTTTATATTTTAAGTTTCGACTATATTCATGTCAACTTTAATCTCGAAATTTCAGTTTTTAACCTCGAAACTTTGACTTTAATCCCTGTCCTGTAATTATTATTTTTTTCTCTTCGTGTGGCCCTGATCCTCTTTTGTACTACTCAGTTAGTTTTGTATATTTTCTGACTGTTTCCAGAAGTGGTTCATTTCAAAATAAAAGCGTAGTTTACAGAGCAGAATATAGAGCAACTTAAATGAGATACAAAAAAAATATCAAAATAAAAGCATGTCAAACAATCATTAGTTTTTGTTGCAGCGCTGGTGATAAATCATGAATCTGATTATTATTAGAAACAGATGATGACATATAAGGTTATGTTGTCTGTTGATAAAGTTTATTGCTCCTATTGTTTCCTACAATTCATTTTTAAGTTTTACATAAATATGACCATCACATTGTTTTTATGATAAAAGCCAAACGATTTTTCAGTTTAGATTTTAACTCAATCAAATTTCTTTCACTATAAGTTAATCAGGATGTTAGAAGATGCATCATAGACAAAAGCAGGAACTTGACACATCATGAGACGCCCAGGAGGGAGGAGTACGTGTCCCAAAGCTTTGCCTATCAAGAGTTTACTCCAGCGTCCCTTTCAGGACTTATATCTGCCGTCTCAATTAGAGCCTCTTTCTTCTCGTACACATTTAAACGACATTGTTTCCAAAACTGACGGTGCGTGCCTCCCGTCGCTGAAAGCAGCATCGCCGGTTGGAGCTGTATGGTTTGAATGCACGGCTATATTAGGCCACTTCTTTATGATGTGCAGACGTCTGCGACATAGCTTCTGGGGAACATTAAGACCTTTTGATGTGGATCTGTAGCCTAATGCATTTCAGTGCAGAGGAACTGATTTGACCAGACAGGCCGAAGCTTGACTCACATGTACTTGGGACAGACGGCGTTTTGCTCTGCTAAAGCTTGTCTGAATTTATCATCACCAGCAGTCAGGGAGACAGCGAGCGGAGTGCATCAGGAGTGACACTCATCCTGACCCGATTATTGTGAAGAAACTTCTCTTACAGCTACTCTAGTGTCTCTATCTCTAGGTTTTGAAAGGATCCAGATTCGAGGAGATTTGAAACAAGCCGTTAAACCAAGTGATAATCTCCCGCTCATCATTTATCCCAGCAGATGAGGTGTAGATTTTTGCTCAGCATGAATTTTCACCTCATCCTGTTTTCCCATACTGCGGTTCCTCCTTTGATGTTACAGAAAAAAAAAGCTTCCCTTATGGAGAGCATAATGTGTGTTCCAGTGCAGCACCTGTTTTTAATTTCCCAACATGAAAGGCATTCCCATCAAAAGACACAGAAAAACAGTCATTTTCACTCGGACATGAGGAGCATGATCCTCACTCTTCATGTCACTCCTCTCTGTAATGTGCAGCTCATGTTAGTCGTAGTTTTTTTTACGCATCGTCTCCTCCGTCCAGCCTTCACTTTGCTGGATCCCATGTCTGCGTTTCTTGGCCTCTCTCTCCTCTCCTGTTAAGTTCTCGCTCTCTCTCTCTCTCTCAGTCTGGGCTCCTCGCTGCAGTTTCCGTTAAAGTGTGTTTGCGTTGCCATGTTCGGTTCCCTGGGACAGAGCGGGTTTACGGTAACACGTTACAAAAGGCAGAGTACCTGGCCAATCTGACATTCTGCTCTCGTTAAATAAGAACTTCCCGTGGCTGCAGGCGGCTGGTCTCCACAGTTACAGACCTGAATCCAGTCTTGTTGTAGTTACCTGATGTTTTATTGGGCCCTCATTTGTGTTTACAGAAACAACAAGGTCATATTCTTCAGTCTTTATGGGTTTTCACAGGAGCTTTTGCCAGACATTCTTTTGTTTTTTCTTTCTCCTGAGTTTGTGCAGACTTCACTTTAGAAAAAGATTCATAGCAGGCGTGCACACCGAACTTCACATCCCTCTTTCTTTAAAGCAAGAAGAGCGTATTTGATTTTGATTAAGTAGCAAATGTTCTCACATATATATTTAACTGAACACCTACTATAATTTGTCCTGAAGGTACTTGAGTTTGAGGTGAGATATCTGCACAGGCTGCCCGTGCTTTTTTTGTTTAACTTTACTGCCAAATGAAATGCTTTGTGTTCCGGATGCGAGATATCATCAGAGTAATATTTCTGGCAGCTAAAAACCTTAAAAACAGTTAATTTTGTCAGCAGATAGGAACATTTCTGTTATGTGTGCCAACATGTTGGCTCCTCACTTCCGATGGGATCCAAAGAATCCAAAATTTACACAAAGTAAATCTGACAGGTCGACAAAACTACAGAAGTACGAAAATGAATCAAACTTTTCGTGCTGAAATGATCATGTAAGGATTCAGATGATCAGGCTTTGGCACATATTTAGATTTTTTACAAAAATTTTATGACGCTTGATTTTTCCATGCACTGATCAAACATGGTTGATTTTATTTTGGGTTTACCACTACAGCCGCTTATGTCAACCTGCAACTGTTTAATGTCTTCTTAACTCTCAACTATTAGTCAGCGGTCTAATAAAAATAGTTTCATCTTGTTTACTGTCCGCACTTGCACAAACAGCTCTTGTGGCGTGTGGTCATTCCACCTAACTGAGAATTAAAGTATATCTATTATAATATACAAATGATGAGGAATTCACATAAAACCGGAGCAGAAAAGTCTAATAGGGACATTTTAAAAGTGTGGGCACACAGGCAGAGAGCGCAGAGAGGTTTACAGAGGTGGTATTAATTCTGGGTGGTTTCTGTTTCAAATTCCAGGACCAGCTGTGAATCTGGGCAGAGAAATCTGAACGAACGAGGAGGAACACAAACCCTCCTTCTCCTTCAGCAATTACTGTCAGTGTGCCCTTGAGCAGGGCAGCTGCACTTGGCAGCAAAGAGTTGATTTCATCCTCACCTGGAAAAATAAAGCTTAATGTTGCTGAAATGACTGCAGTAGCGCTAAATCTTTTATATGAACTGAAAAAGTAAACTTCTTAATTTTGTCGTCTTTACCACCACATGAGTCTATAACAGGATTGGTTGGAAAAATGTGATTGTTTTAGCAAGTGAAGAAGTGTAAGCATCACTAATGGTGTGAGGAAGTCAGCTGGGGTTAGTGTGATAAACCGGGTCAACGGAGGTGTGCCACAAGGCTCAGTTTTAGGCACAATGCTTTTCATTATTTACTGTACATCAACGACACGGTTTTCTATCTAAATGGTTGTTATGCCAATCTTTAAGCAGAGGAAGCTTTTTTAAATTGTACTGCAGATTCTATTCAACAAGCCATGAATAACCTAAAAAAACAAGAATTTTTCATTAATTTTAATCCTCCGGGTCAAGTCAAATGGAATTCATGATTTCGAGGGTCAGGAACATTAATTATGAAAACATTCCTTCATTCAATGACTTAAAGTTTCCAGATTTATCAACTTCAGATTGAGACTTAATGAGGAATTAACACTTTGACATCATGTGAACTCTCTCGCCCCCAAGTTTTGGCAGAAAGTTTACGTCTCAAATAGGAAAAAAAATCCAGTTTTTATTTGTATTATTTTGGAGGAAGAGCAAAATTCAAGATTAAAGATTAAAGACTGGTTTATTTGTCATATGTAAGGTAAACATTGTCAACAATGCAATGGAATGCCCTGAATTCAAAGAACCGCTCGACCCAAAGAAGTACAAATAACACGTAATAAAGTCCCAAGAAGAATATAATAAAATAAAAATACAAAAATATAAAATGTATAAAAGAAATATTTACAAAATGCACAAGCAATGCAGGAGCTGCTGTCAGGGTGTGAATGTATGCAATAGGGGGGTAAGTCAGTGGGAAAAATGAGGTACGAACAGATAATATTGCACAGTTATACAGCACTCAGTGGAAAAATCAGAAAAGCTGGACAACAGGACAAGACCAAGAACTGATACTGGATTTCCAAGATCTTCAGGCCCTCAGAAGGCACTGCATTAAAACCAGGCATGACTCTGTAGAGGAAATCACGAACAGGATCCAGATATCCTCATGGTTGACTGAGTTTATTCAGTCTAAAATCTGATTTTCACAAATGTGCTCTGGATTTTTGGATGTGTGTGCTCAGTGTGTGTTACGTTGAACTCACTTGATACTCTCTGCCCTTTCTTTCTAGCAAAGAAACTCAAGTTCACACGGTTTTGTGTTGTGTTGTGTTTGTGTGTCCTTCCTCAGGCTGTGGAGAGCATCTGATTCGCACTATGCTGGCGCGGGAGTGCTCCGCTGCCATGCAGTCTGAGGATGCCCACCAAGCACTGCTGGAGGCTATGCAAAACAAGTTCATCAGTGAGTCATCCGCATGCTGCTATTCCCACTCATTTCCATACACACGAGCCTGTCAGCCAAGAACGTGTTTGCAGGAAACACAATTATGCAGGAATAGAATTAAACTGACAAACAGATGTTGCGTAACGTGAGGAATGAGCTAACAACCTGGAAAACTTGGAAATAATAGAATCAGATGAGACAGCTTTTGATTTATGGATCATTTTCATTGTCTAAACAAATGCTTCACACATCCCAGCTGACAGCCACAGACCGTTTGAGAGGACATAATTGCTCTGTTGAAGGTTCATGTGAAGATGTCATTTTTTAGCCGTGTTCTCAGAAGTGGTCAGTTTGAGAAAGTCTTGTTAAGTGTGTTTGCTGCGTCTGTGAATGACCGCTGGGAGAGCTGAGAGAAGACAGAGCAGAGGAAGAATGAGCGTGTGGAAACATGTGGTGGTTTTCTGCTGCCTTGTTTTGGCCTCCTTTAGAAGTCCGTCCCAGCTTGGCTTTGTCATGGACATCTGCAGCACCGAGACGTTTGGACGGTCTGGATGAAGTCAGTTTGAAGTTAATTCTTCTGTTGTTTCCTCTGTAGATGCACATTAAGTTTAACAAAGCCCCATAAATCCTGCCCGAGAAAGAGGAATGATGAACATGTGAGAGAGAGACGTGGAAGCCCCTCACTCAACCTCAGTGTTTTAGATTTGTCACGTTCTGTAAACAGAATATTACAATTACTACTCCACCAGGAAGTTTAGATGTACTCTCACGCTCATTCAAGGATGATTTATCTCAATCTTACCTGTTGGATTAGAGCCAATCGGGGCATTTTTTACTGGTTAAGGATCAGCATCTGGGGCCGATCATCTTTACATCAGTATATGATGGACTATGTATGGAATATATGCAAGAAGTGCTTTCATAGTTCATGCAATCAATAACCAATATTTGGAACCAACATGTATAAACAGTAAAATCGATAAACTGTCACTCAAACACAAATTGTATGACTTTGGGAAGAGAGTTCAGCTTTTTGCCATCTTTTGGAGCTTCTGCCGTCCACACTCTGCATTTCACTGCAGACATCTCCATGCCAAAGCTGTATAATGTCTGCAGACACTGCAGGCAGTCCAAGTTAACGCCCCCCTACATGGTAACAGAGCTTTCCCATCCTTAATGATAGCACATCAATTCAAAAACAGACACTGACTAGTGTGTCATATGAACTGTGCGATGATGTACAGAATAATGCAGGTTGTGTTTCTCCTGACATAAACTACAGTAATGATGTTTCACTGTAGTTTCATTAGGGCTGGGCGATATGTCCTCAAATCAATATCACGAAATATTGAGCAGAAGCTGATCCGGACTCTGACTGTAAAGAGACACCTGCAAATATTTTATTTTAAAGCATTATTGAACGACCTGGAGGCAGACACACCTGGATGTAGATGTTCTGTTTTAATGAACTTACTGACTTTCTCTGTTATGACACATTTTACTGAGTTGTAGAAACATGATGTTAAAAAAGAGATTTTTAATCCTTTTGTTTCTCCCATTTCGATAAAAGTTAAATAAAAATAAAAAATCCACATTCAGAAAAGTTTTAATCCCAGTTCTTAATCTGTTTTATACTGTAACAAACTAAGAGTGGGCATCAGGGTTATTATGGAGTGTTGTGGGAAATCATGAGCTTTCCGAAAACGAAGAACAAATCGGAGAACTTTGTGTGAATGCTGTCCAAGCTGCACTCCCAAAGTGTTTTATGGAGTGACGGAAGCATTACAACATGGAAGTCCAGTCCAACAAAGAGACTGTGGCATGCAGACACAACTGTATTTCCATCAATAGCAGCGATGTTTAATGATGCTGAGACAGTTCAAAACATGCTGGAGCTGTTTATGGTTAGACTTTTTCCCTTTCAGCACACCGCATTAATCAGTCCAACTTTTTCTGTACACAACACCTCGTTCAACACTGCCGCCTCGGAGTAGGAAAGGTCCTCACACAACTCAGTCTTGTTTCATTCATTTGTAACTTGGCCTTTAAGGTTGAGTTTTGTCATCATGAATTAAAATATGGTGTTACAGAGATGTATTTGGACCTATTTTATGCGGAAATCTGCACATTGAATAGTTTGAAACGTGTTTTATTGAAGAGATTGTCAAATATCTCAAAAATAATAGGTCAGAGAAATTGCTTGCAGTTGTTTATCTTGGCTTTATCTTTAATAAGGGGATGTTTATCTTGAAGATTAAAAGGTCTGTGTATTGTCTCATATTTCTGTCTGTGTTAGTGTAGAGGTCTCAAAACATGCAGTATATTATTAGTGTATAACTTGTTCATGTGTTGTTTTCTCTGTTTGTCCAGGCTCACCCTTTCTAGCCAGTGAGGATCGTGTCTTGGGTGGAGTCATCGTCCTGCGCTGCTGCAGATGTGTGGAAGCTCCGCCATCTCAAAATATTCAGGGTATACTGGGTGAGACACGGATCTCTGCAGACCTGATCCCACTCAGACCTCAACATCACAGCCCACAGTCAGATATTGTATAATACGTCACCATATCGTTGGTATTTTAATAGTACTGTAAAATCCAAAATGCACCATCAGATGGGTTTAGAGGAGGGAGAGCAGACTCTCCTGCTTTCATGGGGGTGGTCTGGGTTTAAACTCGAACAATCAGTCTCTGGTTTCACACCTTTCATCTCCGATTCAAACCGAGACCTCCCACTCTGGAATCAGCAGCTGATCTTTAGATGAGGGGAGGCCCTGAACGCTGCCCAGTCCGGCTGATTGGATCAGAGTCAGACCTGGAGTTTCTAAAAACGACCTTTCCTCTTTCAAACCCGTCATCATGGAGTTGAACTAAATCTGAAATCTGTCATGAGTTCAGAGAGTGTGATTTATGATGGGGTTCAGAGTTGCCCTCTGCCCTGTCTGTAAATTTAAACATGTCCTATAGCGAGCGCTCTCCTCCAAAAATAACAAAGTAAAACTACATTTTCTCTCCCGACATGCTGATTTCAAATTAAATACAACGCCGTTTGACAAGTGAATTACTATTTGTATAATACATTATGCCCACTTGAATAATATAAAACACTCCAAAGTATCACTTACTCGTTGACGTATAGGCCGTGTTTGAGGCCGTGTTTGAGGCCGTTTACGGAGCGTAGAGTGTGGACTACCTCAGATTACTGTGGACGGCGAAGGGCTCTGTGTTGATTTACGAGAATAAACAGACTGTCAACCACATCCTTTTGGGGCTGTAATCAAGTTTCTGCTCCTGCTCGGCTCTACCTTCCTCTGCAGTTATGTCACGACTGCGAGTCATATATTTTCACGATAATGTGCATGCTCAGGGTTCACCACAATTTAGCACACTGAGTCACCTGCCAGACGTTTCCCTGTGACAGATGGAAACACACTGGAAGGAGTGAATGACAGCCAGGCCCATTTATTTATTATTATATAAGGTTTATATAGATACAGTCTGTTTATTATCCTCTTATTGTTCTTGTAAACTGTTTATTTCCACAGTGGAGTTCTTATGGAGTCACACCACAGAGAGCATGTGTGTCGGCTACATGTCTGCTCAAGACAGCAAAGCAAAGGTGAGTCCCTACGTTTATTTTACAAGTGCAATCACTTTGAATCCCAAATGTAAAAGAATTAAAACTGCTGCTGTTTAAGTCATGATGTAACTAAAAGTTAAGACTTAAAAAAAAAAATGTATATTCAATTTTTCCCGTTCACCATGCTGTGGTTCAGTGACTCATTTCGCTCTACAAAAACTCCAGATTTTTATCTTATCTGTCATCCCTGATAAGATTATAACACCTTTATCACACTGAGGTCTTTGACACAGTATTTACATGGACAAAACCTCATACTGACAAAAAGCACTGTAAAATATTTGTTTATCACCAATCAGTGCCAGGGACTTAAAATTGAATATTATCAGGTGTCATTCATCTTTCCTTTTTAATATTGTTTTAAATCTGATAGTCACCTGGTGAACGTTTTTTCTTTGGAAAACATAGTTAAAAATCCTCATTGTTACTTAGAAGACAGACACTAAAAGTCTCCCAGACTACAGAGACATCAATCCGAGTTGTGTTACAGTCTCAGTGTCGCCTGTTTTTTGAATTGAACCTTCTGAAAAATATTGCGCAACTTGATATTATCAGTCTGTTCACCTGTACAACTAAATGTGAAATTAGGTTTGTGACCAAAAGCCAATTCCTTACGATACAATACGAAATGGTACGGTATGATACGATAGGATACGATACGAAACGAAACGGTATGGTATGATACAGTATGGTAAGATACGATACGGTACGATAGGGTCTGATAGGATTCGATAGCATACGATACGGTACAGTACGGTACTGTACGATATGATACGGTATGGTACGATACGATGCTTCTCTTTTTCCCCTTGGGAAAATTTGTCTTGGACTCGAGTGCTGCACATGCTCAACAGTTTCAATAAATCAGACAAATGTTAAGTACCTCATCTCCGACTGACTTCCCTATAAAACAGATGATGTTTTAGTGGCAGCAGAAGGCAAAGCGAAGTCAAACCTCAGAGCAACAACTCGGCCCTTTCACTGTCTGTGTTTGCCTGCCATCCTCTTTGTTTGCCATCTGCCGGTGACCTTCACTTTTAATCAGAGGTCCAACTTTCTTTTGAATAGACGGTGCATTTATAATTTAGTGGACTACATCATGAAAGCTCCAGCTCGACTCTGTGAAAACTAGCTTTCAAACTTTGTGCTAAAGTACACAGAGAGTGTGACTTGAATCAGCCGGCGTGGCTTAATGCTCTGGTCTCCAGGCTGTAAATGGAGTCCCAGCTCAGATTGATTTGTTTGCCTAATGTATCTCTGTCACTGTGTATAAAGAGAGGGCACTGTTGTTCAAACCGGGTTCAGATTTCAAAGTGTTTACCCGCCTCCCTGCCCCCCTCCCCCCTTCAGCCGTCCTTTTCTCCTTCCCTCGGTCGATCTCTCTCCTCTTTCCTCACTCCCCCTCTCGTCCTTAAGTACTATAAAGCTGCACCACTGGGGATATCAGTATCTATCTGCATATTTCTATGATGTGCTCTGTGTATTGGGCTTTGTGGTGGAATTTGTGAGACTCCCATTTTAAGCCTGTTTTAACATAAAGAGCTAAACACGTCTTTTCTCTCTTTTGTTTGGAGGAGTTTGTTGTGTTTTCGTTGTTATATAACAAATCTATAGTTTGAAATCTCAACTCACCGGGTTTATACCGCAGAAACAGCCTCGATGGCGTTAAAGTAAACACCTTTGAAATCTCATGTGGGGAACCAGTCGCCCACCGTCACTTTGTGCAGAGTCTCCTTTTATAAAACTGAAGTGTTGGGTGGGTGTGGATGCGGGGATATCGTCTGTCAGTTGTGGTTTTTGGATCTCCCGGGAAATGGTATCCACTTCCTCTCAGCGGAGCATTAGTGACACAGTGATATTGGAGAGAGCGGCCAAGAACACAGCTGCTCCACCAAACCTCACACCACTCCATCAGAGACCAGAGAGCAGCAAGCTGTGGGGGCCAAGGCTACCAAACTCCCATGTGGCTCCGCGGAGCTGCTCTGTCCTTCATGGCTGTTTTGAGAGCATCTGTTCAGTCAGAAAGTGTTCAAGATCAGAAGATGTGAGCAGGCTGACGTCATTGGGCTTCTTTAGAATGATAGATGGTGTATGGTATCCTGTTAGGTCAATGAAGTAGTTTGATTATCTCCAAACTGTGCTGCTCGGCCTGGAAAAAAGAAAAGCAAAAGTTTTCAGTCCAGAGAGATGGAGATAACTTTAGTTCTTCTAAAATTGACAAGTCTTTGTTTTGTGCTGTTGCTCTGGGAGTGTTTCAGATTTGGCTTCGCTGCAGCAGGAGCAGTGTTGACTTCTCTGACTGTCTCGTCATGAAAACTTCTCAGCAGAGAAACAACGAGGACTAAAAAGTCCTTTGCACTTAAATAAGCAGTCTGATTAGTTTAGCCTGATTCAAGAACCGATCCCTATTTTATTACAAACAAATAATGTCCAAACTTAACCTTGGTAAGGCTTGACTTGAGCAATTTGCAAGACTCAGACACAACCTGATATCCGGTTCTGCTGTCCTATCAGGATGATGCTGAAGGACACGCCCCTCTTGAAGATCTCTCACAGTCCACTTCAGCTCTTGACTTTTGCCTCTTCTCACAGTTCATTCTTAAAGACGAAGACAACAGAAAGTAGTGGCAACCATGACATACTGCGGCTGTTGACTTTTTTGGAAACAACCCATTGAGCATTTTTTGGTTTAAAAGAATAGATAAATAGTTATCGAATAATGGGTTAAAGTGCAACGTCTAAATTCCTTCTAAAAATAAACAGAATCTAGACTGTTGAAATTCGGTCTTAAAAAAAAAATAGACGTCTAATAGCCGTCTATTGATCAGTGGGAAGGGCTGGTACTAGCTGGATCTAAGTCTCATCTGTGACTGAAACCTGGAGCTGGTCCATCTAAAGAGACCTTCATGAAGGTTGGAAGCTCTAAGTCACATTATAACAGGTAATATAGGAGAAGCTACAGGAGCTAGCCTTGGCGCTAACATCCAGACTCAGGCGTTTTCAGTAACTACAAAGTTGTGTAAAAAGTAACACCCTCAAGCTGTGCCGAACTTGATATCAGTGAAGTCCAAAACTTTCTGAAGAAACAGAACTTTGGACAGACGTCAGAATCAAATAAATCGAGTGTTTCTGAGCTGTCAGTCCTGCAGACCTGTGGGCGTCCCAAACCGACGTAATGAAAGGTGACAGTGAGTGTAACCTGTCTCCTCCTTCAGCTCAGACGAACTCTGCGTTTCACAGATACAGAGTTAGAGCCATCATCCACAGCCTCAGCTGCTTTTCCACAGACATTCCTCCCATTCCTGCGAGCATCCCACAGGGCCTTTCTAAGCAGCCGGTCAGAGCCCGTCTTCCACTGCTCTTCTGTGATAAGGACATGAAAGGGCTGATACACAGTAGCAGGAGTATTTAGGACAGAGGTCAGACTGGATTTACGCCGCAGCGAGTCGACTTCCCTCTCCTTTCGCAGCATTTCAGCCGTCAGATTCGTACGTGTATATTTCCTCTGACAAACGACATTTTCTAAACCCCGAGAACAATGAATCATGCAACAGTTCAGCCCCAAAAATGTGTTGGATGTCAGGCCAGTTTCTGAGACAGCGCTGGCAGCTCCTCTTGAGTTTTGTCTCACTTTTCAATCAGATGTTGTTTTTGGGAAAGGTTGAATCTGCATCGTAATTCTTTTGACACTCGGCTGTAAAATGGCTGTAAAGCGGAGGAGGAGACGGAGAGAGCATCTGGTTTTTATTCAAACGCTCACCTGTGTTTGCTCTGGACGGGACATCAGAACATTGCGCCATGTTTTACAGAGCAACAAAAAGCGGCATTGACAGGCCGGTGGCGGCGCTTCTGAAACAGTCTGACTATTGTTTTATTGTTGGTGGTGATTGGACAGATGAAAGTGGAGTGTAGGATCCGCAGCTCCCCTCCTCCTGGACATCATTACCACTATAAAGCGTCGCCTCTCACATTGTGTACGACCAGAGAAAATCAAATCAGACTCCTGTTTATTGTCCCCTTTGTACAAGACATGACAAATGTCTTCTGTTATGGTGCGTTTTGTTTTTATCATCCATCTCACATGGAGGAAAAAACAGCATGTTATTGTTTTTTTCTTTTTTGTGTGTCTATTTTAAAGAAGAGGAATGTAAAAACCACAACAGAAAAAGCGTCTCAGTCATAGGGCTAAGTTTATCCCGGCCTGGCCTGCTCTGTGGTGTTAATGTGAGGCTTCTCCAGCTCCTAAACACATTCATATCTCCAAAGAATGTTGTTTTCCTCCCTCAGATACAATAGCACTGTGTTTTTCACATTATGTTTTGACTCCGCCGAGGTCCTGTCATGTGGTCACTTCAATCACTGGGTATCACGATGACAACAGGCTCACTGTAGGTTTGCGTGTCTTGATTTTTGCGTCTTCCAAAAATTCGGCATTCTTTCACTCCTCTTTAACCCCGCAGACTTTATAAAAAGTTTGCGTGTAATCTGAAAATATGGAGTCAACAATAGGAGTTGTAACGTCTAGTATTATGAAACCTCTCATGCAAAGTTTTAAATTGTTCTGAAAAGTTTTAACTCTGGTGCCTCTTCACGACTTTAAAATTCAAATCATACCATCAGAGAGAAGATTTTTGAGCACTAACTCCATTTTTTTAAATGTTCCCTGCAAATTTGGCAGCGAAAAAAGACATTTTTCTGTTAAAAGGAAGCAGAGGGAGATTACTCTTTCACACATGGACATGGATGGCTGGAGAAAAGAGGGAAAAATTGCAGATAAATGCGTCAAGAACAAAAAAAAAAAGCAGTAATAAAGGAAATTTAATAGGACAAGTCGACCTTGGCTTTGGGTTTAACAGATGGAGATAATTGTGGGGATTTAATTCAGGGAACGCTGTTATTAAGAGCTAAAAATGAGGAGGACTGCACTGATCATAACAAATGAAAACGGCAGAAATGAAGCAGGAATATTTTTCTTGACTTATTTCAAAGAACTTATGGAGAAAAATGTTTGGAAATATCCTGAAATCAGATTAACATTTGGACGTGTCTTATCTATGTCGCTAAGATTGAATTAAGACAGAGTCACTTGGAGAGTTTTCTGCAGTGCAAACATCGTCCAATCAGCTGCAGGGAAACCCTTCACAGAGCTGTCCCACACATCAGCATTTAGCAGTTTTTAGTAAAAGTTTAATTAAAGATCAGATGATAATGGGTTCATGTTTGACTCAGTCATGCATTAAAGAGATATTCCAGCATAAAGGAATAGTCCGGCCTACGTCTCCACGCGCAAAACTCGACTAAAACGCCACTCTATATCAACAAATAATGCTCAGAACAGCACCTAACTTCATCAACAGGACATATAGGGTCACAGACATAGTACTAGACACCAAACATCTTTTTAACTTTGACTAATTTCTTTAGAAAAGGGACTAAACACAACTCACCCACTCTCTTCCAGCAGCCGCTTCATTGTGGGGGAGCCCTGACAAGTCGATCACCGAGTGCAGTGGAAAATTTATAATTATTACTCAATGGAAATGCAATCGAAGTTCTTGTGTTTCTTGTATGTGCACTGCAGACTCGGTAGTTCTTCTGTCTTAGTGTCTCGGTCTGATTGCATTTCCATGAAGTAATGACCATAAATGTTCTTCCTTGAGCTGTGGAACTCCACTGCACTCGGTGATGGACTCGTCAGGGCTCCCCCACAAACAAGCAGCTGCTGGAAGAGAGTAGATGAGTTGTGTTTACTCTCTTTGCTAAAGAAATGAGTCAAAGTTAAAAAGATGTTTGGTGTCTAGTACTATGGCTGTGACCCTATATGTCCTATTGATGAAGTTAGGTGCTGTTCTGAACATTATTTGTGGCTATAAAGTGGCGTTTTTGTCAAGTTTTGCACGTGGAGACATAGACCGCTGTGTATTGCTATCCTGCGGTCGTTACTAAAGTTGGTATAACTAGAGAAGCAAGCAGTCGGCTAAAATTCATCTCTCAAGGGGGTTTCTAACTCAGTGCTACGATGTGTTTGACCGTAACTTAATTTTACACCAGAATATCCCTTTAAGACTGATGCTGATTATGATTCACCCAAAGACAAAAACCAGAAACAACATCAGTTGAGTAAAAACATTCAAGATCTCACAATAAAAATGAGTCACTCTCTCTAATCTGGAAAAAAAAAAAATCTGTTTATTCAAAATTGTTTGAATTTTAATTAAAAAAATGCTGCAAATACAACAAGAGCTTTTTTTTCCTCCGGACGTTACGCTAATTTGAAGGAACTTTGAAGAAAGGTTTGGTTTTTGAGATTTGTATTTGGAAATGTGGTGGTGGTTTAGTTTTGACGAGTGTACTGAGAAATTTGATTAAAATAGAAACGTGTTGTTGTTGTGTAGTTGATGGAAAAAATGAAGCCAATACTATTTAGTTTAGAGTAAAAAATGAGTAGTAGAAGTACAGAAAAGGCTAAAAAAGCACAAAAATTGTAAATGAGTAAATGAGTGTTTACGTGTGAGTCAGCGTATTATTTGTGTGGCACGGACATGTGTGGTGTGACTGGTGCGTCTGAAGCCCTCCTCATCCTCACCACTGTGTCTGATGAAGGAGTTAAAGGCACGCTATGCTCTCTTCACACTGCGGCGCTGTAATTAGCCTGGTTTACTCTTCCTGCTCGCTCACTCATGCTCCGTCTGCTCCGTCCGACTGAAGCAGAATTAAAGATTTAACATGTGAGGAAGGTTATGAGGAAGGGTGAGGGTGAGGGCACAGTGTCAGACGGAGCTCCTTTAAAAATACATGAAGTCATCCAGCTCTGCAGGCTAATAAGGCTCAGTGTTGTTTTTCCAGCTGTGTGTCCAGCCCTCTTCTTCTCCTATCACGCTAACATCTAAAGGAAACATTTACCGTGCCACCATTAGTCGATTATGATCACTTAGACCTGGACCCTCACTCAGATTAAACGGGCCCTTATTTTACCCCTAACCTTTAGAAGATGAAGAAGAGCCCAGAAAAAGGGGTCCTGGAGGTGTAATGGCCCCTCAGAGTGTTGCCATGTGTGTTTGCCGTGTCTGGCTGTTGTCCCGTCGCGGTGACAGTTGCCCTCGGGGCGCCTGAGGGGGTGAACCTACAGAAAAAGAAGTCCAGTGGAGACGGAGGCTACTGTGACTGGAGGAGCGATGTCAGAGGGCGGTCAATAAGTGGGAGGAGCCAGAGTCACCCTCAGAGAGAAAGAGAGAGAGAGGAAGGAGGATGACGGCCGTTATTGGCACAGGGAGAGTCGGTCACCTTTGATCCCTCAGTTGAAGTATCACTCCTGTCTTCACAGCTGTGTTTGCCTCCTGCCTCCTCCTCCTCCTCCTCCTCCTCGTCTTCCTCCTCCTCTCTTTGCTCAAACACAAAACACTAGCAGTCTGTTCCCTTTAGCCTCTCACTCTTAGTCTCTCTCTGCAAACACTCACATGTCATTTTTGGACTTAAAGGGAACACGGTGCTGCAGCTTCAGTTCCCAGTGGACTTTTTGAACTGTTTTTGCCACATTGTCAACAGGCAAACAAAGACTATATATCAGGAGCTCCACCTGTTCTCATCTTTTAATTGTGTTTTTCTTGGATCAAGTGTCCTCTATCTCCTCTTTTGAACTTGTTTCTGCTCATTCGTCCTCTGGGATGAAAACTTTGACAAAATTGACCAATCATAAGGACTTTTGCAAATTTGATCTACCTGATTCACCTTTTGCTTCCATATAGAGCCTGATTTCACAATTCAGTGCTCATTCTTCATTTTTGTTGTTTTTAGAGAGTCTGAGCGATAAAACCAGAAGGCGTCTGAGTTTCATTGAGTGATTTGTAAAATGAAAACAGACTTATTGGGACTTTTTGGCGTCCTGTTCGCCTTCCTCTCCCTCGTGTAGCCCTTCAACCACATTTATTTCTTTCCTTGGATGATTTTTTCCATTGTCTTCATTTCTCACCTGCAGACTCACATATCCAGATTACCGCCCGGGACGGTTCCTGGACAGTGTCTGGCCATCGAGGGAGGTGTGTGTCGACTGATGAGTGTGGTGGAGTGAGCGGCGTTCTTCCTCCTCTTGGGCTTCTTCAGCAATATTCCAGTACAAACACCTTTCTTCCAAACCGCCCACACACACACACAGACACACACACACACACACACACACACACACACACACATTCAGCCTTCACCTCCACAGTACCTTTTTTTGATGCCAGAAGTAATAAGCTTTAGCTGTTTAAACAGGTGTCCAGGAAGGAGGTAGGGGAGTTATCTTCGACTTAGTGCACTTACAGGACTTCCCTTCGCCACAGTCTGCCTCCAGCATGCACTCTATGCCAGTCCCCTCCCCAACCCCACCCCACCCCACCCCCACATCTCTCCAGTGTCACCTGGATTTGACTTGATGCACCATTGCCTTGATGCACCATTTTCTCTTTGTTACTCTGATCCACCTTAAAGTCACTTCCTTCCTTTTTGTATATAAGCTATGATTTAGGAAAACAGGGTGGATGTTCAACTTGTTTTTTTCTTTCTCTTCTGAACAGATGTGACTTTTTTAAGGGAAATTCAAGGACTTTTTTTTTTTCATTCTTCGATAACTTTGAGTTTTTATTGAGGGATAGTTTGTGTCATTTGAAGCAGAGCTGTATGAGGTACCTTTGAAAACTTGGTTAAAAATCTGCAAGAGATGGCAGCTGGCAGTATTCCTGTTTGAAGGAGCTGTCCAGACTGAACAAAACTCCTGAAATTTTTTAAAAATTAACCTCAGAGAATGGAGCAAAGATAAAAAAGAGCAAAGAGAGAAATCTGCCAAAGATCCTCTGAGCTCGAAAGAGCAGCATCATATTATTTTGTTTTGCTTTGTGCCTTTTGTCCTCGATATAAGCCACAGACTCAAACAGCTGATTCGCTGCAGTGAGCTGCTGGTGTAGAAATACAAACGTCGTGTTTCAGTGCCAAATAAAAAACCCCCTTGACAAAAACTCCTGACATTTTTCAGCAGGGCTGCATACTGTATGTGAAAACTATCTGACGCATTTTTCACATCAGCTTTTTTTACCCGACCAGTCCCCAAATAAAAGTCTGCAAAAAGAGACCTGCAGTGTTCAAATGGACGTTTCAACGCAGCAGGTTAAAGTCAGGAAAAATCCACACTGAGCTTACCGAGTGTTTTGATTTCCACGTTGTAGAAATTTCCTCAAACATGATTAACTGTAGTTGTAAACATAGTTCAAGTTGCCGTTATAGAGAACTACTCCACCTCATATGCACCATCCATCCAGCCTACCCACTCCTGAAAATTTCCAGACTTTTCAGGAGTGCTGCCTCCTGTGTGTGTGAATAATTATGGCCAGATTTTCACCCCAAATTTACTCGTTTAATTTCCATGAAAAGTTTGGGTGAACACAGCAAGGTAAAAAAAAAAGTCTGGACATTTTCAGGAGTATGTTTGACTTTAACAGATACGGTGTCCTGCTGTGTGGTGCATGATGGGTAACTTCAGATGTCCTGGAATTACCCAGAGTTTGTGGGATTGTCCTGCAGCTAGAAATTTCATTAATTTTCCCTGAAAATTACTGATACTGGAATTTGCCAACTTCCATTCTTCAAGACAGGATGTCACATCAAAAGCGTGCAGATAATTTTGCCTTTTTCTGTTCTTTCTGGAAAGTTCTGGTCAATTTCAGGAGTTTTGCGCTTCTCTAAACAGGGTCAACATGAGCTGCCTTCTACTGTAAGTTATCCCCTCTCTGTCGCTTATCACCTCGTACTTCCTGACTTCACTTTATTCGAACTATCCCTTTGAAAAGATGTCAGATTGCACCTTGTAGACGCCTGCTACTCGACATAATTGTTCTGAATGAAGCATTTATAGCTGTGAGAGTCTAACAGTGATGTTGAAGATATTTACAGAGTTGAAACACAGATTCACTTCCATATACTTGTACACACGTTGTTATTAATCTTGCAGCATACTGTTTTATGTAGCATTACTGCATTTTAGATCCTAATGAATTTTATCACTATTTCAGCTCCAGAATGCTTTGCTTCGATTGTTTTTAAAAATGTGAAAACATAGATACTGCATGTAGAAAATCTCGCTGTAACCACCCCCTCTCTGTTTCAGGGAGCTATGCACTTCTACACTGATGCTGATACATTCTAGTGCTCAGGTAGCAGCATTCGATCCCACCACCAAACATGACTGTTAGTCCTTATTAATAATAACATAAATTTATATTTCTATAGCCACACTGACAGAGACATGTATTTTCTAGCTGAACGAGAAGCCGAACCTTACTTATGCATTGAGCCCATGAAATGGTGCTGTCTGTGGAGAGCTAAAATTGAATCTTCTGTTGAGAGAAAAACTTACTACTAAGAATTCCAGTCTCAACTACGAACCATATCAGAGCTAGTTTATTCTTTACTTGAAGATGCAACTAATATAAGACGTGATAAGCTATGGGAATGGTAATATGTGCACAGCTCTCTTTAGTGCTCAAAAAGTGAATAAAATCTATGTTGCTACATTTCTACGTCTCTTTACTTCTTTACGCTCCATGATATGAAACCTTTCTCCGATAAGCAGAGCGGTCAGTGTAAACTAACAGACAGTAGAAATGTCATCATGTGTCTGTGGATGGACATAAATGTGGAGGCTGGGGAGAAATTAAAATTTACAAAAATATAAACGCAACACTTTTGTTTTAGCCCCCATTTTCATGAACTCAAAGATTGAAGACTTTGACTGTGTCTGAAATGAATCACTCAATCCCTGACCCCCATATGGAGTTTCACTATATAGCTGACTATGTACTAGTGAGCTCATAGGCAGCTATATGAGCTCCCTTTCGGACATTACATGGCAAGACGCAATGCATGACGGGATGCCCACCACCGGTAAGTGACCATCGGATGGTCACTACATTTTGCAATGCTCTATGGGAAATTTTGAGTCGCCTATATGGGGCATTGGAATTGATCACTCAGGTTTCAGACACCCCTCAAAATAGCGCTAACCCCCATATAGTCGCCTATATAGGGGTTAGGGATCCTGAATAGATTATTGCACAGGTGTGCCTTAGACTGGCCACAATAAAAGGCCACTCTAAAAGGTGCAGTTTTACCGTAATGGGGACGTCCAAGGAGGTTAGAAAACCAGTCAGTATCTGGTGTGACCACCATTTGCCTCACTCAGTGCAACACATCTCCTTCGCATTGAGTTGATAAGCTTCCCTGAGATGGTTTCTGACAGTTTGAGCAGGCATTGTTTGGTCATGCAGACCAGCTGTTGCAGCAGCAGTCTGGGTGGCTGGTCTCAGACGATCTTGCAGGTGAAGATTTTGGATGTGGAGGTCCTGGCCTGGTGTGGTTACACATGGTCTGCGGTTGTGAGGCCGGTTGGATGTATTGCCCAATTCTCTGAAACGCCTTTGGAGACGTCTTATGGTGTTCTGTGTGATCAAACTGCACCTTTTATTGTTGCCAGTCTAGGTCACACCTGTGCAATAATCATGCCGTCTAATCAGCATCTTGATACGCCACACCTGTGAGGTGGATGGATTATCTCAGCAAAGGGAAAGTGTTCACTAAGACAGATTTAGACAAATTTGTCAGCAACATTTGAGAGAATAGTTTGTCTTTTGTGTAAATAGAAAAAGTCTTAGATCTCCGAGTTCAGCTTATGAAAAATGTGTTTATATTTCTGTTCGGTATCCACGCCCGTCAAGAACTGAAGTGGAAGATGAGTCTTCAGAAACGCTGGTGAGTACGATAAAACTTTTCAAACTTCACTTCAAATCCTTCCTTCTTCCTGAGACTCTTGTGACATTTTCTGACTCTCATTTGACTCTTAACCTGTGGTTTATAGAAACAAATATCTTCTTTGTATGCATAAATCTACAAAACTACAAATTGGAGGTGACAAAACTTTCTGATGACCCTGAGAAATGATTTAAAAGCCGTGAATTTAAGCATGCAGAGTTCCCAAGTGAACAGTTTTCCTCTCGCAAAACAAGTGTAAAAAGGTGTACCCCAGGGGTCTATACCGGGTCCTCTTCAGTTCAAATTAACACTGAGATGGTCACACCTTTATGCAGATGACATCATTTCTGTTTAAATCACTCAGAAATACGTCGCTCTAGATCATCCCTGACATCCCAAATCAAAGTTCTCTGCTCTTTTGTGGTTTCTTTCTGGTTCTTGCTGCTTTTCTCTAAATTCAACCTTTTCTGTCCGTTGCATTCTTGGCCAGGCCGGCGTGGAGCAGAGATGTTGTACCTTAACGGGCAGAAAAGGACATAAAATACTCAGAGATGGGTATTGATACCACTTTTATGGGTCTCTGGAGCAGGAATTTGTCCAGCTGCCAGTGTGATTCAGGAATGTGCGATAGAGATATCCAAGACGATAAATATATTCAGTGTTTGAAGAGAGAGATGCCTCTCTGTCAGAGGGATGGAGACACATATTTATGAAGCTCAGCCTGTCGGTGTGAGGTGTCTCAGCAGAAGGTGGTTTGAGGAGGTGTGTGTGTGTGTGTTTTGGTCCCACAACCCCCCTGACCCCAGCTGAGGGTCTGTTTTAATAAAGAAGTCCTCTACCTTGCCCCTCACCCACACTCCATTAGCTTGATCGTGTGTTATTATCACACACTCTCCTTTCATCAGAGCTGATCTGTGTTGCTGGGAGACCCTCAGCTCTATTCATCGCAGACCCTTCCCCTTCAAACATCATCCCTCTCTCTGTCCTGGATCCCCTCAGCTTTGAAAAAGGATCCCGGGTCTTTAAAAAGTGGACTGGCTCCTGAGCCATTCAAGGTGTATCCAATGCCTCGCGCTCAGCAAGGCTCTTAAATGCAAAACAGACGGTGCAGCAAATAAAGATCAAAGCGGCGGCCCGGCCCGCCCGGCCTGCTGTCCTCACATGCCAGGCGCTGCTGTCACAGTGAATCACGGCCATGCAGCTTCCGTGCTCATGCAGATCCCCCCTCCCTCACCACCTCAGGGCCACCAACCCCCCCAACACGGTTTCAGCCCCTTCATGCCAGCGTCTCACATCCACACGCACTCTCACGGGGTTAAAAGCAGACAGTGTTCAGGTCCGCCTCTGTCAGACTGAGACAGAATTAACCCCGAGGAGGCAGAGACGTCTCTGACTGTCATGCACATCAGAATTTTCCAGAGTTGCTTTTACCGCTCCACAAAAAAACAGCGAAGCATTTAACCAGCAGGACGGCTTTTTCTAAACTCTAAATTCTGCAGGATTAACTGAGAATTTAATGTTTGCTTTACTCTGCACTTATAACCTTATGCACGTCCACAGTGAATCATAGTCATTTTTACCTTGAGTATATTGCTGCAGATTTTCTCCACTCAATGCAAAGTCTAAACTATTGTCCTGGTTTGCCTTTCCGGTCAAATTTAAAACTTCTACTTTCCTTTTCTGCGATTATAAACGTCACTTTTGTCCATGAGACTCTGTACAGAAAATATCAGGCCTGCTAAAACTCTTACATCTTACAAACCCAGGTTACAAACCTTGCTTTGGTCCGAGTACTTCCAATACGGATACAATGAAAACTGCAGTTCCTTGAGTGTCCACTTGGGGCTGGCTCTGAAAATCTTTAAAGTTGTATTCACCTCCATTCAAAAAAGCTCTTATATGTTTACAGCCTGGTTTAAACTGTACCTTTATCGTAGGAATTACCTGAGAGTTAAAAGTAAAATTTTCTCCACTCAATGCAAAGTCTAAACTATTGTCCTCATTCGCTTTTCCAGTCAAATTTAAAACCTCTACCTCTTTTTTCTGCAGTTATAGATGCCACTTTCATCCACGAGAATCTGTGCAGAAAATATCAGGCCTGCTAAAACTCTTACAAAGACTCACCTTGCATAGGTCGGAGTATTTTCCGATACGGATATGATAAAAACTGCAGTTCCTTGAGAGTCCATTTGGGGCTGACTCTGAAAGTCTTTAGAGCCACATATACCTCCATTCAAAAAAGCTCTTATATGTTTACAACCTGGTTTATTCTGTGTGTTTATCATAATTTATAGTCAAAGAAGATGATGGATTATGGCCGGTGTGTTTGTTTTCTTTGTTATCCTCAATTTCCAGAAGTTTGTGTGAACAAATTCATGAGTGGGTGGATGTTGTTTACTTATTTGAATCCACATAAAGTCACTAAAGGACAGGTCACACTCACGCCACTTCACCCCCTTTAAAAGAGAAATGAGGAGAGTGTGTGACTCGTGTGCGTCCGTGCTTTGGGCCTCAGATGGCGTGGCTGCAGATCCCTGCAGTATCAGAGCAGCAGGGGTTAAGTAAGTCACCCTGCCTTCTCAGATGCTCCACAGCTACTTGACCTGTTTATTCAGCTGTACACTCAGGCACGTTATGCTGCCCCCTCCTTCCCTCCCGCCCGCCTGTCCCCACTCAGCCACTCCTCCAGTGACTCGCTGTGTCAAAGATACAGGCCTATAACCCGCAGCTCCACCCCTGAGCTGCTGGTCTGACACCGAGGTGAAGTTCAAGAGCGAGGAGATAAGAGAGCTGAGGTCGCTTATTTCAGATTAAAAGTCCAAAGTAGAAGAAACCTTTTAATTAGGTCTGCAGGGCCGTTAGTGTGCTGCGGTTTTGCGGGCCAGACACTTCCTGCATTGTGCAACACCACCCATAAAGAAGGAGAGAAAGTGAGAGAGAGAGAGAAAGAGAGAGAGAGGAGGAAAAAGGCTTTGCCACATGTGTACCACAAAACAAAGAGATTCCCCTTTGAAACAACATTTCACCAAAAGAGCTGAAGACTTTCTAAAAACACTTCAGAGGACTTTAAAAGCTTCTGCACTCAAGTTAAAGTTTTACCTGTTTCTTCTTTCACCCAATAATGGACCTGAACTTCAAAATAAAAGCATTGAGTGAAAAACAAGAGGAGTCTCCCCACAGAACCGACAGATCAGGCTTTTGATTTGTAAAGCACTTTGTTAGAACAATCATGAGTGAGTCCAGCCCTCAGCTGATCAAACTTTGGTTTATTTCTCTCTCAGATCCATGAAGACTATCAAGAAAGATGGACTCTTCAAGCTGAGTGGACTAATTTTTATATGAAGCCGTCAGGCAGCTGACACGGTTCCAGCATGAAGTGCCAGATCAGAGTTAACTGATGTTACGATGCACCGATTACTTGCATCACTCAGTGCGTTTACATGCACAGTTTAATCAGACTAAGCTCATAATTGTTTTTTTTCTCAGAATCAGACTTCGCTCCTTGTCCTCGTTTATATGCAGCTGAGAAAATTGAATTATTGACGTGAGCGTGTCCTCCATCCCAAAACTAGGGGGCGATATTGTTTTTTTCAGCAGCGTTGTTCCCGGACCTTTTTAAAGATGTCTCTGTTCCTCGTCTTGCGACCGTCCACATACGTTAAAATGTACATTTCTGTCAGGACGGAAGGCATAACGGTGCTCTCCTCGTCGTTCCAAAAGTGGATATTCTTCATGCTTCGGCCAAGTTGCAGTTTCTTCTGAGTCGAAAGTTCTTCAAATGAAAGTGACACTTCTTCTCTCGTGTTTTTATTCTGGGGTTACGGGGCCGTGCCGCACATGCATTGCCAGATCACACTTTGACTACACTGGTTACATGGTAGAGAAAATCGAATTCCAATCACATTATCTGGGTGACTTAATCAGAGTTCTCCAGTGTTTACATAAACTTTAGTTGTCCAAACTTAATTGGGGTAAGGCGATAATTTGGATTTCATGTAAACGTACTGACTGTCTGCTTATTTTTAACACAATATCTCTTTCTTTCCTTCCCTTCCTTCGGTAAGTACTTGAATCTGTTTCTACGTTTGTATCCTAACTTTATCTTACTCTAATGTGCGCTTTGCCACTTCTTGTCTTCGTTTATTCACCTACAAACCCAAAAGTGAGCCCCAGAATAGTCAGCGAACTGCTCTTGTGAAATAAATCTGCTGGAGAACAGCTGAGCTTTCTCTCCAGTTACTACAACAAGACTCCATCCAAGTTTCCCCTGCTTTTCTCCGCTGCTTTTCTCTGCTGCTTTTCTCTGCTGCTTTTCTCTGCTGCTTTTCTCTGCACTTACACTTGTTTTCTTTCTCCCACAGTCAGGCCTCCTGATGGGCTGAGAAATCCCAGAACCAGAACTGTCAGACTGGGTCTAAAACAGCGCGAGCACATCGGACATCATTCCCCTCTCATAACAAAAATAGAGGCAAAATACCAACAATCATATCTTCGTGATGCTTAATGAGCGCTTTGGGATTCTTGACAATAAACCACTAATGTGGTGCTTCGCATCCTTTGAAACGCGCCAGAGTGGAGGTCTGGAAATAGAAACACCAAATGTGACGCCCTGCAACCAAAGCTACAAGTTTCCCTTTCTGTACTCGCTCCGTCTTTATTCTACCTGCTCTTCTGCGCAGGAATGAAGTTTCTCTGGAGGAGAAACAGGAGATGAAAAACGAGGAGGGTGTAGAAGTAATTGTCTGCTCCCCAGACACGTGGAGCCTGTCTTGAGAAGAGATACTCGGGGGTGGAGGAGGGAGGGAGGAGGGGGGAGTCTTGGAGGTATGTCATCAATTTGAGCTCGACCCTGATGTTTCGAAATACAGACGAACACCTCGCTTTGATCTCCGCAGCCTGCTCTGCAGACGGCCTGCTGCAAAGATAACCATCCATACTGTAATCTTAGCCTGTGTGCATGCTTTACTGGAGACAGAGGACCCAGAAAGAAACTTTACACACTCTCCGTCTGCAGGGAGAGACGTAGATCTGCGTTTTTTTTACAGGAATCAGAGGGTGGGTTGTTGATAAAAGCCTGTATTTGGCATGAATAGGTTACTAGACGTGTGCAGAGGAATTTTGTATGAATAGCAAAGTGACTGGGCGGTTGCACGTAGCGCCTCAGGGTTGTTGGACGTGCTCGGGCCTGCTGCATTATAAAGACAAGCCCTGCACTCGGCCAGCTCTGCCGCACACAAGACTGCAGGAATGAGAGCGCCATGAATGGCTTTCTGTGTGTGACAATGACTGCGGCACTCAGCGGAGAGAGAACGGTCAGAGGTCTTTGCCACGGACAGGCAGCATTCAGCGCACGTGTACGCTGAGAAATTACCCAGGAATGTGAGGATGCATGCCAAAGACAAAGAATTCGAGTCGCATTCAGGGGAACCGTACCCTCCTCGCTCCTCGCTCCTCCAGGACTATCACAGTCCGGTCGGAGGGCCTCGCCTGAGAGCCACACTGCATGGAACTAATGGGAGTCTTGTGCGCTGGCTTAAACCTGCTGGAGGAGTTGAGCTGATGAGATTTTCTTCCTGCTGATGAATTTCCTCAAACAGCAGAAAGAAATCTGTGAGCAGCTGATGAAAATCCTGATGGGTTACACCCTAAACGCCACTGGAAACCCTGATCTGAAACAGCCATCTTGTTCAACCTTAGTCAAATGGCAGTTTGTTCATAAAGCACGCGACATTTAGCATCTTAATCAACCAGCAGAAGTCTGAGAGGATTCTGAAATATGAATATGAATCCAGTCTTGTTAGCATTTTGTCAAATCTTTAAAAACAAAACTCAGGATTCGTGAAAAGTTCTAGAAATCAGGATTCAGGTCAGATTTGAGTTTAGGGCTGCAGCTATCAAACATTTGAGTAATAGAGCGTTCTACCGAATATTCCATTGATTAATCGAGTAATTAGACCCAAACAGCAGACTCACGGCTAAAACCCACAGGATCTGGAATGGCTGCGCTCCGATCCGGGACAGCAGGTGGATCAAATACGCAAGCATTATAATCAATGTGCGTGATTCCACACAATCCACCTGCCGTCCCGCTCCACTGCCGATTGACTCTGGCGGTCAGATCAGATACACAAGGCTACTATTTTTGCCGTACACTGCAGCACAACGCATCAATTCAGTGCAGCGCAGCACGAGCGGCAGCAGAAGTTTTGTGCGGCTACAGAGTAAAATATCTGGTTAATTTTCAAAATAAAATAAAGTCAATATGTTGAACTGTTCTTGTTAAGTTCAATGTCTTACAGGTAAACACACGAGATCTTGTCCAGTCTCTCGAGAAATATCGTAATATTGCGAGCACTTCTCCTCCACTTGCTGCAGCAGGTCTGGTCCGGTCGGCGCCGTATGCTTGTATATTTGATCCGCTTGCCGGTCCGGAGCAGAGCGAAGCCGTTTCAGATCCTGTGGAATCCCCGGGTCAGATGCAGTGAGATTTCCTACATCACAAATCCAAGCTCCGCCCCCGGAGCCCCGCTATGCAGGCCAGACTCAGAAAAGTAGAGAGGACAATGACGGAACAAGCGTGTGCGTTAGAGGATTGCAATACTCGTAAGAAAGCTGATTATGATATTAACTTTCATCATGTCCCCAAAGACATTAGTGTCTGAGAGCAGAACAGCTCCTGTTACCTGCTACTTCTATGACACTGACAATGTTTGGCTACGAGCTAATGTGAAGAGGAGTGTGCAGAGCAGCGCTGTCTCTGCCCACGACTCAGAGGTGAATTACTAATGAGCGACTGGAGCTCTGCGGTAAAAAAGCCCCTCTTATCATTCATTTTTTCTGCTCCTCAAAACCAAACCCAAGCTTACTCCTCCTTCTACCGTGCTGACGTCAGCGCGCTGTGTCACCTTGAAAATAATCTGTTCGAAACGGTGACGATTTGAGTTTATAAACGAGTACTTGAAAATTCATTGATCATTTCTTGTAAACGAGGTACTTGAGGAATCATTTCAGCCCTACTTGAGTTAGCACAAACATGTGAATTTAAGCAACAACAGGCTCTTTTAAACATTTATTTATAGATTTATATCTCAAGAATCTCTCCGTACACATAAATCCACACATTCTTTACGGTTTAATCCTAACTTGAGAAGTGAATAAAAGTCTGAGCTCAAGAGAAATCTCAAGTTAGCATTCAGCCACAACCGACTCAGACACAGCTACAACTTAATAAATACTTTACAAAAATAATGCTGGATTTTTACAATGGAGATCTGCCTCAAAGACACGGGGGACAACTGTAAATTCACCGTAAAATAAAGGGAGGAGCATGCTAAATAAACTCACAAAGTCTACACGAGAGCCTGGATATCGAGTGTGGTAAAAATGAGAAAAAGATAACCCTGGTCTCTGTCCCCTCCCCCGACTTTCGTACACATTTCTGATGGTTGTTATTTAATCACTAAAGGTCTCTCAGATCCATCAAACATTATCGAACACGGACACGATCTAAACGAACATCACTTTCATTAAAAAAATTCCCTTTTTTAAAAAAAAAAAAACTCCCTTTAGAGACCAAATCTGGAAAAGTTACACGGTAAAACAATTAAAAGCAAAATGTCTGTTTGTTTTATAAGAGGCGTATCTTGAAATTTTCGCACCGTGTTTTTCTGAGAAGTCTGTTTTTAATCCTCGTGGTTCAAAAGAAGCATCAAGTCCTGTTCCTCAGTTTCTACAAGTTCTTATAAAAGAATAAAAATCGGTTTCTGCACCATGTTTGAGGTTTGAACAGTGTGATTTTCCTCCTCCTCGCTGCTGGCGGCTAAAACTCCCTCGCCTCTTCGAACTGTTTGTAGTAGTCCTCATCCTGCGGGTTTTCCGGACACTTCTGCCCGTTGTTGGGTGGCCTCGCCTGGTTGTAGCGACTCCAGTCCCCTTTGCAGATGATCCAGGGCAGGATGTCCACCTTATAGTGCAGGTCGGCCGAGAACTCCGTGCTGATGAGGTTTGGCGTGCCCGCCCCTTTGCCCCTCGTGATGAGCTTCATGCTGTCGTCGTAGCAGCAGTGCTGCGCCGCCAGCGTGGTGGACTCCAACGTTAGCATGGAGCGGATGCAGTAGCGAGCCGTCGGCTTGTAGATCTCCAGCTTTTCTTTGGGCCCGCTGGCGTCCTTCCAGCGAAAGTCTCTACGCGTGGGAGGGTCGTGTACGTCCGCTGTGCTGTACGCCACCTCGGTTGGGTAAGAGCAAGGGCAGCTGGGGAGGTCATTCGCCACTTTGGTCATGTACTTCTTTAAGAAGTCGCTCTTGCAGTTCATCCAGCGCTCACAGCTGTCTGTGTCTGAAACGAGAGAGGAAACTCTTCAACGTCTTTATTGACACCAAACCGTTACACAACTGTTACACAAAGATTACACTCTGAGGTGTGATATTTTACGATCGAAGAAAACACACAAACAAAGAGACGCCACAGCTGCCGCTCTTCCTGCCTTGCTGCACATTTTCATCTCTGCGCCGTAATGGGGCCGCAGCTCGAGCGTGAGGAATGCTAAGTGTGTGAGGGAGCGCCGCTGCCAGATGGATGAACTGTCTTTGATAGAGTACCAGACGAGGTTTGGAGGAAGAAAAGAGGAGGAGAAAAACTCTTACCAACACCAAAGAGCTCTGTGGCGTTGAACTCATCCGTTCCAGCGAGCAGGCTCACTTCAGTCGCCGCCGTCTTGAAGGCGTCTTCAATACCTTTTAGAGAGATAAAGGAGAGGCGAGCGACGGATTAAAGGATGGAAAATGAACAGATGATCCTCTAACGTCTGCTGTCTCTGTGTTCTGAGTCTTTACCTGGGCAGTTCGGCATATCACAGGTCCTGGACTCGGTGGCTGTGCAGGCGTAACCACATGACCGCGTCCTCTTCTGGTTCCCGTTTCCACAAGTGACGCTGCAGGCCGTCCAGTTGCTCCAGTCCCCCTCTCCGTCCATGTAATCTGGATCAGAGAGAAAAGAGAGAGAGAAAGAGGTCCTCAGTTCTGATGCGGGCCACATGCTGGACTTACTCGGGTCTGTTAGCAAGTATAAAGAGAGGGGGGGAAGGGCGGGAGGGATCAAACTTCCCTTTGACTTTGACCCACCAACAAATCTACCTCCATGAAGTCCTCAGATACAGTGTGAGACTCGACATTTGAAGCCAAACAATGTCACCGTATTGGATCAGACGAACCGACCTAATTTACAGTCAGACTAGAAATGGACAAAGAGGTGGGGCTAAGGTGGGTCACAGAAAGAACCTGACCCTCATACATAAATTGGGTGACCATATTCTCAATCCCCAAAAAGAGGACATGACTACATGGGGGCCGAGTCATGGAGTCGCACGTAGCAAATTTTGAGAGTTTTTCGGGTCGAGTGTTTTTTATGTGCTTCTATCTTAGTAAGTCCACGTGACACAAACTTAAAACTTTCGTACAAAACCCCGGACCTTTAAAGGATTTTATAAACTCCCCCAGACAAACCCAGAAAGGACAGACAGCCCCCTGAAAAGAGGACATGTCCGGGTAAAAGAGGATTTATGGTCACCCTACATAAATCATAGTTGGGTCAACTACAGACACAGATATCTGCTAATCAGTGCTAACAGGTTTCCATCTTGTACCACCATATTACTATGGTAGCCCACGACAGACAAACTTCCCACTCTTGAGTTCCTGTTTTCAGTAAGAAGATGTTTGAAATGCACCAACTGGAAGACAAAGTTGTTGTTGTGTGTATTTTTCATGTTATGCTCGGCCACCATCATAATAGGGTGACCATATTCTGAATCCCTTACGACTATGACTACACGGGGGGCGGAGTCCTGGAGTCGCACGAGTTAATTTGTAAGGTTTTTGGGGTCAGATTGAGTCTTTTTTACACACTTCTGACTCAGTTAATCCACGCAACACAAACTCAAAACTTCCATTTGAAGGATTTTTGATACTTAAACTCTTTTAAACTTATAAGAGGACATATCCGGGTAAAAGAGGACGTACGGTCAACCTACCTTTATAATAAAAAAATAACTTTACAATACAGGCTTTAATCTTGTTTGTTTGTTTTTTTGTTTTTTTTACCCTACAGCAAAATCTCCCATTTCAACATGAGGCTGAATGTGGATTGATTCACTTTGGAACAGGCCTCAAGTGGCCACTGGAGGTACTGCACTTTGGCACCTCATTTCTTTTTCTGCGTGGCACAGCGGGCACCGTCAGGTTTCTTAATGTGTGATTCATTGGTTTGTAAATGGGAAGTGAAACGGCGAGAAATCCTCTTTAACTTCAATTATCATTGAGCCGATCGCTGCAGTGGGAATACATGGAAACAGTTACGCCAGGCTCCACCGCCGACTCATCCGACCGCTAACACACACTCATCCACATCTTGAAAGCAGCACTCCATCAATGAGGAGAATTAATGTGGGCATGTTGGGATGGAAGTATTTCTGGCCGGGGTCCAATCCTTCCTATACACCCCCCTGCTGCCATCTGCCCCTCATTACCAGCGTTTTGTAGGAATACGGGCCAGATATCCTTTAAGTCCTGCTTCCCTCCCTCTTTAAGGAGGACTGGTGGCTGCTCAGGAAAAAACAGGATTTAGAGGAGTTGATAATAACCTTTCCTCAGACCACAGAAGAAATCAGACTCGTGATCGATGACCCTCAGTCCGTCCACAGCTATGATTATTAGCTCTAAACCGGGACAGTAATGATGATAAAAGATTCCCGAGGCTGTGAGTGTGGCGTGAATTAAGAGATAAATGTGAGCTGGCCGCAGTGATAACCCAGAAACATTTCACTTTGGTTTGACAGAGAGGTTATAAACTGGCCTTCATTACGGCTGCAGTGTGAGTGGATAAAATGTCATGTACCACAGCTCACATTCCTGCTCCACCATGTTGGTTTGGGCATGCTGCAACACGGGTCGGACGCACACTGTAAGACAGAGAGCGTAAATTCTTCCCCGGCAGATTTATCTGTGGGGTTACTTTTTGGAGGGTGTTGTGAGAGCGGCGTGGTAGCCAAACGGCGCTCCTGGCCCCGGTCCTGCCGCTGAACTTTGATGTAGCGAGGCGTTTAAATTGTGTCACGTAGCGCGCTGCGCACCACAGAGGAATCCGTCTCATAAAAGAGTGTTAAAGGCTTCAATCAGGGGCTCCCAAAAGCTCGCCCGGGATGACTGCACTTATTATGGTGACAGCTTAAATCAGCAAATCTGCAAATTACAGATTCCACATCAGACTATAAGGCCATCTGTGGAGACGCTGGAGACCGGTGCTAAATACTCTGCCGTGTGCATTGTGCGCTCATTTCCTCCTCGCTCTCACCATATTCAGTTTGGGTTTTGCTGCTCCCTCCCCCGGCGCCTCCTCTCCTGTCCCAGTCCGCGGAAGGCCGGAGGAAGTTGCTGTCCTCGCTGTTACTCCCGTAGGTGCGATCGCGCTCCTCCGTTTGATGGGTGGTGGAGGAGGAGGAGGGCGATGAGGAGCGAGGCCACCAGTTTCTCCAGTTTGGGGAAGCCCAGCTGGGTTTGTTTTCCTTGCGGAGGCCTTTCTCCGGCTCGTGGCTCTCCAGGCCGTCCACCACTTCGATGGTTACCTGCACAAAGAAGAAGAGAGTGAAATCAGTTTAACCCTTAAAACTCCCAGTTATATTTTGCTATTTTTGGTCCACCTGTTTTTTTTTTTTAGTAAAAATCTATATATCCTTTCAAGCACAGCAATTTCAGGAGAACCTCAGCTGTCAGTTTATGGAGCAAAAATGATATAAAACGAATGTGACAGAAGATTCAGAACCATCAAAGTCAACCAAAACATAAAAATGGAAATTGATACCAACAGTACTTTGGTCATAAAACACATAAATCTACAGTGACCAAGCCTTTTCTCACCTGCACATCATTCTCTTAAGTCTTGGCTATCAGGAGCAGAAATATTGGGATTGGAACAAACACACAAGAGAAACTATTGACATATTTACACTCATTCTTCCAGGTGTTTTTTACTGTTACAGTTGTTTCTGCCGCTCCTTGAAGCAGTTCCTGTCTGGGATGAGACAGAGGACCACATCATACTGCTCAGAATCTCTTCTCTGCTTGTTTCCAAACATTGAGGACCATTATTTCTGATTTTACAGACAAGCAGGGAACTTTCTTGTCTCTTGTTGATCTTTGGTTGCCTCTTATTGGACACTACTGTCAAGAGAACAATAGAAGAAGAATATGATGTCGTGTAATTGGTCAAAAGTTTGGTAACACTTTACAATAACCATAATTTATTAACGGTAAATAGATAGTTTAGGAATGTAAGTTAAAAAGTTACTTTACCATGAACAAGCAATTAAATCATGATTAATAATTATTAATAATCCATGAATTATTAATGGAATATTTATTAAAGGTTTATGTAGGGTTTAAATATTGGTTGTAAAACATCTAGATTAAAATGTGTGTCAGCAGCACTTTGTAAATGGTTAATATTTGTTTTTTAAACCATCTATAAATATTACTTTGATAGTTATTGTAAAGTTAAGGTTAGGTTTTTAAAAATTAAAAATTAAAAATTTATTAATGGTCTATATGTTATCTATAAATGATGATTAAACATGAACAAACTGTCTGCTTATCATTTATAAATGGTCTATTTACCATTTGTAAGTTTTGTTTATTGTAAAGTGTTACAGAAAGTTTGACAGAAAAAGACGTCGTCAAAACAGCTCGTCAAACCTGGAAGACATTCGCGACATTTAGTGATAGTGATCTTTTTTTTAATCACAACAATCTGATAAATAATCCTGTTTTCACCGTTTATCACTGCGGATTTACCATCAAACATCTTTAATGAAACGCCTATTTTTGTAGCTGGATTGTAAACCTTGTGGCAGGTGTAGAAATGTCTGGAAACCCTCGATAGATCCTCAAAAGGGTAAACTTTCGAACACTTTTTATCCCACAGAGATACACGGTATAGTTCCTGAGAAACTGTAAACAATATTCATGGTGTCACGTGGGATCACCAGCGATCCAGCAGAGTTCTGAATGTTAAAGGGACAGTTCTCATATTTTTAGGGGTGTCTCATCCATGACCAAACATGGGCCTTGTGGGCCCCCATAGTCTGAGAACTCTTGATCAGCAGCTCCAACAACAAGGCTAATATCATCGTCCATTTTTCTCAGAAAACAAACGTTTATGAAGCTTTTTTTTGTCCAAAGAGAGTCGATCCGCTCTTTTGGTGGCACTTTTGGATCCTCACAGAAGCCCTCCCCTCCCCTCCCCCCTCTCTCTCTCTGTCCTCACACATGTGCCTCCCAGATGAGGGGGACCCTCACCCCTGCCCCGCAGTCACCCTCCCACCTCATGGGCTCTCTCCACCTAAACACAAAGTTCAAAGGGCTCCTCAGCCTCCTCCAGACCATGAAAGCCAGATGAATCCCAGGATCAAAGACGCCCCCCTCCCCCGGCCTCCCCCTCTCCACAGCCTCACGCCCTTGCTCAATTGGTCGCCTCGCTCTCTTCCCACATCTTGAGATGTTAATACACTTTGTTCCTGCTCGGATTTAGCGCCGATGCTCTCAGAAATGGAAAGACCCCCTCGCTGGATTAGACAGCAGAATGATTTAAACATGGCAGCGGTTTCTCGGCCATCTGCGAGGGTTCGCCGCACATTTCCATAAGCTGCCGTCTGTCTTCCTGCACGGGGGTTAGAAGTAAAGCTTTGCTGGTTAGCGTGTGCCGCTCAGCTGTCATTATGACGGATGTGAGACCTGGGTGTCTATCTTAAGCTGAACTACAAGCCAGGAAGTGTGAAAGATGACAGGGGTGGAAGGAAGCAGGAAGAGGGGAGAAAAAAGGGGGCAGTGATGTGCACCAAGCTGTTCTCCCTCTTCCTGTTTGCTGATCCTGTCTGGTGTGCTTGAGTAGTCATGTCTTACGAGAGAGTGAAAGCATCAAAGCTGGCCGGCAGGTGCGCAGACACACATGATCACCTGTATGTTGGGGTTCTGTCCGTTGATATCGGCTTTGGAGAGGTCGGGGAAGTTGTGCAGGTCGAGGAGGAAGGCTCCCGGCCCGTCTCTGTGAACGTTGCTGCCCTGCGCCCAAGGGAGGGAGGCGGGCTTGTGGGTCAGCCGGTGTTCGGGACCAGATCTCCGGTCTTCAGGGGCCAGCTGGGCCGAGGAGCTGCTTTTTGCATTTATATTGTTCTGCAGGGGAGACACAATAACATAAATAATTATTGATTAATATGTTCAGAATTAAAAACGGGGAGAAGTAAAAAGGTTCAACCAGAACTAAAGGCCTACTGCAGAATCTAGAACCATACAGGACCAACAGAAAGTTCATTAAACCTCGAGAAAGAGTTTTTCTCTGATCTCTGCAACTTTCCTGCAGATTTGATTCATCGCCCTGTTGGTGTTTGCACGCAGCCAAATCAGGACCTGTTTAGTCAAAGAGAATTATTAATTGCATGCAGCAGGTTAGATTTAGCATTTTTCCTGTCCTTCCACATGATTACAAGGACCGCCAAAGTCTGCAGCAAGGAGAAGGTGAGCACACATTCCCTCTAATTCATACACATCCATAAAATGCCAAGGCAGGGAGAGCAGCAGCAAAGATACCCTGTCACGGAGCAGGTCAGGTGACACGGGCTGGCACTAAAATCAGCGTATTTGTCGTGGCCTGAGCTGAACTTTGTGGCCGGTTTGGACAAACTCTCAGCTTTTTTTCTCCATGCGTTTGGTTAGCACTGAAAACGAGTATTTAATGCCCCGTTTCTTTGGGCGTTCAGACATGAAAATTACCTCGACTGAAAGAAGCATGCAAACAGCACAAACCGAAAAACAAATCCAAACCAGGATTTAAGCTGTTTTTACAAACAAAACAAAAAAAAAACCCTCTTGTTGTTGAGATGTCTGGATTTGCAGAGTTTATCTTTGGCGGTTGTTTTTGGCTTTGCAACACTTGTGATGATTGCACTTGTTTTAAACTTTTGCATGTGTTGTTGACTTTGCATCGTTGGAACTTTTGCAGCTTGTTTCTCCTCAGTTAAGATTGTTTGCCTCTATATTTGAGCTTCAAAAGACCGAAACTTGGATTGCATCAGAAGATGTCGTAGAATCTGAAATTGTCAAATGCAGTTAGTGTGGAGTATATTTTATCCACTTTAAACGTCCAGGCTGTCTGTTTTTGTTCAAGGACAACAGTTAAAGCTTCACCAAAGAGTAACATTTATGCCATTAAGTTGAGGATATACAGTGATTTTTTACAGCTCTAAAGGTCCTTGCACACCAGGCGCAAATTCGCCATTTTTTTAAAACAGCATAAAGTCAATGCAAGCTTCCACACCGGCGGCGATTTTTCTGCAGGGCGAAAAGCGTCTTTTATTTTTTCGCTCTTGTGTCGAATTTTTCGGAGATTCGCAGGCGAATATCTGGACCTGCTAGACCTCTGGCCAATCAAAAGTCATGTTGTTGATGACGTCACAGACCCATGCGGCTGCAGTTCACACGACACACACCACCGCTGGCACCAAGAGCAACGATGGGAGAGAGTGTGTACCACAGAGTGATCGCCCGGTGTGTATAAGCGAAAGCAAACAAGAACCAAAGATGTGTCTCCTTCATGTTTGAGCTGATCTATTGCAGAACGAGTTTGAGATTCATCAGATTTTTACACATTTTGACTAACTAGAGCTGATCATGAGTCCCTGCTTTTCTATTCAAGGCTGCAGGAGACAAAACCCCCAAAAAAGGTGATTTTCAGACTGAGCGCCCTGTCTGCACACTCAGCAGTAACATTAGATTGATCTCTCATGTTGACAGAGGTTCATGTGGCCGTGACCTTTGTCATAAATCCTGTGGACTGACAGACTCTGGACACCTTGGAGCCCAGACAGAAGGAGACACTGACAGACTGACTGACAGACAGACGACACACTGATTCTTGTTTGTCTGCATCTTTAAACCAAAATATGATACAGCATCCATCCAGAGCCAGAGTCACAGCTCGACTGTATATTTTTCCTTTTTTAACTGCAGCTACTTCACCATGGTTATATGAAGCGGACATTTTTAGCATGTTCTGCTGCTGCAGCCTGGGAGAAATGGAAGACTGATGGTTTTCCCGCTCTGAGGCTATACAGAGAAACCTAAGCAAACATTGCAAAATAATTACATCTGCCTCCTCGCAGACAGAAAAACATTTGGTCCTCTGACAGCGGCGTTGTAAATCCATCCCAGAGGGACAGTTGAGGCATATGTCCCCTGTCAGGTATGCACAGAAGGAACAATTATTCCTCGATTGGACAGACAGCCATAAGTAGTCGGCAATCATCCATTCTGGGGTGGCAGAAAATAAGATCAAAGAAAGCCATCAATCATGCTGCTTGTTTTCTTTCTTCATGTCCCTTTTCTTCCTCCCCAGTGTTTTTGTGGCCGGGCCGAGGCCTGAGAATATGGCAGCAGCTCTGAGCGGCTGCGGTGGCCAGTCACAGACAAAGTGTCAGCTCAGCCACATTGTGGCGAGCATAAAAGCCCCCAGTGGAGCTGTTTGTGTCCGGCCAAGGTGCACTCTGGGACATTATGGGGGCTGTAAATGGAGCTGCACAGCACGGGGGGAAGGATTATAAATGTACATGTAACTAAAATTCAGCCGCAGAGGGGACAGACAGCGGCGGCACAGACCGGCTACTGTCGCCTTTTAGCATCTCTTAATTCAGCCGACAGAGGAGGGAGTTCAGACGCTGGCTTTGGCTCAGCTGTTGAAGAGAAATCTCCCCTAACAGCTCTTAATGAAGCCCCACTTCTGGACTATAATCCCAGTTTAGATAATCCTATTCCTCATGTTGCCAATTTTGACCTTTGATTTGGATGCGTGTAAATAAAACCGTGTTTTACAGAGGATTTAGTTTAACCTTTTACACAATCAATCAAAATATTAGAACTTGACATACAAAACCTTTAAGTGTTTAAACAAACTGATGACTGAAAAGGTTGGACACTAGGGCTGGGCGATACAACGAAAATTTACTGACACTGAAATTTGCGACAATTACCAACGTCATTTTGTCCGTATCGGTAAATTCGGTGTCAAATAAATGAATAAATCAAAGTTGGTTTTGGATGTGTATTAGGTAGGCTATGGTCTCATGTCAGAGACGTGACTCCACCCCCTCCAGTCCGTAATGAAGAGAGAAAGACAGGTGAGGAGATGGACGAGGAAGTTAATGTGGGAGGGGGTGAGCAGCTTGTGGAGTAGTTATCGTCTATTTATCGTTATGGAGGTGAACTGATCAATATATCGTGATATTGATTTGAGGCCATATCGCCCAGCCCTATTGGATATGTTTGCAAAAAGAATTACCTGAATTTTAAACAGGACAAAGTTCACTCAGACGGTGTGTTTACGGTCCTCACAGTCCACATGATAAATAAAAGAGGACAAATATGAGCAAAAGTCACAACTGTGCTCAAAAAGTTCATTATTATATGAACAACTTGAGGTAAAAAGTGACAAAATATGGGATCTCCACAGATGATCTCCATCTCAGATTTAGAGGAACTGCCGCAGTCTCACGCTGGACAGTCTTGACACTATTTCAAGGATCTGTTGATGTACCTCAGAGTTTTTTTCGCTCTCTGGGTCGATGCACAGCTGTATAAACACGATACTTTCCCACAGGCTGTCCCACGATTGTCAAAAACATCATATTTACTGGATATAACCGTGAAGCTGCACACAGGATCACACATTTGGGGCTAACATTAGCAGAGCTAGCACCACCAGGCTTCAGTCCTTCCTGCAGGTTGACGTTAACATGTCTGTGACAGTTTAACCAAAGACAGTCTTTATTTATACGATTTTATCTCTTTGTTACAGATCAAGATACTGAGGATGTCTGCCTGTGCTTGTTTACATCTGTGTAGAAGAGCGCTGTCGCATCATGGCAGCAAATATCAACCTTCAGTCAAGATGAAAACGGATCATTTCTGCTCGGTCCAAAGGTAAGAATCAAATCTTTTGTCATGATGTTCTGTTAAATTAGTTTTCTCCTGGTTTTGTGTATTTTCTGTGTATTTTCCCGAGTGTTCTTGTTCCCCTGTTGTAGTCCAGTTTTGTTAGTTTTCAGTTTGTCTTTGACCCTGTTTCCCTCCTGTTCTCTGTGTTTTACTCTTTAGATCAGTTTTCACTGTTTGTTTCCTGTTTTATTTTGTAGGAGTTGATTCCTTGTGTTTCTAGCCTCGTTTTCCCTCCTTTTGTTAATCACTCATGAGTCTCACCTGTGTCTCGTCTCCCTCACCTGTTGCTCATTTCCCAGTGTGTGTATAGTCCCTGTCTTCCCCTCTGTTCCTGTTAGTTCATTGTCTGTCTGTGTTTGTCGGTCAGTGTGTGTCAGTCTACTCTCCTTGTGGTATTTTCCTCACTTTGTTCATGACTTTGTTCTTCATTTGGGTCCTTTATCCCTTTTGTTGAACCCTGGACCGTGACATCTTTATCATAAATTTTCCTCATTCGGTCGTAAAAAGCAGAAAAATTAGCTCTTCTTCTGTCACCCGTTTGCTGACAACAGCTTCAACACAGACACAGATGGAGTTGATCAAATAAAAAGAAGCTTTTCAAAGAGTTTTCAAACTTTCACATCACATATCTTAAACTGTTGATGATCCATAATTACATGATTTCCTGTAATTTTGGTGGGAAAAAAAAAAATGCTCTTGTTTTGCATAAAAAAGGAGCTGTTTTATCGTCGATAAGATGATTTTTTTGATAAGAATTTATGATCAGAATTATGAAATTTAGGGAAATAACTGCTCCAAATTGTGAGCACTTATTTTGTTTTCCATATCCCAATAATTGAGGCCGACGGTTCGGTTCGTTTGGAGAGTTTGTGTGAACATCAGAGGAGCGTCTCCGGTTTGATCACACTCTTCAGCTCCTCCGAGGAGATGTTCATGTGATAACCTCGTCTTTCATGTTCCCAGCCTTCAGAAGTCACTCAGTGGCTGTAATTAAACCGCACCGAGGGAGCAGGACCGAGCAAACACTCACAGGCTCGTTCTCAGTGTGACACACACACACAAATACAATCATACATTAATGTGTGTTTGATCTCCTCGGGTTGGATCGTGTTTTCTTTTGACTGCGGACCACACAGGCTGCTTTTCACTCCAACATGACTGCTTTATTTTTCTGGAGCTGCAAACAGTCATTTCAATCTGCTGCCAAAACTTCACAGCTACTTAAGAAGAAAGACTTTCTCTCCTGTTTTCCCATCATAAAACTTTTTTTTTTTTTAAACCGCTTGTCGGTACAGGATATCTCTCCAGAGACTCCCACACTTCTCATTACAACACAAGAATTACTATGATGACATTAAGGTCTGCAAAATGATGTGGAAAAACTTATCAAAACTTTTGTGAATCTTAACTTTTACCAAAAAATGTCGACTTTGTGCATCAGGGTAACAAACCCGACAAGCAAGATAGACGATGGTGAAAGAAATCCCCCCTGCAGACTCTCAGAGGACGAGATGCACCCCTGCGAAGTCGTGAACCACATAACCCGAGCTCCACATGAAGCAGTTTTTATGTCGGTACATGATTCTGCAAAAGGAAATTTCATGCATTAAGGCAGCGCCCAGATTGCACATGAAAGTTAAATAAGTGTGGAGTCATCAGGAGCAGCACGTCTGAAAATGCACTTCACTGCAGCTGACAGCCCAGATATGAGAGGCTGAGACACTTTTTATCAACTTTACTCCCTCATAACGACAAATTAATGCATTTATTAACACTATAAGAGACTAAATGTTGTAAAGTGTTAGTTTGGTACAGAGGCGTCTGCGTCATAGCACAACTACACCGAGCGAGGGCGCCACGATTTTGGCCGAAAATCAAATCCTGATTTTTTTTTTTTTCTCTGAAAACTCAATTTTTGATTTCGTTTTTTTATTCAGTGACAACTTCACCAAACTTTAAAAGAAGTTTTTCTATCATCTCTCAAAACGATGTTGTGTATATGCCAAGCCAGTAAGTGGCGCTGCAACGCTGCACAGGAAATGCACAAAAGATAGAAGAAGAGTACAGAGCATGTGTACTCTTCTTGGTTGTTTATGGCACAGGCGCCATAAAAGAGTTACGCTGTGTGTCACATGATCATTCCAAGAGATGCAGATAGACATCCACACACAGATGAAATAGTCGTCGTTTAAGGATTTATTCACTCTCTGACCCGTTTTCAAAAAATACCGTTTACAGTCACCTGAAACGCCGTTTCTGATACAACAAAAAACTTTTGCGTTTCCTCCTGAATTCGTTTCCGTTTGAACGGGTTGATAACGCCATCAGACAGACTTTACAGCGGGGAGTGGTTTACTCTTCATCTGAAACTGCGACGCCGTACCAATTCAACACGACTGATTTGTTCTTGTCTGATTTAACCACAAAATTAACGCCTTCTTTTGCAAACGCCATGTGTGTTTACACTGGTGTGTGTGGGTACTGGGGTGGGTTCTTGCAGGAAGGGGGAGCCTACAGTGCGAGACATGAGAGAAAGGAAAATTGAATTGACGATTTTCATTTTTTTAACATTGTCATAATCGAATAATCTGGTTACGATTTAAAATAGATAAATCGTGCAGCGCTAACCCCTAACCCTCGCTATTTCCTTCTCCTCATCGGCCCTGATTGGTCCGACCCGTTCTCAGACTGAGAAGCGTAACAGATGAGGAGTCTTGCTGATCCATGTTTGTTGTCGGATTTCGCAAAAACACGTCAACCTTAAATACGACATGTTCAATATGACGACGAACGGAACAGTAAAAACAGTTATTGAAGAGAAACCTGGAAAAACTCGGTTTCCTTTTAGCAAAAGCACTTAAATTCACTCAATCTATACTTCCATCTCGGAGCTCAGCAGTGTGAAGGACAAACCAGGACATTTTAGACGTCCAAATAACAATTTTTCGCTGCCGTCATCAGAATTTCGCCAGAATGATTTAAAGGAATTAGCCGGGTTAAGGACGCACAGCTGGGGATTGAATCACCAGAGTCAGTTGTTGAAGTCTATCAAATGTTGATCGCATCGACATAAACGCCTCGCCCTCTCTTTTCCGAACGACTCTCAGTGGAGATTTCCACCAAATTATAATGAGAAAAACATGCAGGTTCCTCAGTTTACGCTAACGCAGCTTTGGCTCCAACAGGAGTATCTCGATTAAACGTTTCTATCGTTTCCTCGAATGCTGGTCTGAGATCCTCCTCAACGATGAGCTCGCTTTAATTTGGAGATCAAAAGTGACACACCACTCCCCCCGTTCGTTTTGGGGCCTCCCAGGATGCCCCGCTGACACCCCCGAACCCTGAAAAGACGTGAATGAACACTCCCAAACACAACCCCCTCCTCCCTCCTCACAGTATCTCCTCTTCTTTTCCCGCTTCCCCTTTTTACACTCTGTGAGGGCTGCTTAAAGGGGCATGACTCCATTTTCAATTGGGAGCGACTCGGGGGTCCTTCCCCCCGGGGAGGCTGGCAGGAAATGAAGGCGGTGCACATTGTGCCAGATGCCTTTCAGCTCCACACGACTGTAGGTGGAGGAGAAAACTATCCTGTCACACATCACATACTGTCGCTAAAAGAGACAGATTTTTTACACAAACAGGAATTTTTAAATCTTAATTATCTTAATTTCTGCAATAAAAACCAATAACAGGCGATCAGGGTGATATTTCTCGAATATTTTAACCATCCACGCTCAGAGGAGAGCCATGAGTTCATTATGGTCTTGGCAGCCGCAGTTAAAGCTTCGTATATGATTTGAGGCTAACCAGGTTTATCCCTGAGGACCAGCATCATCTTCCAGAGTAAATACAGACGGGCTTTCTGGGAAATGGGATTTGGAGATATTTCTAAACACTCGGTCACCTTAAACCAGAGGTTAAACACAGAGGGAGTTCACTGAGAGCGTAAAACCAGCGATGTCATCCAAAGAGAAGAACAAAAACTCAAACTGTGATTCAGTTTTTCATCTTAGATTCCCATCAGGACAAACGGCTGAAAACGCAGAAATGATGCAGGTTCACAAACACTTCAGAAAGTCCAAGAATCCTGAAAAGACAGGATAGACAGTGTGATATACGGCTGGGAGAGATTTTCAGGGTCCAGTTCAGTCCAATGTGAGCAGATTTAAAACTGATAATCAGACTCACCTGAAACCTGATGAAGCAACTAAATTGGAGGAAATGAGTATTTAAATCATGAGCAATAACTTCCAACATTGAGTAATGAAGTCAATAGAAAAGTGCTAAAAATGCAGTTCCTTAACTGTCCACTCGAGGTTCGTTGCAAAACACTGTAAAGCACATACACACCCATCATAAAAAGTGCAACTTTACAGTGAAACAGTCGGGGACTTCTGGGCTCAGTTTTCTGTTAGTTTTGAAGATACTCGGTCTGTAAGTTTAGCTTAATTAGGGGCGCGGCTCAAATCCACCTCTTTGCTCCACCTAAACGTCATGTTTTATCGTCTACATTAGAGAAACTCAGACAAACTATCATGTGGTGTCTCAGAAATCCTGCACAAAAATTTAACTTCATGAACACGTCTGAAGTAGACTGTACTTATCTACTTACCAAGTACTTATCCAAAATAATTATGATAGCCGTTGAGCAAAATACAGTATAGTATAGATATAGCCTAGATTTAGATTTGGTCTAAATTGAGACGTCTAAAAAACTTTCATTTTTAGACCTGTGGTAGCCTGATTTTAGACCGTCGTCTAGGCTACATTTAGACGTCTATCAGACCTCTTTAGACCAAAAAATGCTCAGTGGGTGCGCAGAAATTATTCTAGGGGAGGAGTTTTGCATCCCCATAAGAATGAGCAGACTCTCGGTTGACTCCCATAAGTACAAATACATCTGTAGAAATTAAGTGTCGACTCCAAAACGTGTAAAATTTGCTTTTATTCAGCTCTGGTGGCTGTGGTTGTTTCATAAGTTTTTCTGTTGTGTTTGTTTTTCTTCTTCAGATCTTGTTTTGTGTTTTTTTTCACAGCTGGTAAAGCTGGAAATATAACAGTCGAATTCATGAACATCATGTTTTTTCTCTCTTGTGCAGAAGACGATTACAGCCACCATGTTTTTTGTTTATTCAGGTCTGATCTTTTTCAGAAATCTGCTTCTTTGTCCCTCTCTGAATTCTCAGATTAGAGTCAGATTTTCTCTGTATTTCGTTATCGCTTATTCTGCTCACTCTGGTTTTCTTGCAGCCTGTTCATGATGCTAATCTTTGCAGCTCCGGTCCTGTATCGCACTAACTTCCCTCTGCCCCTGCTGTGGGTGAGTCCATCTTCTTGGATCAGTGATGTTAAAGACTCTCCTCTCTCTGCTGCCTCCGTGCGCTCTGCAGAGCTGCATCCTGTCATTTGTATTTCTATGAATGGCGTTTTAAATGTAACACCTTAAAACAACAATGCGCCCCGTGGGCCGTGACGAGCCTGACCGCAACATGACATGAGCGCCTTTAGTGACCGTCCGCTGAAGCAGATCCTCCAGAATCGAAGCGTTCATGAGCGAAGAAAGAAAAAAAAATCACTGCTTCTTTTACAACTCGGGGCAAATGAGGTCTTTCCCCAGGAGGATCTGTGTGCATGTAAATGTGGACATCAGCGGGGATGTTGGCCTGGAATGGTTGGCATGCGCTTCGTATTTTTACAACAATTCCTCAGGAGAGACTCCCTCCCTGTCCTCACCCTGCTCATCTGATCCTGCAACATTTGGCCGTGTGACAAATATTCGATAAATTCCTGGAATATTTCTTCAGCTTTGCATGTCCTGATATCCAACCCAGCACAGGCCTGCTGTTGCATATACATGGAGATAGATGGCAGTGATAGAGGAGATAAGGGAAATTACCCTCCATCCTCGATTAAGGTGGAATTCTTCCCGTTCATTTACCCCCCGAAGCTCTAATAAAGGATTTATGAAGGGACACCATCACTGTGAGCATTTATCATGAGGGAGGTATTTCACTAACATGTTCAACATACATCAAAAAGCAGGCGACGGATGTTTAACACTTTCCAAAAAAGCCTGTTGATCCCGGACCCTTCTTAACCCTCGGGTCAGGATTTGAGGCTCTTAAAGAGACTCACTGTGCTTTGTGCCGAGGTTAAAACGGTCACTCAGACTTTAGGAGCTAAAGCGAGTCGTGTCAAGTTGACAAATGTCCACTTATGGTGGGTTTTTATTGAGGCATATCTCCAGAACTGTACCAGAATCTTATCCTAAAAATCCTCGTCTGGTCCTTTACCTTCAACCAGAGGGACACTCATTATGCTTTTTGCAGATATTCATAATTTAGGACAAACAGACCTTTAATTCACACATTTATCCGTCTTCTCTCTAAAGCTGCACATGGATGTCTGTCCGCTTTGACGCTTTCACACAAATTAAACTCCTGACAGATAAATTAAGTTGTTTTCGAACAGGTCAGATGATGGTCTAAGTATAAAGCTGATACCTCATTCTTATTTTTCATGCTTTTGAACAAACAAACCATTTAAATCATAAGAAATGAGAAACAAAAAGTCGCTGAGATTGTTGTAATCGGCCCTCCCTGACGTCTACTCGGACTTCTGGGTCTCTGATGAAACCATCTGTGATAACTAAAATAGAAAAAACTGAAAGGCACATTTTTGGGTTTAAGCTTTAGATGTGTGGATTTTGGCGCCCTCTATGGACAGAGCTTATCTTGTCCTGGCTGCTTGACTGACACCTACCCTTCTGCTCTGATTTCAGACGTTAGAAATTGACATTTTATCATAATATCATCATTAATATGAATTTCAGTCAATTTCATACATGTCAAAAAATCCCCACTGGAGCTTTAAACGTACATTTCTTCAAGTTATACAACAACTTTATGAACTCGATTCATTTTGTAAGATTCTAGTCACTGAAAAAAACACTTGATTATTTAAGATAATGGATATATTTGTATAAAACTGCGTTATTCTATATCTATATCATAACGGTTAAAGATGGGAAAACCTGTCAACCACTCGGAAAAGATGATAGAAGGATATTAAAGGAAGGACGGAGGAGAGTTTACAGTAAAGGCAGAGAAGCTCATAACTCACTCTTTCACCACATTCCCCAAACTTTCCCTAATCTGCTTTTTCTGTTTGTTTCTGTTCGTTCAGACAAACAGCCAATCTGAGCAAAGAGGTTCTGATCCAAATCCAAACTATATCCACTCACACTGCAAAACCTGCATCTATGAACTAAATGGAGCTGACAGGAGAGTTTCTTCTGTCTCTGATTTGAGTTCTCAGCTGATCAGTTCTGACCAGGCTGCCTGCAGTGTCTGCAGACTTTATTGAATCTTAATCTTAAATCAACAAACTTCAGTTTTAAAGTGAACTGATCCCGGACCCTTCCCTTCCTCCCTCCTGGGTAAAAGTCCGGGTATAGGGGGGAGGGGGGCACCTTCAGGGGTTCTCCTCTGACCCTCCGGACTCATCAACTGAGATCTGGCTGACAGTGACGAGTCCATGATGACAGAGAAGTGCCTGCAGCTAGCGTTTAACCCCTGACAAAAGAGTGGTGCGGGTGGTGCAGGGGGCTGATCTCTGACCCTGCCTCATCCTCAGTCCCTCTGCCGGCTCCCTGACACTCCCGGGGGACACCCCGGAGAGACCACATCCGTGCGTATGTCAACAATCCCCGCAGACTCACGGGGATCCGGGGGAGAGAAAGCTTTGAGTTACCTGATTCAGCAGCTCATGTGAGCGTTTTATCAAGCCCATCTGTGACCAGAGGAGACCCTCGGATATCACATTGTAGCCCCCTCACCTCCAACAGATCTCCTCACTCACCTCTGTAAGCGCTGCGTCCTGATCCACGCTCACAGTCCCGTTTCCCTGCGGCAGCGGACTGCTCCGCAGCACCGTGATGTGTAAGGTGAGGAGAAGGAGTCCCAGGAGGAGCAGCAGTTCCGCCGCCAGACGCACCATCCTCTTGACGCGGCCGCTCTTTGGAGCCTGCGGTGTGGTCGGGGCTCCGACTCCGCCTCCTCCCGGTGCAGAGACCCCAATCTCCGGATCCGCCGGGGACGAGGAGCCGCAACACCACTTCGGAGCCACTTCGGGGATCACAATTACAAAATGAAAGGAAAAGGGTCGGAGAGGAGGCGGACGAGTGGTTTTGGGAAAAGTGCTGTAGCTGTAAATCCAGAGGGGTTTCAGGGTGAACTGTGAGACTGTCCCAAAGTTAGACTATCACCTGAAACTGCCTCTTCATTTAGTTTGATCCAAACCAAAGGAGATCAAGTTAATCTGACCTGAACTCTGCAGGACTGATCCCTCTCTTGTTGCGCCCTCCTCTGATCTCCAAGCTCAGGAAACTTGCAGCCCCGTCTCCCTGCGCTCTCCCCGCCACATTCTCAGCCTCACTCTTCACTTTTCCTCGCCTCTACACAACATCAGCTTTACGCAGATCCCCTTTCCCGTCACATCCTACGCCCCCAGCGCGTTACTCGACGAGTTTACCTCCGGAGAAAAGTTCAGGTAGATAAAAAGGGAGTTCAGAAACAGTCTCCGTCCATTCTGCTGCGTGTTGAGAGTCCAGACTTGCGTGCGCCTCTGACGAGTCCTGCTGGAGGAAACAAGTCAAAGCATATCAAAGTAGGACCCACCGAGACACACGCTGTTCTTGTTTTGCGCTCTTGAGGTGGTTTTATACTCTACGCCCCTGAGCTGGCGCCCTCCCCCTGGTTAACTCTTTCGTCCCTCTCCAACGGTCCTCCCCAAACTGGAGTCCGTGTGTGAGTTTGTGAGGAAACAAACTGGAGTCAAGTTTTAACTTTTCAAACAGGGTTGGGGTGAATTAAAGTTCATTTTCCCTCTCAGGATAAAAAAACACGGATATTTCCTTTAAAAAAACATCTTTACCTCAGAGAAGTAAACGCAGATTTTGATTTAAAATAAACAAATTTTACTTTAAAAATGTTTATATTATCCTTGAGCGCGTGTACAGCTGCATTAAGGCTAAAATTAGTCTTCAGGACAACCTGGAGTAACCTCGGTGGTCCCTGGAGGCGCACGGGGCTCACAGGCGCGTCACAGGAGGTCAACCTCTCCCGTGGACATGTGTCTGTTCTCAGCTCCCAGCCTGTGGTCTACACGCTGCCACGGAAGCCAACACTTCGTTTAAGCAAGACAAATGGTGCGTAATGTGATTAACCCACGTGAGGCTCTTTATTGTCCTCTTCAAAGAGACGATCTCTGTGTCAAATTACGCACCGAGTGGGGATGATGCTGAGCTGCTGCAGAGACAGAGTGGATGACAATCCACGGAGCCCTGAGGCGGAGAGGAGAGTGGGCAGCCCAGATCATCACCTCAGAAGTCCAAGTATTCAGTTTGGGCACAAGAAGAACCAAAATAAAATCACATAAGTGGGTTCGTTTGGTGAAATATGGCTCATAAAACAGCCACAAGATCGTCCCGATACTTCCCCTAAAAACATGATAAAACGTGCTGATATTTTATTTGACAATAACTTTTTTTCTTTTCTTCTTTTTCTTTTGTTGACAAGATTCAAGATTTGTTCATTTTTTTAGAAGAGATTTTTGTTTCGGATAAAAGGTAAAAATATTCAGCCAATAACTTAAAGTAATGTGAGTGTTTTTTAAGTTTTCAAAGATGGGGATATTTCTCATGTTTAAACGGTCAAACTCACCAAAATTTGATGGTTTTTAGCTGCTGAACTTAATATCTTTCTATGATTCTACCGTCAAAATTGAACAGTCTGTTAAATTCAGAAAGTGTCAGTGATTGAGGATTAGGGGTTGATGTTTAGGAGGCTCTGCTGTCTGTGTTTTTGTGCAGTTTGGTCAAACTTAGTTTAAAATAAAAGAACTATGACTGTGAACTCGTTCATTTGGATCTTCGTAAACAAGACTTCATGCAAGTTCACCCACTGAGCATTTTTATGTCTAAAAGAGGTCTAAATGTAGCCTAGATGACTGGTCTCAAATCAGGCGAACACAGGTCTGAAAATGAAAGTTTTTTTAGACGTCTAAATTTAGACCAAGTCTAAATCTGGGCTATGTCTATATTACACTGTATGTTGCTGGTTATCGACTAATGGGTTAAAGTGCAACGTCTAAATTCTGTCTATAAAAAAAAAAAAAAAAACTAGACTCTTGAAATTCGGTCTAAAAAACTAGATGTCTAATCGCCGTCTGTTGCTCAGTGGGCAGTTTGAGTGTGAACATGCACAAAACTCTCTCAGTTTAAAAAAAAAAAACAGTATAGAGCTGGCAGTAATCCTTGGATGAAAAAAATGAAATAGTTAAGATTGAAAACAGTCTAAAAGTTCTTCCGAAGTTTGTAATTATTGTATAAATCTGCAGGTTCAGACCTCCAAACATTGAGAGCAGCTTCATCTGTCTGCTCTGGACCTTTTATTAGTTATACCCACACAACCTAAAACTCTGTTTTAAACTTTCAGAACCAGAGACACTAAAATCATCTGAATTTAACCTCAAAAGTCTTTCAATCTTTACTCCAATATTATCCATCCATAAATCAGAGTTTGCAGGTCACTGAGGTCATTTTGTGAAACTGAGATGTACAACTGAGTATCATCAGCATAAAATAGCATCACCAGGTCATGTTGTTATATTTGTATTATAGGGAATTCAAATGGTCCGGGGATATGTCCCTGAGGTATCCCAAATTCAATTCTAAGAAACAGCCTTTTGAATATATTTGACAAAGACAACACTCAACATTAGAGCTTTTTTTTTTTAATCTATCATGAAGTATTTTGTGTTTAGATCCCGGATAATCCACCGATTAGGCTGAGGAGTGTCTGGATTAGGAGTGATCAAACATCTCAAAGCTTCTTGTTTATTTCTAGACTGAGAAAACACAGAAAACTGACCTGATTCATTACACTTTCTGTCAACAACGTATCCCAGATCCACGGCTCCTCTGCAGTCCTCGGTTACTGTCTTACCAACTCCATGCAGCACAGAGCAGCTGTCTGAACCACGCTAATCTGCTCCTTGTCTGTTTCACTTCAAAAATCCCTCTCCAGACGAGCAAAATCTCGTTCCAAATGGAAAACAGAGAGCAGAGAGAGGACGGCTCGCCTGCTTTGGACACAGTGGTGGACATCAAAGGAGTAGCAGAGGATCCCCCTTCAGAATATAGCAGCTACATGCCATTCCAATAAGCGCGGTGTATTTGGATCTGCAGTTCAAAAGAGGCTGGTGCAGGCAGGCAGGCAGGTCTCTGGAGGCTTCACCAACAGTAGTCTGGCTGCACAGATGTTTCGAATGCCAGCAGAGACCATTTGCCACTTCTGCTGAAACTGGAGGCAGTTAGACGAGAAGTGAAGGGAAGTCTGACGGGTCACATGTTTCCCACCTGGAGGAACCAAAGTCAGTTACTTTTGAGCTCCGGTTTATTTGCAGAATTGAAAACGACAACTTTGTGGTAACTATTATATGAAAGTTTGAGGACGGTGTCTTTAACTCTTGAGTGGCCTTTTCAAATAGAAATGATCATGTCCTATCAGACACAATGATTTTATATATAAGACAATATCTGACTGTCCTCTCAAAAAGATTTACACGAGGGCTGCTGCTATTCATGATAACTGTCTTTTTAAAGAAATCTAATAGTGATGCTGTACTACAATTAAGCATACAATTATACTGTAAGTTGTTGGTCCTTTGCACTAGTTTACACGCAATAAAACAGAGAAGAGACGAAGAAAACGCTGCAGGTAAGATAGCTGCAGCAGACGTCAAACAGAAGCATGTTAAAAATGGACATAAGATTTATTGTGGATCTAAAAACAATAAAACAGCTCTAATGAAGTCCAGCAACTTACAAGCTACCAGAAATAGATTTCAAAATAAAAGCATGGTTTTACAATGCATTGACCTAAATACAAGACAGGGAAAGCATCAAAATTAATTCATGACAAATGTCTTACATCTTGTCTTAAATTTCAGGAAGTTTGGGCATCCAACTTTGTATGCATGTATAAACTCAATAGGTGTCCTTTCACTTTCTCTCCTAAACTCACTTTTGAAAATCTTAATTCATTCTGTCTCTGGTCGGTCTCACCAACTTAACTGTCTGCCTTTCTTACTTTTGAATAAGAACATATATCTTTTTATATACTGTATACTTTTTTTTATTCCACTACCAATCTTCCTCCAGAAAGTGCACTATTACTCACAATGCTGCTATTTTTTTTCTAAGTTTTTATTGTTTTTATTATATTTTTTCTATCTATTAAATTAAACACCATCATGCTGTAAAATGACATTTGGTTGCAGAGAGGAATCACTGCTGTGTTTAATTCTGTGCAATGACAAATAAAGAAAGTCAAAGTCTCTAAGTCTAATCATGTCCCATTCGAGTCACTAATACTCAGTCTTTCCTGGGAGTCCTTGAGCTCCATCATGCCGTAGGTTCCTCTGGATCGCTGCTGCAGACATTTGTCTCCAGCTGCTTCAACTGCGTGCATCTATCTTACATCTATCCATCTCTCTCTGCATGAGTTTGGTTCTGCTCGAGGTTTCTGCCTGTTAAAGGAAGTTCTCCCTCCCCACTGTCAGGTGTTTCACTCATGTGGTTGAAGATGAGGATGGGAGAAGATCTGACCTTACAGGATGCGGCTCAGTCTGATCCCATCTTTACGTTGGCTCTCTGTAAATAGAGTTTGGTCTGGACCAGCATCTTGTAGTAAATTAGTGGTCGATTGATGATTAATCAGAGTGGATCTGTGTCTGAGCCATCAAACCTGTGAGTTTTGTCTCAAATTGACTCCATGTTTTCCCGTCTCTCTTTCCTCACATCTCTCTCCTGCAGGAGTTTAACGGCGTTCGGACTAAAGGTGAAAGTAAACAAATTAATAACAGACATCCAGAGAAACTCGGTGCACCCCCGATGCTCCATTTGGGGCCACCTTTCCCCGTCTTGAACAGTACATTGGTATGACATCAGAGATTTGAGGATTAACCAAACTGTTTTCTATTGTTTCTGGCTATAGGAGCCAGATGTGAGCGCTCACTTACAGAACAAAGTGATCCAGTAAAGAGCGTACATTTCAAGGCTTTTTCTGCCTCGGGGGGGAAAAGAGGTTTTCAGTAACTTTTCAAGCATTTTGTCCATCTTTGTCTGCGTTAGCTCTTCATCTCGCATGTTTTCCCCAAAGATCGCTTATTTTGGTTGAAATCCAACTTGTAAAAGGTTATCGCTGTTGTTTATGGGGAGGAAAAAACACAAACACGCCAGAGGGCGAACAAGTGTCGACTAGACCCGAACTGACACATTGTGAAAACACATTTATCATCCATCTATAATCCTTCCTGTGTTAATCAAATGATTACCCCATACCACGAGAATTCAGAGTTCAGCGCTAATTGCCGGGTTCGGTTTCTGTTGGCTCAGGTGTTGCATACTCGGCGTGCTTACCTTCACGACTGTTGCTCAGTCTGTGTGTGAAAGGGAACAGCAGGTCCTTAAAACATCAACAATTAAGCTGTTAAGACTCGGTGAATACGAGCAGTCTCACCACAAAACAAGCTACAACACCTTTGTCATTCTTCGCAGGGGTTGTTCAGATTTGACTGCATGTCAGAGCGGTGATTACTGCGTGATCTACGACTTACAGAGAGGCGATGATTTACTGTCGAGCTGAGCGTGGTGAGCTGAGATAAGAACATTTTTATAAAGTTGTTCACTGTGCGCTTCAGTTTGAGTGTTTTTAACAGACTCATTTTTTCATCCTGATTAAAACTCATCATTATTCACCCTTACTGTGTTACCCTACCAAACTTTGTTTACATGTGCGGTAAATCTTCAGCCTGATTAGTCTCATTAGAAGTGACATCTTCACCATTAACAAGCTTTTATTACCGGCTATGTGAAGCATTTCATTAACTTGTTCAAACAACTCCTGTCCTGATTCATTACCTCCGCCAAGGAGGTTATGTTTTCGGTAACGTTGGTTTGTTTGTTTGTTTGTTTACGGAGAAAGTAACAGACGGATTGACCTGAAATTTTCACCAGAGGTGCGTCTCAGCCCCAGGAGGATCCCATTACATTTTGGTGGTGATCTGGATCGCCTTCTGGATCCAGGAATTTTTTGAAGGATTCTTTATCATTGTGAGATAGGGCACATTTTGGAATTTTTGCATTTAACTCTATAAAAATGTCCAGAGTCTTTAGTAAAAAATTACACAAAAGGATCTCAATGAGTTTTATGAGGTGTCAAAGGTTGATCCTGATCCAGACAAAATTCTGGATACTGTGATCCAGAACACACAAAAATAAGGGTGTTGTTGGAATTTTCAATGCTGAAAGATAACCAATGGGCGGCACAGTGGTGTAGATAGGCGGCACAGTGGTGTAGTGGTTAGCACTGTCGCCTCACAGCAAGAAGGTCCTGGGTTTGAATCCGGGTCAGGGCATTTCTTGTTTTAGGAACATTATGAACAGTGAACATACCAGTTTAAACACAAATAAACGCTAATAAAAGACACGTAACAGTAAAAGTTTTGGTGTGAATCACAATATAAGGGGGGACATGAGCTGCTTGGTGGAGGTCTGCGCTCTCCGAGTGCTTTTCTAGTTGTGAATGGTTTGAGGTCTCTAATAGCACCGAGCTCTAATTCACAAAATAAATCGCACTCATGATATTCAAGCCCAGAAACACTCGCAAAGTCTGCAGCTCTGTGCAGTTCGCTCTAGATTCGTGTTTTATTATTCTGCTGCACAGAGCTGTGCTGTGCACGCTCATCCTGACATCGGTTCATTAGTGAATTTTGTGCTAGATGGAGAGAGACGCTTCTTATGTGACACAGGTTTCACAGTTAAAGTCTAGATTACTTCCTGTTGCAGGCTTTAAAAAAAACTTCATTCAGATGGATTAAAAAAATATTATAGATAAATAAAAAATTTAAAAAACACTTTATTTTGTTGATGGTTGAGCCTGTTTGTGCAGGAGCTGAACTTCACACATTCCCAGACTGATTTAATCTCTAGAATTATCATGATTATAGTGACGTCAAAGTAATATTTGTGTACAGGTGAAGTATTTTCAGGTCATTCAGAGGTGAGATTACTGGATGTTTTTTATTTCACAATGCAGCTTATTTGCATAAAACGAGGCATGTTTTGCTCCAAATGATTACACACCGCTGCAAAGACATGCCAATTTCTCTGCAACAAAGTTGTGGGATATTTCACATTATGCACTTGCTTATTAAACCAGCAGAAGCAGAAACAAGTGTGATGAAAATTCACAGTAAGCTGCGACCTTCAGTCTTAAGAAATAAAGTTAATGCAGAAAAAAGTGAAGTTTGTTTGAACATTTCAAGCCAATGTCCCCCAATCTGCACCATACAAACATCACCAGGAAACTTCGATGACAGTTTTCATGTTTTATTACAAAAGAAAATGACCAAAAATCATTACAGCAGGTGCGCACCAATGCCATTTACATAACATATGTTTTTTTTCATATAAAGTAAAAGAAGAGAACTCTTTATTATTGAACATTTTTGCATCTTCTTCTAAAACCAAGTCCGAACAGCTTTTATAACAAATCTCTGCTGATATTTGGTCATAAAAAACAGATAACGCTTCAGTGTCTAAATATAGACACACCTTAAAGGAATAACTCTCTCTTTGGATTTAAACATGTGTCTTCAATAAAATAATGTGTTTTTTTCCAACATATAAAAAAGGTAAATAACAAATATAGTTTATATTTTAGGAACTTGTGTTTCAGAGTGACTGAGCAATGCTTGTGCAGTAATTTCACATCTGTAAGTATTTCAGGAGGTCAGATCAGTGTTCTGCAGAATCACAGTGTTGTATAAACTTGTTAAAAGCAGCTGCCAAACATTTGGCCCCTCCTCCGCTGTCAGACACGGCTGTTTGTCTGCGTCGCGTGTTTACTGCTGTCTGCCGCGGCGTGGACGACACTCAGACTCAGTTTTGACACTGTGAAATGAAGGGGTCAAAGGTCATATCAGTTGCCCAGCTCAAAGTCCTCCTCTTCCTGGATGTCAGACCAGGAGGGATATTTCCTCCGTGAGAATTTCAGACATAAATTGTCTCCCGCTTCGTTCAGATGGTGCAGCACCTGAAGGCAAAGCAGAGTCTCAGTAAGTCGGTCCGTGTTGATATTTAAATTCACTGCAGCCTTGAAAGGATTCATGTGTAGATGTGAGCGTGTACCTGGTCCAGCATGTCTCTGGTGTGTGCTGCAGACATACAGAAACGAGCTCGAGCCTCGGTGATTGGTGTGGCGGGGAAGCCGACGACAACCACGGCGATTTTTCTAGCCAGCATTTCACGGGAGAAAGCCCTGGACGCCAACAAAGAAAAAAAAACGGTAAAAATCAGGTTTACTGTACACTCAGGTACACAAGATATTTTAAAAAATACAGTAAAATCCAGAGTTTGAGTCTCACTGGACTTCCGCTTCATTCAGCAATGTGCAGTCTTGATGCAGATGTGCAGCTCTTGTGGGCAAAGTACCCATACCATAGTTCAGCATTGTAACCGTGATAGTTGTTGGGCATGAATGCAACCATGTAACTACAACCTGTGACCAGTTCTCCAAAATTTGCACCATAAAGGTAGAAAAGCATTGAAAACTGGTGCCACTAATCTGGTCCCCCTTTCCCTATTCAGTGCACCTTCCACCTTGCTTCTTGGAGCGCCATCTTCTGGGTAAAATACAGTAACACAACACAGTACCTCTCTCTGTGTTTTACAATTACAGCCGTTAAAGATGCAGCTCATGTTTAAGATGATGAAAAAAATAGTATTAAAAGTGCATCTTACACACTCTCAAAACTACGCCGTGACCTCAGAGCCACCTTGGATATAAATGTGAAATATTATCCTTCTCATAAAAATGTCCTGAGGAAATTTGCTTCTACTTCAAACCCTCAAAACTCTCAGTTATGTTTCTGGGATGTGCGGTATGGATGATATGTGATAATTTCTGCAAAGCGCCGTAAATTAAAAAAAAAGCACATAACTAACAATTTGGAGGGAGCAGATCTCTCATGACTTTTAGCCTCAAAGTATGCTCTGAAAAGAACAGGATGAATGTGACTAAGACGTGCTGCTGTGACTGATACTGTGCAAAAAAAAAGCACTAAAGTGCAACACGACAATTTAATACCTAAAGTAGTATAAAAGGCTTTTGCATACGTCAGGCTGGATGAATGATGGCTGCAGAATGACTTTTCATTTTATGAATGTTTACAAATCAGTCTATTCGAACTGAAAATCTCCTTGATTTTCAAAATAAAAGCCCTACCTTTTTGGTGAAGCGGCACTTAAGAACTGATTCTGACCGGGTAGTTTATGTCATGATTTGTTCTATTAATTTAGTTTTTCACTGGTTTTGTTATTTGAGTGTAATATTTGTGTATTTTTCCCAGGTGTTCCTGTTCCCCTGTTGTCCAGTCTTGTGAGTTTTCAGTTTGACCCTGTTTCCCTCCTGTTCTCTGTGTTTTATTCTTTACATCAGTTTTTAGTGTTTTATTTTGTAGTAGTTGATTTGTTGTGTTTCTAGCCTGGTTTTCCCTCCTTCGTTAATCACCCATGAGTCTCACCTGTGTCTCGTCTGCCTCACCTGTTGCTCGTTTCCCAGTGTGTATATAGTCTCTGTCTTGTTGGTTCATCGTGTGTGTTTGTCTGATTCTTTTCCTTTGTTTTCCGTACCGTTCATGATAGTTTATGGCCTTACTTTGGGTAAAACATGCAGCATGTGACGAAACAACTGAACAAATGCCCCTTTGCTTTGTTATTTACTGTAAATTACGTCAATCTTGTACTCTGTAAAAATACTCTGTAGAAATTGTAGCTTTTCCAAAAGATTTTTAAGCAAAATATCACTTTTTTTGTTTTGTTCCAATCAGCGTTCATGCTTATGCAACAGAAAAGTCCCTCAGCAGCTTCTGGTTCCTGCAGCTCTTGCTCCTGTTCATGGATATTAATGTTGACTGGCCTTGAAAGACACTTTAAACCCACCTGATTAAACCTGAGTGGCTCAAACCGTCCAGATGAGTTATACCTAATCAATACCTGATGTGACCCCTTTTAGAAACTCAGACTGACACAAAATGATTCATGGAAACTTTAGAGGGAGCGACATGGCTGCTTTCCAAAACACTTAAAGATGATATATCTGAGCTCACCTGAAATTACTTCTTCAAAAAAAAGAGCTGTGACCCGGCTCAGAAAAACGATCCTGAAAGGTTTTTTTTCTACGATCACAGTGAGCGGGTTTTGTTGAGGTGTACTCACACAACTTTTCCAGGCATGTAGAGCAGGATCGGAATCACAGGTGAGTCATCATTGCCGTAGATGATGAAGCCCATCTCCTTCAGTCTGGCCCTGAAGTACCGGGTGTTCTCTGCCAGCTGGCGGACTCGTCTGATGCCTACAATGAACACAAGGACACCGGCAGATGTATGTGAGAGAGGGGCCAATGTTTCCACATTCGGCTGCAGCGAGGGAAATCACCTGTGACTAAGAGCGAGAGAAGCACGAGGTCCAGGAGTGGGAGGTAATAAAACTGATGCTGTGTGGAGCTGTTCAGTATAGTTAGGAAAGTTTACATTGAGTCATCGTTGAAGTGGGTTTTTTATATTTCTGGTAGACACAGGATTTAGTTTGAAACCAAACATTTTATAATAAATCCCTTTGACGGTTCATATTTTCTTTTATTTTGATAGGATCAGTCACTTTTAAGTTCCTGTTTCCACTAAAAGTACTTCCCTTTGTTGTTAAACTTTGATTTTAGACTTCTTCTGGCCCACAGAAATGAAGCTGGTACCCATGTGTTAAAAACTGCAGTTCCTTGAGTGTCCACTTGGGGCTGGCTGCAAAAGCACCAAATTCTACATACACACTCATTCAAAAAAATCAAAAGTAATACACGTCAACAGCTTTAACTTTACCTGTAATGAATAATTAAATCAAGGTTTGGATAAGTTCATATGTCGGGATTTGAGTTTTTGCAGGGAATTGGTACATTTGGATTCACAGTTTGTTTACACAGTAAGAATCTATCCACAAATGCTGATCGATCAGTTTCATCAATTCACGCAGCCATAGTTGTATGAGTATTTTCTGTTTTAAAGCTCCTCTGAGGAACTTTCAGTCCCTGTGTGGTCTTTCCCTGTCTTGTCTTATAGATATTCGACTAAATATCTCATTTTTCCGACTTTTGACAGTTCAAAGTAAATAAGCATAAATAGGATTTTTTCTCCAGAAACTACGCTCAGTGCGTTTATATGCACACTTTAATCGGACTAAGCTCATAATTCATTTTGTCCTCCTCCCCAAAACTAGGGGGCGATGTGGGTCTTTTCAGCGGCGCTGTTTTCGACCCCAGACAACCGTCAACAACAACAGCAGGTCCATGTCAGACGTCAGAAGTGTCGACAACTGCTGCTGGGCATTTTGGAGAAACAAGAAGATGGAGCATCGTACAGCGTTGTTTTTGTCCTACATGATGGACGCGCTACTTTTCCTGTAGGAGAGATGCACGCTCTGGTGTTTTTGTTACGGGGGGCGTGGCGCACACGCACATGCATTGTCCAATCATACTCCGACTACGCTGCTTACATGGTAAAGAAAATCGAATTCCAATCGCATTATCTGGAGTAAGGCGATAATTCGGTTTTCTCGAGTGTCATATAAACGTACTGACTGACACCTCCCCCTAATGCTGGTTTCAGTCATTAAAAATTACTGAACAAAATCCACCAATCTTGTTGCTGATGGTCTTGTTTGCTTTTGTATGTCACTAAAAGGCGTCAATATAACTTTCAGACTATTTCATAAATTCCTCACAGGAGCTTTAATCACACTCTCTTTTTAAAATTACGGTCTTTGAGGGAATTTCTGCCACCTCTGAAAACTTCTTTGCTGTGTCATCTCATCCTGAGTCCTGCGCCTCCATCTGGGCCGTTCAAGCCTCCGCCGTGAACGCGCTCATGATTACATCTCAGCTGCAGCAGCAGATGGTTCAGTTTTGTGCGTCTGGCGGCATGATATACACACTTACATGCTGCCAAATGAGGGATTGCAAATTGTATAAGATGGATCTTGCACAAAAATGAGCCACCATGTGCCGCTGGAGCTCGGCCACACCAGACACGGTATGCAAATAACGCTGCAGAGTTAAATGTATTCAAGGTTAATGCATCAGAAAACAAATCAGAGTCAGCATGTGCGGCCTGTCCCGCTAACCTCCACCCCTCCTGTGTTTTATATGATGTAAATCTCAGCAGAGCCGGGTGAACGGCGGCTGCAGCAGCAGAGTTTGGCAGGGCCCAGCCTTGGAGCACAGCTCTGTTTCCCTCTGATTACCTGGGAACAGATTGGCAGCTCTTTGGTGGGGATGTAAGAGAGCACTTTAAATTCCCTTATCTCAGCAGAGAGCGAGAGAGAAGGGAAAAAAACACACAACATTCAGTCATCCGCCAAAAAGCGCAGAACCCATTTTGTAAATTGTTCCTCTCTGCTGAGATAGGGGTCACAGAGGTCAGAAACCTGCTGCCAGGCACAGGAATCATATGAGGAGGTGAGAATGTGTGGACGTCTCTGTCTGCTGGGGTTTTTCCTGCTGCAACACTGTTTGCTTTAAGGTGTGAAATTCAACATCAACAAGAAAGATGAGAGCAGCGCAGGAGGACCGAGGAGAAGAAGAGGAATAAACTTGTTGTGGAGTGTGCGACGGCGCTTGTCACAGCGAGTTTTATGGCTTTATGATGGACACTGGAGCTGACGCTGTGAAAATGTGCTCAGTTTGCTGTGCGCTCCTCTCTATGAGACAGGTCAAGACTGATTCTTACCACAACGGCGAACATCAAGCTACGTCAGATGCAAAGCATGTCTGACTCAGAGCCAAGAGAGAAAGTTACTCATCTTTACAAGAAACTACGATATACACCTGGATTTAGTTCTGAGAGCAGAGCTCGTCGAACCCTTCTTTAAAAAAGTTGAAAAAGATTAGATAACAATCGATTAACCCGCACAGAGTCTGGAGAAATTACAAATATGGCACTCGGAAAGGCATCTGGTGGATTCAGAATCACAATTATCCAGTAGAAAAGGAATCTGGAGGGCACTTTGCTTACATTTATCTACCATAGGGCATTGTTTACATACTTAATTTCTAGTGGAAGGCCCTTTGATCAGATGTTCCTACTGGAAAGTCATTAGGAGAACACAATATTTACATTTATCCCAACATGGCGACATCCAGAAGGTACTTTGTTTACATTTTACCCACCAGGAGGGCATCAAGAGAGCACTTTGTTTACATATTTCCACCAGAAGGTCATCCAGTGGGCACTGTTTACATACTAAGTTTCTACTGGCATTTTGTTTACATATTTCTGCAGGAAAAGAATATTTAAATTAATTACCAGATGAACCTCTACCGGGCTCTTTGTTTACATTTTACACAACAGAGGGACATCCACGGGCTCTTTGTTTACATTTTACCCACCCAGAGAGCATCCAGAGGGCACTGTGTTTACATTTTACCAACCAGAGGGACACCCAGAGGGTACTTTGTTTACATTTTACCCATCCAGAGAGCATCCAGAGGGCACTTTGTTTACATTTTACCCACGCAGAGGGTACTGTGTTTACATTTTACCAACCAGAGGGACACCCAGAGGGTACTTTGTTTACATTTTACCCACCCACAGAGCATCCAGAGGGCACTTTGTTTACATTTTACCCATGCAGAGGGCACTTTGTTTACATTTTACCCACTCAGAGAGCATTGAGAGGGTACTTTGTTTTCATTTACCCACTAGAGGGAATTCCAGAGGGCACTTTGTTTACATTTTACCCACCAAGGGTACTTTGTGTAAAATGACAGAAACTGTATTGCTGGATTAACAGAATGCGTGTTGATTGATTTTAACAATAAATCAGATTTATAGATTATCTTGAGTAAATCAAAGGTCCAGATTACGATCATGTAAAGGTCCGATTCTGTCCTTGGACTGGCGCAGACATGTTCTGTACTCATTCTGCCTGACAGTTAACACGTCCGCCTTTCACTGTAATGTATGTAAATTTGGAGGATAAAGTGTGCAACTGCCCCCCATTTACTAACCAAAACTTCCTCCACCACAACATTTCCTAACCCCCCTTTGACAAATACTCTTTCTCTTAAACCTACAACCAAACTACAACTACTACAACTCACTGAGAATTGCTCTGGCACTGGAGCGACCCGTCTTGTAATTACTACTTCCCTGCCTGAGTGTCTGAAGCCATTAAAGCAGAAACTTTTCAGAGCTCCGAGTCCCTCAGAACACACACATGCGAATGATTTCCTCCACGTTAGGGTCACGTGTGTTCAGAGGCTGCCTCCCCTCTCTCTACCACTGCAGACCCCGTAATTGTTTCCATATTTTCTGACCAAGCAGCTGTTTGTCTTTCCCTGCAGCTCTGGACTCACTTCTAATGCTAACATTGGTACTGTCCTCTGGATTTGGTTTGCTATTGTTTCCATAAAAATTATATGAAGGTGTAAAATTTTCATCAGCAGCCAGGCATAATATTTGTCCGTTTGAGGAACAGCAGGTTTGACGAGTGTGTGCACAGGAAGATAGAGATTGAGGGTGACATTCACTGGAGGGAGCTGCTGTAGGAGTCAGACACTCACCCTCTGTGCTGCCATCCTTTCCCATGATGCATTTCATAGCACGCATGATCTGCTCAGCGACAGGAGGAGACATGGCCGAGGCGTACACTGAACTGTGGGAATAGCTGCGCAGGTAATCCACCACCTCCTGCAAAGTAAGAGAGAAAACATCAGCGGGGACTAAAAATGTGTTTTAATTAAACATCACTATTTCTTTATCTAAAGTGAGAAGCGGTTATTGTTTAATAATATACTGTAAGTGTGGCCCTGCACTTGACATTTAACACCACTAGAGTGAGCTCAAGTATAGTCATGACCTCTGAATTAAGTGGATAACAGAGATTGTTTCTAAGCTGAATTATGACCTACATTAAAACCCTGCAGATGTATCTTTGGATATTAGTTACAACAGGTTTTGTTTTCTGTTTGTAGTTTGACGTAAAATTGTCCACCAATGTTTCTTTATTATACACAAGACAAAAACAAAAAACAAATGCAATCTACAATTATGCGACCCGAGAGCACACTAGCAGTCATGTAGTGTCACCTCAGCTATATAAAGAGACATCTGCATAGAAGTAAAACTAATAGACTCTGTTGTCTCTTCCCAGGTTGCTAGTTGGAGCTGTAAACATAGTCTGGGTCTGATTTTGATCACTTTTTCGGTTTTACTCGCTATGCTCGGAAATAATAGGAAAGTAGTGGGAGGTAGAGCGTGCACCCTGATCAGGCATCAGTGAGCTTTAACTCACACAGACCTCCTGCCTTAACTCTGTCTTTTTCTTTGAGGTTTTCTTTCTTTCCCTACCTCTTATCTTTTAGCTGCATGAAAACGGGAAAAGAAGGGGAGGTGGAGCGTGCGGGTGAACCTTGCAGAGATGAGCTATATCTCCAGAAGGTTTCTCACCCTGGTGCCTCTCACCTCTTCTCTGTCCTCTTTCTCGGATCATTTTTTATACCTTCTCTCTCCTCCCTCCACCTTTCTTCACTGTAGTGGGTTGATGGGGGGAGGTAGGGCGTATGGCCTTGCCTTGTGGCTCTGTCCTCCTTATATCACCGTCTCTGATTTCCTTACTTGTCACAAGAGAAGTGGGAGAATAAGGGGAAGGTAGAGCGTACAGCCTAACTTGAAGAAAGTCAGTTTTAGCCCAGTTAGGCACCTCTTCTTGACTTGTGTTTACTAATCTCATTCTTTACATTATTTTTCCTCCTTCCCTTCACTCTTTCCTGCGAAGTTAGGAAAAGGGGGGCAGGTAGAGCGTACAGCTTTTCTAAAGGAGGTGAGGAGCTGCAGCCCAAGCAAGATCCTCATCCTTTGTCTGTGTTTTTGTGCCATCTATCTGACATTACTTTCTCTGTTTTCTCTCTTCTTAATCCTTCAGTGAAGTGAAGGAGTGAGGAGAGGTGCAGCGTACAGCCTTACCAATCAGTGATGAGTTTCAACCCAAGTGGCCTCTGTCCTTCCTCTGATATCTCTTTACAGAGACCCTCTTTGTTTTGCCCCCCTCTCCTGATGAAAATAAAGACGTCAGGGCAGGTGGAGCATACATCCTAATTTTGCAGGGGTGATTTTTCTTTGACAGAAAGTCATATAACTCCTGTATAAGTGGATCATGGCTGCAGAAACAAACTGAGCGGGGGTCTAAGAAAACCCCTCTGTCACTGGTATCTGTAAAATAACTCTGGATCTTCTCCCAGATCCACTCTGAGGAATAAGTCCTTGATGTGAGGCGGTCTTAGCGTTAAATTGAGCCAGGATGAAGACTGTCCTGCTCATTGTTTCTTACTGTCAGCAGGAGATTAATTCGGTGGTTTATGAGGGGATAGGTGGATTTCATGTGTGTGTGAGTAGTCTGAGGTTGGGAGCGAGCCCGGAGCTGTGATGGGCTGCTGCTCGGTGGCTGAGCAGTGGCCAGTGGGTGCGGGGTGATGACATGTAGCCGGAGATGCTGTCTGGCCACCATTTCCACTCACCGCCATCTGTCCTCCCCACTGGGCGGCGGCTGTGGCTTCCTCACACACACACACACACACTTAAGAGGGGAAGGGATTTTAAGGGGAAATGCTCAAACATAGGATAAGAACCCTGAAACAACCTGACATCTGTTTTCGTTTAAGGCGGGGGATTTTCACCGCTTTAGGGCCCCGGAGGATTCGGTGAGACTGAGATAAACCAGTTAAGAGAAACGCGTCCGAAATCCATCTCACATCTGCGGCGAGGAGTGACAGCTCAGAGTGTTCCCTCAGCCGCATGTTGGCCGCAGCACTGATGGGGAGATACAAGATCTGAATGACACAGGGAGGGAGCAGAGCCAGGACAGCACACATGCTTCCTCCGCTCTTCGATGGATCCATCTAAGAGGACCAGGAACTGTCAAGAACCTCACCATTCTATGGGCCACAGTTCTGATTCAGTGTCAGATTGATTTTGATAGTGATTCAATGATACGGATGGATAATGCAGAGCTTGTTCTCAGCACTGATAGGATGATGGTCCATGCAGAGAGAGCTTGTAGAGCAGACATGTTGATCTGCTTCCTCTGTTTACTGTCTGCAGGTTCAGGTTTAGCTGCAGGACGTAAAAACTAAGTGATGTTGGATGTGTAGAGGTTGTGTGAGACGCTACTTGAGCATGAAAAACACTAGAAAGGCGTAGACAAGAGAGACCCCCCCCTACCAGTACATAGTTTTTTAAAATTATTGAGTTGTTGTTGTTGTTGTTGTTGTTGTTACGGTTGTTTGTTTTTCTTCACATTACTTGGATATAAACTAAATTTTCATTTTGGCATTTAGGGCAGACAACGGATGCAAGAAGTATGCTCACATGATATACATTGTGAATGTCTGATTCTGAATGTCAATAAAAATAAATGACAGAAAAAAAAGGCAAAGATTAGTCTGTCCAGAGGGGGCACCAGAGTTCACACGAACATCAAAGTTACCCACTGTAGCTTTAAATGGACTAATTTAAGTGTAAGTGAAGAGTTTACAGATAAATTCCAGTAAAAAAACAGAGGTAGCTTTGGAGCATATTTATAGGAAACCCTTAAACTATGTAAGGATATGTTGCAACAAAATACACACAAGATTTGAAGAATTTATTAAAGTTTTGCCAGAGAATTTGAATCTGTTTTTGCTTTGGATTAGAGTTTGGAAATTAATATCCCTTATTTTTATGCATATCTGTCCTTTTAATGTTACAATTGATTCATTTTAATGAATGTGCACCCAAAAATTTAAACATTTCAGCTCATAGTTTTGCAAATTTGGTGTAAAATGTGCAAACACAGGGCTCATACTAACAGCATGTTTTACTCTGAAACATACACGTGTTTTGTGAGTGTAATGATGTAGAAAAACACGTCCTGACCGCCTCAGAAAAGAAACAGAGCCAAGAGACCGAGAGCTGACTCTGCTCTTAAATGGATTTATTTAATAAACTAATTTCAGTGTAAATGAGGCTTACAGCGAAGGGTTAATAAATAAACTCTCCTCATGTGAGGTTTTAGTGAATTAGAAGGAGCCTGAAGCCTATTTATTGGTGTATTTATTTTGGTCCTCTCATAAAATAGCTATAAGATGACTGTTTTCCAGAACACATCTGCTGAGTCTTAGTGTAGGATTTGGGGGATTTCACCACAACAACAAATACGTCAAATCTACAGGCTTTCTCCCTCTGTTCCTGCCTGTTTCTTCCAGGACTTTACTGCAGCCAGCTGTCAAACCAGGCACAGTGTTCGTACTTCAAACATTATCATGCTTGTTAAAAGTCACCCTGTTAAATCTGCAGCGCAGTTCCGACGCTCGCCACAAGAAGGGGCTGGCCCTCAGCCAGCTTTACCTTCTTATTATGGCACAGCCGACATGAGGCCACAGCAGGAAGGGTCCCTCTATGAACGCCTAATTCAAGCAGCATGGCCGTTTCCTCTGTTGCTTTCTAATCAACTGCCACAAAACCGGCGCGGTTATGTACTAAAGTGTACTTTTTAATGGAGTAAAGAGGAATTAAAAAGGCCCGAGTCACAGCCGGGGGAACATTTGTTGGACACATGAGAGCTGTGAAAGAGCCGCGGTTTGATTGAGACCCATTCAGACCTGCGTGAAACACTAAATATGATTTGTTCTAACCTGTACTGAAGCCAAAGCATTTCTGTTTCTATATAAACAACGGTTACCAGGGTCTCCGATCAATCCAAGGTAAATATCAAATGCTTTCTCAGGTAGTATTTACAAAAAAGAAAACTCACCTGAGGCTGCTGGAGCTGTTCCAGACTAATCAATCCCTCACAAATCTCAATACTAATAATAAATGATCATTATTGAAGACTCTTGATGCATACCAAAAACTTTCTCCGTGACTGCTGAGTCAACAGTGACAAATTTTGGCCTCACTGAGATACAACAGCAGAACAGAGTTTGACATTTATTTCAGGGAAATGTTTCCTGATGTTTCTTGCAGATGTATAGGTTGTGGAATAACATCATGTTATCCTGGTCTTTGTCATATTTATATGTTGGATGATTATTTATATGTGCACTATCAATATCAGTTAATATGTGGATTGTTATATTTTATACTTTCAATTTTAAAGTGAAATATAAATACTAATGTTGAAGTAGTTAAAACTAGAGCCTCCCATACTGAGCTGGATTGCATAATGTCACATATTGAATTATCTCGATAAATTATATCTAATATGTCATATGTATCAAAACACAATGTTAAGTTCTGTCTCATCTTGTTATTTGATTTAACATAATTTAACATATCATGTCATTTATCATATCATATCCAGTTGTGTTGAATCGCACGTATTTATATCTTAATCAATCACATTCGATTTTATCCTTTAGTAGGTAGTGTAGCGTAATATAATATAATATAATATAATATAATATAATATAATATAATATAATATTCATTCATTCTTTAATTTATTTTTTTATTTTAAATGATGAATGAATGAATGAAAATATAATATAATATAATATATTGGAATGTAACATAACGTGATGTTATTAAATGCAACATAACATATCGTATCATATATCATACCATACTGAGTTGAACCATTTATAATAATGTCACATCGTATCGTTATTACTGTGGTATTTCTGTATTATTGCATTGTGTAACATGTCATACTATATTGCATCATGTTGTAGTGTTTTATGTCTCTTATTAAATAATCTTGTTAATATATATTTTAGAGTCGTGTTACCCTTTAATCTGCTTCTTAATAAATTCAGGAGGGCTGAAGGTCACATGAGGCAGTCAGCAGCTTCGAATTTAAGATTAATATAATTTATAGATTTTATACTCCTGGAAACCATCTCATTAATTTATTGATATAAACTGTTTTTAAAGGGAGCACAGAAACTGGAGCAGATTTCTAAAGACCACTCGTACCTTCTTCCCTGCGATGTAGCCTCCGGCAGCCCCGAAACTCTTGGTGAAAGTGCCCATCATCACGTCGACATCGGCGGGGTTCACGTCAAACAGCTCGGTCACACCTCTCCCTGATCGTCCCACCGCTCCGATGCTGTGGGCCTCGTCCAGGTACAGGTACGCCTTATACTTCTTCTTCAGAGCGACGATCTCAGGGAGTCGCACCACGGATCCCTCCATACTGAAGACGCAGAAACACAGAGTTTCACAGTTCAACTTTGTGATTGAGATCCAGAGGGAAACAACAACAACAAGCCCAGACTTTACTTTATTCACTTTAGTGCTCATTAGAGATTCACAGATGTTTTGGCTGGAACTTAATGGCCAGTGAGCCTATTAGTGAATAATTTGGCATCACAGCAGCAAGAGTAATCTTTGTACCATCAATTTAATGATGGCCCACAATAATAAATTTAAAAACCAAACAAAGCTTTCAAATTTGCTCAATCAGTGCCTCTCTTCTGCTCATGTACATCTGTTAGATTACATAACCTGACATGAAGAATCTCCTGCTAGCCTCTCTCCCTTCACTCCCACCTCTCTCCAAACTCATGCAAACCTTTTAAAGCCGCAAACACACAGCCTTCACGTAAGACCAGCAGAAATAGAGCGATCCCAGACCTGCTCTCCCTGCAAACACCGAGAGCGTCTGCAGACTACGACCAGGACCCATGTGGACTTCAAAGTCAGAGCCAGGATGTAGCTAAAGCGGGCTCAGTCTTTATCTGGGGCTTTTGATGTGATAGAGGAAGCATTAGTTCCTGTAGCGCTGTTACTAAAGGCAGCATTTCTTTAATGTCTGAGCCTGAACTGAGATGTTATGGTGCAATAAAGGGAGTCTGATGATGCGCAATTAAGCTGTCTCCCAAATTAGCATGTCTTTTATGAAGCTCGGGCGTAATATAAATAAAATGATGGCCGTGTTTGACCGTGTTCTTATAACAATAGGGAGAAGATTACAGTGATCTGAATAACGGCGCGGTGCATCACTAATCTCTATAACGTCTTTAACCATGCTGACTTTGACTTTCTCAAGTTTAGTGGACGGTGCTGCAGCTTCTGAAAGGATATCCAAATATGGACACTTGGCGTGCACGCTCATGTACTTTGAGTCTGTGCACAAGTGTGGTTCATTTGTGCTGTAATCAAAAGTGCAGTGGTATTTGCCTGAGTGTCAACCTCATAATTCATCAATGCTGACTAATGAATTTCACTTTAAGATATTTCAACTTTCCTTATAGTGGTTCTGCAAAAATAAGCCATATGCAAGAAGATTAAACATCACTGCACACAAACCCACTATTTCTTTGAACCCATATTATGAAATGCAGTTGTGTCATGAAATGTTTTGTTCAATTAGTTTTCTCCTAGTATTATTTTAGTGCATTTTCTGTGTATTTTCCCTAGTGTTCTTGTTCCACTGTAGTCTAGTTTTGTGAGTTTTCAGTTTGTGTTTGACCGTTTCCCTCCTGTTCTCTGTGTTTTATTCTTTAAATCAGTTTTCAGTGTTTATTTCCTGTTTTATTTTGTAGGAGTTGATTCCTTGTGTTTTTAGTCGGATTTTACTTCCTCAGTTTTCCCTCCTTCGTTAATCACTCATGAGTTTCACCTGTGTCTCGTCTGCCTCACCTGTTGCTCGTTTCTCAGTGTGTATATAGTTCCCGTCTTCCCCTGTGTTCTTGTTAGTTTATTGTGTGTGTGACGGTATGTCAATGTCAGCGTAAGCGTGTGTCCCCAGTTGTCTCCTTGTGGTTTATTCCCAGTGCCGTTTTGACTCTTTAGATTTTGCTTCTTGTGTTTTTTGGACTTTTGAATTTGTTTGGACATACACGACAAGTTGCTTGTTTAATCACAAAGTTTTTCCTCTGCACTGTATACACTCTAAATATTGCAGTGTTACACTTGTGGCAGATTTGGATGAGGGGACAGTGGGTCTGAACAAAGAGTATGGTCCAGACCAGGAATTGGATTGCGCTTTAACCTGCTCATAAAGTTGTGTTTGATATATTTTATATAGCAGTAATTTCAGCCTATAAAATAATCCCTGTTTTATTCTGACTTTACATGGGTGCAGATTCAGCTTTTGCAGTTTTGTGCAGCTTCCGTAGTTTTTCTGCAAACTTAACACATTTGAGATTTAAAAAAAAACATCTGAATTTTTATTTCCCACCAATATGATAAGTGTGTGTTTAATCTGGGGTCCACACAGATCAGGGATCAACAAGGATCTGTTACACCTCTAAAACACATGCAGTGGATAAAACAGTGCGGACAAAGAGCCCTCTGAATGGGACATGCTCCCGCTCAGATGGGCTGACATGTCATGCAGAAAGAGAAAAGAAAATGTCGGTGATAAACAGCCGGAGTTGAGGTTGCAGCCAAGTCAATCTCTGTGGCTCCATTTGGCCTTGATTTGGAGCTAATGAGCAGATGGAGAGGGTCACTGAGACTCTGGATCACTCACTGCAGACAGGGACACACAATACCTTTCTCCTTTCAGAGGTAATCAAACGCTACCCGACCGCACACACACACACACACACACATACACACACTTCCTATTATTCAGGGGCAGAGAGGGGAGCAATTGAGAAGGAGACCATTACAGGAACTGCTAAACACGGGCTGGAGGCTCTGCTCTGGTTACAAATGAGGATTTCTACCTGAGTCCAGCTCTGCATTACTCTGCTAAAGACCACCTGGAAGAACGGACTAACAGAGATTGATTCTGCAGCAGAAGCTGAGCCAAGATATGTGTGTGTAGGACAGCATCTAGATTAGACGGCGAGTGTGTGTGTTGTATGTAAAGTCGTTGACCTATAGATCCCTTCCACCATGATGAGGATCTTCCTCCAGGGTCTATGGGTCCGAGGCTGCCCGGAGACGATCCCCTCTCTGAGCATCTTCTCCAGACTGTGCATGTCTGACAAACACAAACACAGGTGAGAGAGGAAATCAAGTTAAAACAGGTGACAAGAGGCAAACACACAACCTCACCCTAAAGAAAATAATACAAAAACTGAGAGAAGGAGTTGACCCTTTTCTATAAAATCACACACAAATGTGTCTCTTTTTGATGAAAAGAAAAAGAAAAACATGTCCTCATCATATGAGAGGACATCATCATCATCATCATCATCATCAGAAGTCAAGGTGCAATAGGAGATTGCAGGTGGATCTGAATTATTTGTGCTGAATAAAAAAAAGCAAAAGGAAAAAGAAAAAGAAAAATATTTTGGTTTCTTTTTTTTTTTATTTATCAAATTTCCTCCAAATAAAGTTCTCTGGTTCTGATTTCTTAGCTTTTCTTTTTTCTTATTATTTCTTCTTTCTATGTTATTTCTGAATTAATTTTCTAATTTGTATTTCTTACTCATTTTTTTATTTTCTTTTTTATTTTATTACACATTATTTATTTTCTTTTTTTCTTCTTATTTGTTATCCATTATTACTTTATTTCATTCATCATTTATTTTCTTACTATCATTTCATATTTTTATCATTTGATCTTATATAATTTTCCTATCACTAAATTTTTTTTTGATAATTTCCTATTTTTATTTTAAATTTTTCAGTGGTATTCAATGTTTTATAACTTATTTTTATAAATTAATATTCATATATTTATTTTTTAATATTACTTAGTCATTATTTCTTCGTTTATTTCTCTTATATATCAACAGTTATTTTTAATTTTATTTCTTTTTTCACTTCTAGTTCATTATTTTCTGAATTATTTCACGAATTTTTTAAATTATTTTGTGTTTATTATTTACATTTTTTCCTCTACATTTTAAAATCATTTTTATTGGATTTTTTTTATTATCATTGCTTTTTTCTTAGAAGAATTTAATTTTTGTCATTGCTTCTTGTGTTTTCTCTCTTAATTCATTCTCATTCAGTATTTCAGTATTTAATTTTCAATTTTTTTCATTATTTTTCTGAACCAGTTGGATTTAATTTAGCCTAATGAAACCTTTTTTATAAAAAATAAATAAATAAAAAGACAAAAAATTCCTTAGATATTACAGTTTTGCAAAGTACTAAATTTAAAGTTGAATGAAAATCACCTTTAGAAAAAATTAAAATAAAAACTTCTCACTGTCTAATGTACCTGACAAATAAGACTCATTATTTATCATGTAAATCCGACCAGAACAGGCCTCTAAAATTCAGGATAAATACATAACTACTCTTGTTTACTTTACTGTGCAGGTCATGAAAAACTCCTCCCAGTGCCTTTAAGGATGGGAGCACTTCAACGATCTCTGCTTCATACATGTTGCTCTAGATAGTTTACTGAGTGCATAGATGTCTCGCCTGTAAGCAACACCTACAAAGAGCAAACAGGAGTTAGGTGAGTTATGACTCCCAGAGGGCAGAGCAGTTCACTGAGTACACACAGCAGAAACACCCTCCACCAACAACAAACAGGAAATACCTCTAATGAACACCTGCATGAGCGTCTGCATGACACAGAGGATTACTTCACTTCACTATGAGCTAAACACAGGTTTGTCCAGAGCTCTCTTCAACTGTAATTGAAAGTTTGGCTTCAGTCATGATTTCCCTGTAGTGTTTAGATTTATCAACAAGGAGGAAAAGTGAGATCAGAGATGATTTTCTTCTGCACACACCAGCAGATGGCAGTGTTGAATAGCTGCAGGAGCACGACCGCAGTCCAACCGTATCATGCAGAGGGATTAAATTTGCATAGCTGATAATCTGCCATAGATGATCGATGCTGCTTCAGAATAAGGACTGCTTCTCCTCCTGGAGTCTGATAAAATCACCTGGAGCTCTGCAGAGGGGAGCGCACGCCTGGTGACTAATATCAATTCAGAGCCTCGACCTGATCAGGGAGAGTGGTTTGCTTTGTGCAGAGGAAGAATGAGGAAACGATCACTCCACAGTTAGGCACTGATTTGAGATAAACCGCAGACTGATATGAGATCCTGCATGACTGTCATGAGCGGAGTTATAGACGAGTCTGAATGATTGTATCCACAACATGTCATTATCTGTGCTGCACTGGCCCAGAGGGAGCACAAATACTCCTTTTTTTAAAAACAAACCCGAGCTCCAATAAAGGGTTTGACAGAAGAAAACGTCAGCCCTCAAAGGAGTGTCCTTTATCAGGACTCATTTGAAGTATTTCGACAAACAAGCCCGACAATGACGCACTGACCGGACGGACCAGTTTGTCTGCTCAGAGGAATGAAACTCCTCCATCTCTGTTAAACATGAAACATGCAAATATTTAGACAGCATCAACAAAGATGAGAGGAATTTAAGAGACAGACTGCAACATGTGTTTAAAGTAGACTTAAGGGTTGTTTGCAAATCTGTCAATGAGCCTGAGATCACTGTAACAACGCGCCACCACGACCACGACCACTTCCCAGAGTACGGATGTGAGGATCTACGATTTCACATTAAGGGTCAAATGACTGATGCTTCAACAACAAGTTCCCGAGCCTTGTGGGTTTGCAAAACACCACAAGTAGAGCTGCAGAGGTCCAATAATTTAAAAGTTGCACGCTCCTTTTGCAAGACAGTCTTAAACATCTGAAATCTACGACAAAAAAGTTCCTCCAGTTTAGGACAACAAATCAGCATCCGTTTACTCGGGGGTTTGAAACATTTTCAGCCCACTCCTGATGTCAGGATTTTTAAAAATATATCATCCCTACGCTGTCTCGTCTGATTAAAATCAAACTAAAAACACAATTCCTTATAAACCTCCGCCAAGCAGCTCATGTCCCCCCCTTAAACAAGAAATGCCCTGACCGGGATTCAAACCCAGGACCTTCTGGCTGTGAGGTGACAGTGCTAACCACTACACCACTGTGCCGCCCATTGGTTATCTTTCAGCATTGTGTATTCTGGATCACAGTATCCAGAATTTTGTCCGGATCACCACCAAAATGTAATGGGATCCTCCTGGAGCTGAGACGCACCTCTGGTGAAAATTTCAGGTCAATCCGTCTGTAACTTTCTCCGGAAAGTTGGTAACAGACAAACAAACAAACCAACCAACGCTACCGAGAACATAACCTCCTTGGCGGAGGTAAAAACAGCGAAGGTCAAGGGCCAAAGGAATCTGGATGGCCTGACTGGTTCTTGAGGATTTTTGAGCAGGTTGCAGGACTTTGGAGTCCAACAAAGAAGTTTTCCTCGACGGTTTCTTTACTGAACCTCCACGCTCCTCAATGACAAACATGAATGGATGATCACGGTTTTATATGAACCATCTAACAAACACAACAACAACCCTTTTTCAGTAAAACCGTCTCAGTCCTTCTATCTGGTCTTAATGGAGTCAATGTAACAGTCAGGATCATCATTTCTCAGGTCGAAGTTGATTTCCAGAGGTTTGGTTGGAGTTTGTTTACATTAGTTAAATAATGTGGTGCTGTTGGTTGATAGTCTGGCTTCAGACTGGTTCACAAGCCGGTTTCTCAACAGAGGCGGAGCTTGATGTGATCTCTGTGGGTAAAACTCTAACCTTGGACGCGAACTATCCCTTTAAATGTCGAACACTTCTCTACACCCAGCTTTTACCTTTGTATTAAACTGTTTAAAAACAACCTGACCTTTTTTTTTAATGACGATTTCTGCCTGTTTGTGTTTGCCGTTGATTTACGACTCGTCCCAGTTTTCTGCACATGACTTGTTGACGCACATGTTTTACTTCTGAACATGCTAATAACTGTTTGCACAAGTCTGTTTGCTCTTTTAAATTTACGTATTCTCCAGGACTCCCTTGGGAAACCCGTTTAGTACTTAACTGAGAGTATTACCACGGATTAAAACCCCTCTTGGTATGTTAAAAGTGGCCTTGCACTAATAGCAGAGCGGTTTGCTTTCTTGTTCTGGAGGTGTAGAGGTAAGGAGGGGTCAGCCGCTCAGGTGCCTGAGGGCTCTTTGCCTTTAGACGGGCTCCTGGGATGTGCTTGGAGGACCCATAACTGACTCTGCTTGTACCTGTCAGGACACATTTGCTGAGAGCGCACAGCGGCTCATTTGTCCTCCCTCCTGAAAGAGCGGAGCACGTCTCCATGTTGTATCATCCTCCTTAATACTCTCCCTTATCAACCATTCACAATATGTAATTTGACAATTTAATAGCGAACAGATGGTTGAAGTGAGAGGACATTTTCATTTAAATGGACTTCTTTTCTTGCTGCTCTGCCGCCGATGGATAAAAACACAGTGGTGACTGTAAACTGAACCCATTTCATTAGAGCTTTTTACGTTTGCTGCTGTAAACACAGAATTTTAAGTAGGTCTTCCCAGAGGCAAATCCTGCACAGCAAACAGAGTAATGTGTTTCTCACAGCAGCGACGGCAAACGTTTGGAATAAAAGCACGATGTGAGGAGAGGATGCTGAACAAACAGATTCAACAAAAGCACATCATATCAACGATGTCTGACTGGCGGGAGCAATGAATGTTAAGCACCCAGGCTGGCGGGTTTCTGACAGCACAGCCTTGAACTTAAATACCGATGCGAAACGCCGCCGGACTTACTGTTGTGTTTGAAAACTCGGATAGTCGCTCCTGAAAGTCTGGCCCCCAAGATGAGAGAGGTGTGATTAAGCTCGTCGCTCAGAATCAAACAACCCTGGAGGGAGAAAGAGAGAGAAAAACCATAAATAAGATTTACGCAGGAACAAGAAATGACCAGTCTAACATGTGGTTTTTTCACTCTCTCAGCTCTGTAACTTCTGACAAACAGTGGCAGCCATTTTTGTTTTATTCATGAAAAACACCCGTGAGTGTTTCCTCGCTTGTATGAAAAGATGCATGATCTGCATGACTGTGTTCGGGTTTTACAAGAGTAAATACTGGAGTTTGTCCCGTTAATCAAACACTCAATCTGACTTTATGAAAACATGAATATTTCCGTGTTTTTGCTGGCGTGTAAAAGCTGAAGGATGTGTTTTATGAACTCTTAAACTCTTCCCTTTGAAATTTCACAGAAGTGCTGCACCACAGGCTTCAAACTTTGGACCGAGTTTGTGTTGGTCTAGACTCTAAGGTGCCGACACTTCCTGCATCCTTAAGATTAAAACCACGCCACCTTTGCACTTGACCACACCTCATTTCAAAAACCGGCACACCCATGGGCACTGATGTGGGCACAGGTTCATTTGGTGTTTACACAACGTGGGCGCTCGAAGTGAGACGTGTTCTGGGTGGAAAATATCAGCCAGACTTGGAGCTTTGCCTTATATTGTCTTTAATCATGACTGAGGTGTAACTACATCCACTTTTATTTTAATTTTAAGCTATAAAATAAATCAGATTATACTTTTTTTCCACTTTGGTCATGAATAAATCAAGATAATCTTTGATTATCGGTTTTATAAGATGATGAATCTCACTGGGACGGCATATGATGGTGTTTTAGACTTGGTGGTCCATACATAGTCAGAGAGCCAATTAGCTTCTCCCTTGGGTGCTGATGAAAATAATGAGCTTGTAAGCTGTAAACATGATCGGAGTATTGATGTAAATCACAGCAGCACACACGGACAAACCCATCCGTTAAACATCATCTACTTCCTGTGAGATTGTTGATTTTGTGGTGAACGTCGATGTAGTAGATTATTCCTGCAAGATTACTGGTGAGTTACTACGGTGGCCGAGAACAGCCAGTGCTGCAAATAAAAAAAGAACGTAAAAAAAAAAAAGAAGCCACAGCGGGAGTTAATGACGCAAAAACAGATGCAAAAAAAAATAAAAAATTACTTACTGCGAAAATAAAAGGATGCACATTTTTAAAAAAGCCACAACTGAGGTGAGCTGCCGGGGACCAGTAATGATGATGCACCGGTGTTTCACGATCTAGGCACAAAAGACGATGGCGAGAAGACGAGCAAAGAAGATAGTAGAAAGGTTATTGATTAATTTCTCTTTGTGAACATTTCAATGTGTCATTTGGTTAGTCCATGCAGCGCCTGAGTCAATATGAAGTTGAACTGGAGGATGCCGGTGTCGTGTTAGCTTCAGTTCAACTTCATATCGACTCAGGCGCTACACGGCCGAACCCAGGCATGTCCAAACTATTCCACAAGGGCTGGTGTGGCTGCAGGTTTTCCTTCTAACCAAGCAGCAGAACACCAGACTTGATTCATTTCATCAGCTGATCTCAGTCTGCAGACAGCTGATTGGTCAGACTGCTTGCTCTTGATTGGTTGGGCGAAAAACCTGCAGCCACACCTGCCCTTTGTTTGGACATGCCTGGCCTAACCACAGGGAAAAGTTCACGAAGCGAAATTAGCCTAGAGCCTAGATCATGAAACACCGGTGCGTCATCATTACTGGTCCCTAGCAGCTCACCTCAGTTGTGGCTTTTTTAAAAATTTGCATCCTTTTATTGTTGCAGTAAGTAACTTTTTTTTCCATCGCCACTTTTTTTTTGTGTCGTTACAGTCTGGGATTGAATAAATAGAAGCTTTATCTAACTAAAGCACCTCTATTATAAGTCAAAGGTTAATTTAGAGGCTTCAAAAGTTTCATACAATCACATTTATGTCCACCAGTCCTCTTGCTCCACCTCCATACCTATATTTCCCTGCGTGCACTCCACTTGTCAGCATCAACATCGTGGTGAGGGTTTGCTTCTTCCACACGGATCAGTATGCAAATGAATTCATGCCTTTCCATGAATTTCTCTCCGCCACATTAGCATATTTAGCAGAAGCTCAGAGCGTCCGACTGCTTCGCTTTGAATGAACTCGTGTCGAGCGTTTTGTTGACACTGTCTCAGTGACAGATACTCTGGGTCTGGCCTGAGGTCCAGCTGGCCCGGTCCCTGGTCTACCAGCAGCTGTCACTCTAATGTAGCTCTGCCTGCTCAGCGTGTCTTGTCTCTGCACAGCCTGTCCCTGCAGGATAGGGTTGGCAGTGCGGTTTGACCCCTGGCCCCCGGAGGGTCACTGTGGGGGCTGCAGCCTTGGGGGGCCGCTGCACCTCTTGGTTTGCATAAACCGACCCTGTTCTCCTCACTTTAACAGTCAGCCTCCCTCTCCCCTTCTGTCCGGTCCAATCACAGATATTTATGCCGTGTTTTTGCCCCCGGTCACCCGCGGCTGTCTGAGCGCGACAGGCCTGAGTTTGGGTAATCATCCCCCTGAGTGCTGCTCTTAACAAAAACCTGCCCTGTCTCGTCAACGTGTCTGAAAGCAGCCATGCCCGTGGCCTCGTCCTCCCGGCTACTGTTATGTTTAATTATGATTTTAATTAATGGGGGTCGGTGGGGAGTTGTTCACAGCTGAGTTTAGTTGACTGTAATTCGTTAATTTAGGCCATATGCAAGAAAGGAACAAAAGCTCGGCTAATTAGATTAATTTCTGCTGCGCTGTGTAAATGACACCCATATACAGGAGGATTTCCTCTTCACACTGTGAGATACGTGTGATTTTTTCTTAAGAGCTGAGGAAGTGAAACATACTCGAACAGCAGCATCTGTGCGAAAGGATGAAACTTGAAGAGGTGTGAAGAGACGACTTTATCTGCATCTGTTCAACCCAAAATGAGCTGAATAAAAAACTGGAAGAGGGTGTGGCGTGAGAGGACACGAAATCAAAACATAAATAAACATTTGGTGACTTTAACATCTTAAAAGAAGAAGTGACTGAGAAACAAGTCTAACCAGCTGCGACTCATTCTTGTCCTCGCTCTCTGCGAGACTGAGTATCTCTTGATAGCAGATAGACGTCACAACAACGTGCAGCAATGTGGCATTTCAAGTGTTGAGAGATTGCTAACCTTGCCAACAAGCGCAGGAATGTTCATGGAGTTGGTGGCGAAACCCATCCCGAAGATCATGGAGGACTCTACGCCCAGAAACTCGGCCCCCAGCTGCTCCAGCTCTTCGTGGATGCTCAGGTTACCTGCAAGAAACGAGTCACATTTAACCCGTAATGAAAAAAAGAGACTAAACAAACCACACATGAACACTTTGGGACATGTTTTTTTAGATACTACAACATATCAATCAATCAATCAATCAATCAATCTTTATTTTTAAAGCACTAATAAATAAAAATACAAATACCAAACCTCAGCTACCCTCCTAACCCCCATTCAACACATACAGCACTCACATGCTCACACACACACAGATTGCACACACAAAAGACTCTTATTGGACTGAATGTGAGGACTCTTCAACTTCTCACAGATGACTGAGGAAACACTATCTTGAGTTTAAAAAATGAGGAAACACTGGATCTAGGACTAAAGCGATAAAACCATGATAGAATAGAATAATGGCGATAAAGCGTTAGAAGTTAATTCAAAAAAGGGTCTCGAAATCAAACAATACAGGTAGTAAATTAAAGAAGAGGTAATAGAACACAAAACATGTCAAAAATACAACGTTACTCTAAAGTTTAAACACTAAATCTCCTTTAATTCACATAGTTCACAGCCACATAGTCCCATTTAAACTGGTGGAGGTTGTGTTGGTTTTGCAGCGACCACACTTGACACAGTTCACAGGCCGGTGTGCAAACTGGTTTGTGCAAACTTTTTTACTGTCATGATCTGCTCTGTTGATTTAGTTTTTGTGATTTGACTGTATTTTCTGTGTATTTTCTTTGTGTTCCAGTCTTGTGAGTTTTCAGTCTGTGTCTGACACCGTTTAGCTCCTGTTCTCTCTTTTATTCTTAGATCAGTTTTCAGTACTTCCTGTTTTATTTTGTAGTAGTCCATCCTTGTGTGTAGTCTTTTTTCCCTCCTCAGTAATTGTCTGCACCTGTGTCTCAGTGTCTCACCTGTTGCTCGTTTACCTGTTGTGTGTACATATAGTCCCTGTCTTCCCTTGTTTCTCTTTTGGTTCTGTGTATGTCCATGTGTGTGCGTTTGCATGAATCCTTTGTCTTTAGTTGGATTTTGTTCTCCTCATGTTTTTAGTCAATGCATGAATCCTTTGTCTTTAAAGTCATTTTTTTCGTTCTGCATTTGGGTCCTTTTTTCCTTGTTCAACTCTGCCTCGTAAGCTTCAACTTGAAACAAAGCTGCAGAAGTTTGTTGCTGGGACAAAAAACTTGCAAATCCTTTACAGCATTCATGGCGGTCCAGCCTCAGCCACATGGTCCTAAAATAAATGGTGGCGGTTGTCTTTTGCAGCGACCACACTTGACACATTTATCAGTCCGGTGTGCGACCTGGTTTGTGCAAACTTTGTTGAAAGCTTCAGCTTGGAAAAAAAGCTGCAGAAGTTTGTTGATTTGTTTGATTTGGCCCGATTGACTCCAGGATGTTCAGTCTGCATCACTTTAAGGATTCATGAATCAAAATAAAAGCTAAAACTAATAAACTTTCCAGAGCCTTTAAAGGAGTAGTGACACTTTTTAAACAGTGTGTTCTTAAGGGATAAATAATTTACCATGACAAGATCGATGTACCTGCAGGTTATCTGGTCAGTCCTTTAGTCTCCGCGTTTTCTGCTCTTTTCACAAGTTTTGTGACAAAGATGAACGCTGCCTGATGAAAAGTCCATGTGTAAAAACCCGACACGCACATCCCCGCTCTCCGAGGATTTGAGGAGATTTATAAAGATTCAAGTTGTGCTAAATTTGTAATTTACTGCCCCCTTTTTCATCCCAGGTAATACCGAGTCAAGTCCTGCTAGAGCTGAAAGTGCTCTGCAGCCCATTTTGGGAGCGCAGAGGCAGTTGTTTGTAACCCGATGTGACAGCTGGGGACCGAAAATTCATTTAGAAAAAATTGATCAGATTGTAATCTGTCACCTGGCCGGGTGTTGTTATATTTTGTGCAATAAAAGCATGCTTTTTGGGGGATCTCTGGGGGGCTTTCAGCTCTGCCCTCATGGTCAGCGGATAAAAAGAAGGATTACTGTTATAATTGGGAGCTACAGGAAGAAAGAGGAGGAAGAAAAACGCTCATAAATACACCTCAAATGAACCCAAAGTTTGAGGTTTTACTCCAAGTCTCTCACTTTTCATGACTGTTGTTTTATCTTGGACTTCTGTCTTTGAATTAATGCTAATTTCTCGGTATATAGGAGCTGTTACTATCAGGATAAATATACATGACTGAAATATTAAAAGATTTAAATGTAAAAGAATTCTTGTAAATGCACATTGGATATTTCCATGTTTTACAAAGTTACAACCAGGAAATTGATGTAATTTTGCAAAAAATAGGTTTTATGGATCCACACATATTCACTGAATATGAGATTAAATTGACATATAATTCTGTTGCTCTGTTTTTATGAATGAATTATCTCAGAATTATCCATCTTTATCCATGAATCGCCGATCCACAACAAGTGTTTTCTGCAGATGCTTAACAAAACAGCAGGTCTGGATTCTGTTTGTGTAAAGATGGAATCAGATTGGACCCCATCCTGTAAGATCTGACCCACTCCCATCTCATCTTCAACCCCGTGAATGAAACACTTTACAGCATTCATCAAGTTAAGGTGGAGAGGAAAAGCTTCCTTTAACAGGCAGAAACCTCGAGCAGAACCAGACTGATGTTGGACCCTCATCTGCCACCTGACTGAAGTTTGAACTGGACGTCTCAGGAAGGACCTGAAATGTGTCTCGACTCTCAGATGTACAATCAAACTAGAATACAGTGAAGCAGCTCTGTCTGTCTGTTTGCTGTTTTCTTTTCCCATCAGGCTTTTTGCCGTGTCCGATCGATTCCTGCATTTCCTCGACCACTCAGCCTCTCTCCGCCCTGCCGCCGGAATGTGCAGCATCCTGGTCAGTCTGCATCGGCATTCACTTAGAGACGCTCTGCCTCCTCCTTATTGATATGCTGACCTCATAAGGCTGCCCGAGGTCTGCCCACCTGAGTTAGCTGAGGGGAAATGACACCTGGGCTGTCTTATGTGCATCTCATTACGACCGACCTCAGTCATCTTTTCTGCAGATATGATTGTACTTCTGTTGTGATTGTGGTTTCTCTCTTTATGGCAGCCTGCAGGAGTTAATCATTTCTTTAATCAACCTTGACTTTAGTCCGAGCAGACACATAAAGTTTTTACTGCCCAGTTTGAACATGTAAATATGCAGCACAGCTTTTTCCACGAGTATATGTGAGCGCACATGAGGGTGAAATACTGAGCAGAGAGGAGCTGGAAGCAGCACGTCGTATTTCCTTGTCGTTGATCATGAACAGGAATGCACGGCATCGATATCTAATTCACTGTATGTTAATGATTGCAAGACAAGTAAGCAGAGTGAGCTATCCATTAAAAGTAATCCGTGACTGTTCGACAGGTCTGTTTATTCACAGGGCGTGTTTTCTCTGCACTTTGGATCTACTTTTAAATACGACTCAATTTGTATCCTCCCTGCACAACCGAAGCAATTTGTTAACAAATGATCTCTGAGATTTGGTGCAAACAAACAAATCACATGATATTCAAGGAGAGGAGGAATGAAATATTGGGGAAATGTGCATCAAAAGTGATTGATTTAGGAGAATATGAGAGGTAGAGTTAAAATCAGAGTATGAAAATGTCATTTTTTGGGGGTATTTTTGGTTTGGGGTGAATTTGCATGCTGTTAAATTCATTCAGGAGCATTTGTACGTGACATTTTCTCTGTCGCACCAGTTGAAAATGCTGCATATGGAGAAAAAACACACTGGAGATAGTGGCATCGCTGCTCTTACAGAGATACTGGGCCTTTAATAATTGATGCTTAATAAGGTCTCCGGGGAGAAATGCTTGTTATTCTTTAACCCTCTGAGTGAGCCAGCTGAAACTCCGATTACAAAGCCACAGAAAAACAGTCCCATTTTGAAAGAGAAATAAACATATGAATAAATCACGTGAATGAATAATGGATCCTGCAGAAGAGTGTGTGTGTTTTTGTGTGTGTTTGTGTCGTAAAGGAGGGGTTGTTCTTGTGTTCTCAGCACTCGTAAAACTAACGAATCCATGTGTCTAATATCGTGCACAGCGAGCCGACCCGCTCTTAGTCAGAAGATTTACAGCAGCGCCATAAACCCAACATCATTGACAGACAGAGAAATACAGCGACAGTTTTCCTGTAAACTTTGCCACTGTTACCGCACACGCTTAAATGAGCGTCGTCATGTTTAAATATTGACCAGTGATCACTAAGCGGGAGTCAGATCATCAGATTTCAGCACTAAAGAGGATGGAGTTCCTGAGGTCTGTCATGAAGCTCTTATTAATGACTCTGGAGGAATTCTTTATCAATGTCTCTTTCAATAAAGCTTTTTTACACATGTTTGATGCATTTCCACCAAACGGTCCAACTTGACAGTATAACATTGTTTAGTTAGAAACCGTACACCCTGATCTTGTTTTTTGTTTCTGCAGCAGACTGTACTCTATCTTGGTGCTTCATGCTCATTGGCTGTTTCTTACTGAGATGTGCAGATGATGAGCTGAAGGCTGCGTCACATGCATGAAAAATTTACCATGCTTGATCTTCAGAAATGCCAACAAGTTGTACAACTTGTGCAACTCCTCAATCAAGCTTGCATTGAACTTTCTCTAAAAACATAAAACATAATTGACAATGTTGGCTGCAGGCCAGCTGCTCTGTGTTAGTTATTCCATCAGGTTAGGTTTATTTGTGATATTTATTTAAGGGAAATGATGAGAATTGATCTGTTTACTCTGATTAATCAATTTATGTTTGACATGTCTGTTCATGTTTAACTATGATGAGGTTTAGACCAGTAAAGGCTGGATAATGACATACAGCTCAGTAGTGTTACACTTAGGCCATCACACGTATCATATCACACTGCATTGTATCCTATTATATCCCACTGTATTGTACTATTGTACTGCACTGTATCATATTTGAGAAATCGTATCCTACTGTACTGTGTCAGATGGTATACATTCGTATCATATAGTATGGCATTGCAATGGATCAGATCATATTCTATAGTATAATAAACTGCATGGTACTGCATTGTGTCTTATTGTACAGGGCTGTAAGGTTTATATCTAATTGTATTATATAATATCTTACCATACTGTATTGCATCTGATAGCATTTTTGTTGCACTGTATTGTGCTGTATAGTCTCATACAGTATCATACTGATCATCTCATGCTGCATCATATTAAACGTCTCATATCATACTGATCATATTGTCTCATATCATATTGACCATCTCATACCATATCATACTAATCGTACCCTCTCATATTGTATCGTATTGACCATCTCAAACAGTATCATACTGATCGACTCAGCATATCATTCCGATCATCTCATACCGCCTCATACTAACCGTCTCATAATGTATCTCACTGATTGTATCACCTTATACCGTATCATACCGATCGTCTCATACTGTATCATACTCATCGTCTCATACAGCATCATACCCTCATACCATGCCGTAATTTACCGTAACGTTAAACTCCATACTCTTCACTTTCCTGGGTTTGCTTTAATACTGCCACAGAAGATTTTTGACCATAATGTTGTCCTGATCGAACCCCCTCCTCAAACACTCACTTAGACCGGTTCAAAGGCCGACTGGAAACCCTGAGGATGATGGAGCGCCATCTAAAATTCATCTGAAACCACAGATTCAGCACTCTGATCCTCGCCGCTCTGACACTTCCATCACTGATGTTCATTTTGCATCCTGCCTCATGTCCAGGGCGATGTTACTTTCCTCTATGATATAATTTCCCTTACCACTCAGTGTGCAGCAGAATGTAATATCTTATGCCCAAATGGTACATAATTCAACCCAGGCTGAATAATTCATGGAAACAGTACAGCCACTGAAAGATAATTAAACAAGCGGGCAGTGTAATTCACAAGAAAGATAATAAATGATGGCGTGTGTGATGAGGGAGATGGAGTTTTATATCCAGGGGCTTTTAAAATAGATGCATGGGCAAGAAATCTGAAATAAAAAGGTCACCATATGTTCACGCAGACTCTGAAGTGGGTATTTTTTCTTTCATTTTTTGAAACTAGGACATGAGTCATATTTCTCTTTGCACGCTGACCACAGACTCACCTATTTCCTGCCTCGTGCTGCACACTCCGACCCCGTACTGACGCGTTTTATCAGCCACAGTCTTCAGGAAATCAGCGTTGTTCTCTGCAAAGCCCAGGTAGTTATAGGAGCCCACGTTGATGACATCGTGTAACGTCTTCCCGGTTAACCTGCGAGCATGAAAACATCCGAAATTCACTTAGCATTTATATTCTACTCGACAAGCGCTCAGTGAATTGATTACTCGCTATAAAAAGTAATCAACATTAAATGAATTATAAATGAAAACATAAACTTGTTTCTCTGTCAGCGGAGTTCAGCTCATGAGAGGCAATTATAACAATGTTTATTGGAGGTAAACAGAAGTGACTGCTTGTGTAAGCTACACTTGTTATTCCTGTTTCCTCAGACAATTTTTAAGTACATAATCAAATATTTACAGCTCATTTTAGCAGGAAAAAAGAGATAGTGCCGCCTTATGGTACGCTAGTGTGCTTGATGAGTCCCACTGAGAGTCAATCAATCGACCTTTTTCTATTCTGGAGTGATCGGTGAGGGGCAGCCTCTGTTTTCACTGACGCTAAGTCGATTACAGGAAACAAAAGACACAAACAAAGAGATAAAACGCCCAGGGAAACAATAAATAAGGCGATATAAGAGTCCAGATTCAGGCTAAAAAAAACCACAAGGGCTTGACAAACGTAGGGTGACCATATGTCCTCTTTTACCCGGACATGTCCTCTTTTTGGGGGCTGTCCGGTCTGTCAGGGGGAGTTTATAAAATCCTTCAAATGTCCGGGGTTTTGTTTGGAAGTTCTGAGTTTGTGTCATGTGGATTTACTGAGTTAGAAGCGCATAAAAAAACACTCGACTCGACCCGCAAAACTCTCAAATTTTAATACGCGCGACTTTGTGACTCTGCCCCCATGTAGTTGTGTCCTCTTTTTGGGGATTCAGAATATGGTCATCCTAGACAAATGAATAACCATACTCATCAGAGTTTTCTTGGCCTCACTGAGGGGTGAGCAAGGGAGCGTTTCAGTCTGAAACCTGACCGCTAGATTATCGTAAATATTCCTGTTAGCCTGCTTAGGTAGTATATCACTGTTAGCAAAAAAACAGTCATGCTAGCAACAGAAGTGACTCAACCACTGAGTCCAAGGTGTTTGCTGAGTCAACATCCAGCGCCCCTCCTCATAATAAACAATGACAGTAATGAGAAGGACTTGGGTAAACACTGAGGACTTTAGAAATGAAGATGTTTTATGGGATAAAGAAAAGATTGAACCCCTTTTTAATGAGACGACTACATATTCAAGACAGGCCTGTTGAATTTCACCCACTGACCCATTTCTCCTCACTCCTAATGCGAACCTGCACACTGCATCCAAACCCGACCGCATGTCTTTTAATCCATCCACCACAAAAGACAAGCTGACTGCCCCATTTCCCCTTTTTTTCCAGTCACTTTAAACCTCTTTCAACATGTAATCCAGACCCAGCACTCCGTCCCAATTCAGGATGGCAGATCGCTTCCCCACGGCTCTCTCTGTTCGTACTTCTCTTAATAATATATTCTTTGACCCCGCTGTGCAGGAGAGGGGCACATCCAAAATTCAGGCCTGACCTATCACTGCATGTTTTCATGTGTCTTTCTGCATAAGCTCACAGAAGAGGAGCCTGATCCTGCCAAGGCGGCGTTGGGTTAGGTGGATGGTTTATGTCTCCGAGTGTTTAAAAAGCTTGTCAGACCGTCATAAACTGGAAAAAAGCCGCACATATTTATAGCTTTGGCTGCAGGTTTTATAACAATCCTCATCCGTCTATGATAAACGATTAGATAACGGTACCTGAAGGTCCAGTTGTAGTCATCAGACACCCTCTCCATCATGTCAAACACAGGTCCAGGCAGGCTGCAGACAGGACGATTCCAGTTGTCCCGTACCCTCATGTACAAGTTTCTGGTGTAGAAGTTCTCAAAGTCTTGATAAAGTGGAGTAAAATCCTGCAAACAGAGAGAAACTATTTCAACAATGAGATCAGAAACTGGGCAACGCCAACCATGTCTTTTTTAGAGGGTTTTTTCCCTCCAAAACCAAAAGAATTTACAGATTCAATGAAGACAAATCTGAAAAATAGATGCTAAATGATCAGATTTAGATGGAATAAAATGTGATCACGTGTGTAAAGGAAGCACTTACGTATCAGTATTTTAATGCCATAAAAAGTGAAATAACCAAGAGTTTCTTGGATGGATGACAGCTCTGCTAACAGTCTGACATTTGGACAGATTTCTAAACTATAACTGACACGAAGGAAAACTTCTGGACTTTGTCAGCAGCACTGAACGGGTAAAAGTTCTGATATAAAACAGGCACAAATCAGGCATTTTACTGCAGTAGCCTATGCCGACATGAGCGTTACAAGTGTGCCAGAGTATCCATTTTGCTCTGGATTAATAATCAGAAATCAAATTTCCAAGTTAGTCTTAACCCCAGTTTCTTCCTCCTTTAAAGTCTTGGCTTGTTGTGAACAGGAGACCATAACTCCTCCATCTGTGCAAAGTATGTTATCTATGTCCCATATGGCGATACTGGAATTCTTGCACATGCAGAAAACACAACACTACCCGGCAGACCAATCACAGAGCTTGAGGTCTGTGCTGTTTTAATATGAAGCCACATTTTCTAAGGAGATGCATGCAGGCTATGTGCACACACTTCTGCGTACATACAGGATCATCAACCCAAATGCTGCAGCATCAACTTGATGCATCATGCATGAGACCGAACCGAGTTGTGATTCTGAGAAATCTGGAGAAGAAGTTGCACAAGTAGGAGTAGGAGTGGGCTGCACTGAAGTATTTTAAAGGGTCGGGAACAGACAGGAGACGTGCAACTAAATGTCTATAATACAAAAAATACACTTATCATTTGTGGTACAATCACATGTTTGTTTGTTGAGAGACCTGGCTGATCTGATATTGGCCAAATCCAATATGGTGCCTCCGTGCTTTAGTTTCTGACTCTCAGGGTAAACAGTCATGAAACGAGACAGCGAGGGTATGTGCTCCCCACTCTTTCAGGAAAAATCAATAGGCTGAAAATATTCTTCATCTTGGAGTAAAAGACGGATCAGCAGACAAATCACATGCTACATACAACCTTTAGTACAAGCAGGTAAAAAGTCTCTGCAGCCTGCACAACAGCTTTGATTTTTGAGTGAATTTCTCTTTCTTTGACCGAGATTGTTTTATGTTGAAATGTTGATATTATCTAGATTATGTCACTGATGCCACCTTATCATTCAGGGAGCCACACCTGCAGTCTACAGCAGAAGTTTGATGTTGCATAACACCCAAATGTTCACATTTATCCGCTAACAAAGAAATGCACCGCAGCTGTTTGAACCTCCCAACACAAACCACAATTGTGACAGAGCTGACTTCCAGGAAAGCTCTTCCTCTCTTTATTACGACACAGAGAACAAACTGTCGAGTTATCGTCACTCTCTGAGGTTCCTTTATTAACTTATCTAAGTAGAGACAACACAGCAGAATTGATTTTTAATAGATGATAACTTCTTCATCTTTAAAGACCTGATTTTTACTCCTACTGCAAGTTTGAGTTTAAGAAATCAAATCGATGGGGGTCTTGCTTTGGTCTTATCTCCAATCTTAAGCACTGTAACAAAGACAGAACTTGCATCCTCTGAGATTTAATTAGGGCTTCAGGAGATATTCTCTGTGGTGTCCTGTCTCACCCATGGCAACATTAGAGCAGAGGAACATGAAGGAGGATGGGAGAGAGAGGGAGAGGGAGGAAAAATGGAAATAATTCTCAGAGAACAAGATGTGTTGACACCCAAGGCTTGTGTGCTCTCCCTCTGCAGCGGCTTTGGCACTCTCTCTCTCTCTCTCTCTCTCTCTTTCTGTGTATGCATTTGTCTTTATACCGATTGCATGTTTTACCCACCTTCTGTTCCTCTCTTTCCTGGGCGACGTTGCGCTTCTCGAGGCCCACGAATCGGAGGAAATCTCTGAGGTAGCCGAACAGTGTGACAATACCGAAGCCCACGTATGTCATGACAGCCACGTAGATGGGCGGCTGTTCAAAGGACTCCTGTCGGTGCTGCCTGGAGGCAACAGCGGTCCCTGGGACATTTTTCTGTACAAAAAGAGAGAGCCTCACATAAGCTGCTGTACAGTGCAGACAAGAGCAGAGGGAACAATGCTGTTTGAATAAAAGTGGCTCTTATTCAAAATACAAGGTGGTGGTAAACACGCCAATTAACCTATCCAAATGAGGAGGACATGAGGAGGCCTACATGCATCCAAGGAAGTCAACAGAACTGCACAATTAATTGAGTCAAGAAAGAAAGTGTGCATAAATGAAGATAAAATGTCAGCTATAGAAAATAAATATACAAGATATTTGTATATGTGGGGCAAAAAAAAGGAAAAACAATCAACTTTTGCAATTTTGCATCATGAATAATCAAATAATCCCAGATGTGATTTTGTAAATACAGTTTTTTCTTAAAGACAGGAGCATTAAAAGGTAGCTCAAGATCTAAAGAATTTAAAGTTTAAGGTCAATATTTTTTTAATGTACTGCGGTTAAAAATATTAATAAATGAGGTTTGAAGTGAGTTTAGTAATACATGGCTGTAGGAAAGGGAAACCTATATGAGGAAGCAAAAGTGAAAGCTGGTGGACCACGCAGCCACCACATTTTAAAGAAACAGTTAAGGAATCAGTTCACATCAGTCATAACGAAAAAATCCTCTTTTATCACAGAGAATGCTTGTTTTGAGGTTTGCATATTCTGTTTCTAAATCTGCAAGTAAGACCAAAGACAGAGCTCCAATGAAATAGGACATACTTGTGTGGTCCACTTGATCAGATATGTAAACATCCCCTTCAAGTCAGAAAGTCTCCATAGAAACTAAGAGCAAAATCCAACATGGCTGCTCTGACATCAACAGTAAATAAAACGGCTCAATTATTCACACTGACTGTATTAAAGAAAGTTCTACCATGTTGCTGTCATCCATAAACCTTTGTAGTATGTTGTTATTGCTCTTGGTTTCAACTTTTACCTGCTGGGACCGTAAATCCTGGTGTGACTCCATTCCTGGGCAGTTCTGAGGTTAAAAGGGACGCACCATTAATTCCTACAAACAAATACTTCAGTCAGGAGTGACTGCTTTGAATGACTCTAATTTTCTTGCCAAAGAAAAGGGAGTGAATCCAGACCATCAAAGGAGTGTATCAGCCTGATATCAACAAGACTGGAATAACTCTAGAGTTAGTCTACACCGTAGACAACTTGGTAACGGCTACCGCTTGTATACAGATTTGAATCTAAACAGCTCTCGATATTTCCGGGACTTTTCTTCATCTCCTGAATACAGCGCTGCGCAGTAGCGATGCGCGCATTCGGCCGCGCAGTCGCCGAGAGTCGCTGTGATGACGCTCGGCTCAAACAGCGTATCCCCCGGGTGAGCTACGCAATCCCTGAACACCAATAGGCTGTATCAAGTGTCAATCATAGAAAACATGAACCCTCTAATAACTTTTAAAAACAAAAGTTTAACAGAAAAAAAGAGGACGGGATTTATGACCTATACTGCAGCCCATCAACAGAGGGCGCTGTTCTCGGAGTGGCTTCACCCAGCGAGGAGGCAGATTCTGTCCATTCTTTATACAATCTATGGTCAACACCCATGAATTTACTCACTAAATATTTTGATCATCATCTTAGACTCTCCTACTGATAACGCCATACTAATGGTAACCCCGATCACGTGATCAAAATGAGTGCACGTGATACAGTGCAAGTATGTGATTGAGCCCATGCATGTTATAAATCTCCCTCCAGCTGCACACCAGACCCTGCAGACAGTCTCCATACAGGGAGTCATGAATTAGCCTACATAACATGAATACAATGTTTGTTGTGATCTTAACTGACCTACTTCAAGTGAAGACAGCCTACCTACCTACCTACATACATACATACATATATCTCATCAGTGAGTCAGAACAGGTAAGTTAACGTTACAGTCCATAAACAAACACCCCCTAACAGACTTTGGGAGGGCTTCTTCTTCTTCCTCCTCACCTGTAAAACTCAGGCCGGGGGCAAAGAAAAACCTGCTTTAAGAGCAGAGAAGAGGAAGAAGAAGAATGTCAGGGCGGGGTCGTTTGTTCATTTATTGCTCTTTACAATGTTCATTTTAGAGGAACTTCAGAGAATAAAAGTCAGACACACCTTTAAGATGCGCCGTCAGATAAAGTGGACGAGATAATGGGAATTAAACATGATTAAATATTGTTCTTTCACGACTATATTATGAAATATCGCGTTACTAACTTATATCTGGAGATGTAGTCTGTCGTTACGATTTATTATGAGTGACCAGCTCGTGCCTGTGCGCTTTACGTTAGCCTACGTCACTCGGGTCGTTTCAGGATAAGAGCCCCGAAAGAGGCACGCGCACAGGTAGAACAGCACCTCCAAAAGAAGTAAGAGTAGCGCAGGTGAGTGGACATCTGCACGGACGTGTAAAGACAGAAAAGGTGTCGGACCCACCTCCTTCCTCGTGCTGTTGTTGTTGTTGTTGAAACCTTTAATCTTGATACACTCGTATTTCAGTTCGCTGTGGCTCAGGTGGGTCTTCAAGTTGCCGTTCGTCCCGGTTCGGGTCATGGTCCTGGAAGCTCAGCAGCGAGCGTTTCCTCTCTGACTGTCAGGTAAAGTAACCCGGGGAGCTGCTGTGGACCTGGAAAGGTAACTTCCTCGTTCAGTCTGTGGAGGTTCAGCCTCCTCTCTCGCTCTCTCTCTCTCTCTCTCTCTCTCTCTCTTTCTCTCTCTCTCTCTCTCTCTCTCTCTCTCTGTTTACTCCGCATGTCTTTAAGGCTTCTTCAAAAAAGTCTCACTACACTTCGCTGTCTGTTTCGACAGTGAGTGGAAGTGAAGCTCTCTCTTCTGCTTTTACCTAAAACGAAACTTATACCGATGCATTAAGCTTCACTTTACTTTCCTCGCTTTATTACTCAGACTCTCACTGCTGTTACAAGCTTTTAGCATTAGCCCAGTATTTGTACACAGATGTGACGAGCACATGCATACAAATCTCTCACCTTTGTGTCTCTGTGTGTTTTTGTGGTTGTTCTCTTCGTTTCCAATCATCACAACTTTGCAGAGCTTGAGTTTTGCAGAGTTTCTGTTGTACAAGGGTCCCAAATTAGATATCTACCCCTCTGACAAGTAAAACTCTAATGTTAAAAGACAGATTGCATAAAAAAGTGAATGAATTTAAGTATGTATAGGCATCTAAAAACATAAATCCATGACATTATGACAGAAAGCAAATAAATAAATCCAGTACCTTCACTTTGTTTATTCTTAAAGCTCCTATGAGGACTTTTTAAATGGAAATGAAGCTAAAATTCACAGTGAGGCTTTTTTGGATAAGAAAAGGCAAGTATAACCATCAAACACTGACTGTTTTAGACTGTCATTTTTACTCTTTTGACATAAAATATTCACAATAAATGATACATAAAGTTAGCAGAATGAGTATATTCATCAATGACAAAAAGTAATAGCTGTTTTTGTCCACAGGGGGCGCCAAATTTGACACAAACCAAAAGTTCCTCACTGGAGCTTTAAGTTTTCTCTCTAGAAAATTCAGTATTTTACTATTTTCTGCATCAGATCAGTTGGTAAAAAACACACAAACTTTCCATCAACTCAGCAAAACAATGTATTGAATGATAGATCTGAATAATTCTTAAAGATACTTCAAGCCATTTTTTCCCTGAAATAATTAATACATTTTGCATCAAAATTTTTGTCAGGAAAAATTTATTTGCCTCATTTGCAGCTCTTTTGATCAATGGAGTTATACAGCTTTGCTTGCTAGATTCTCCCTGCTCAGCCAAGTCAAATCTGACATATACAAAGTTCAAAAACAGCAAAAGAAGCTGTAAAAATACTTAATATATTCACTAACACATGAAAACTGTGCCTCCATTTAGTCTAAGGGTAAATGTCTTGCACCACCATAGTTTTGAAATTAGGACTTAATAGTTAATCCTTAAACCGGACAAACTGGGCCAACGGCAATAACAGGAAAATAGTTACAGTTGATGAGTGAAAATCATGAGTCTAATGCTAGAATTTAATGATACTTTACCGTACACTTTGTAATGAAATACTCTACAAAGGCCCACTTTTCCCTCAGTACTACAGTTCATGTTGTCTACAGTCATGGCTCAGTTCAAATACTCTTTATTTATTCATCACCGTACACTCAACACAGTCACTTAGAGGAGCTTTAAAGCATAAAAACAGATGGAAAAGAAAAGAAGTAAACTAATGTTGAGACTAAGAGAAAATACCAACGTTATATATCTATAAAAATTATTACTATCACAGATTTGACCGGTGTTTGATTAAATAACTTCAAACCGAGGCTTATTTAGTTTATGTAAAAGCCTGTGTTTGTTGAATTTGTCATGTGAATTTGTGAAATTGTGCTGCACCTGTTTTGTTCTCATTGAAATGTTTTAAAGTACCATTAGTCCTGAACTGAAGCGTCACCATCTGGAGTCTGCACGGACTGATACTACTCGTTATATTTTCATCACAAAATAAAAATGGATCACAAACGCAGCACTTTGCAAAACTTTCCTTTTTATTTTTATCAAGTGTGAGATTAATCGGAGAACAGAGAGCTCAGTGTTACTTTTTTCTCTTTTGTTGACAGGTATGAGCGGTCAAAAAATGGATTTGACTTTGACAAATGATGAATATTATTGCTTTGTAAATATTATCATAGTATTACATGCTGCACTTGTCTTAGTCTTGTTACCGAGTTTGTCTCTGGGTCAGAGGTCAGGATTGGAGCTCAGAACAGGTCTGGGCTCAGTTTTGTAGATGTACGTGTAAAGTCACACTCTAACATTAACCTGCAGGAGTCGGGATATGTTTGTTGATGACCTGCAGCTACATAGAGTCAATTTCAGGTTCTGTCTTTAGGCGGTAATGTCCAACAGCCATTCTCAGTGTAATGATAAACCCGACACCCCCTCCACTCCAGCTCCCGTGGCTCAGTTTTTAATGGCTCAGAGACTTTAAGAGCCGGAAACAGGGTTTTTATTTGCTGTCAGTGCAGTTAGTCTATAAAGTAGATCATTGACTTCAGTGTCATAAATCAGACTCACTGTTACTCACTCAGGTCAGATCTAAATACCCTTAAAGCCGAAAACAACCGTCTGCTGACTCTCCACTGTCTGCCCCTCTTCACTGAGAGTTCCCACTCAAACTCAGAGACTGAAAGGTCACCGCCTACTCAGTGGTCTCACGGTGCTCTTAGTTTGTGGGTGCACAGTCAATAAGGATATACATGCTATTGTGACAGGGTTTTGTCCTCTTCGTCTCTGCGTGGGCGTCACGAGCGCCACAGCACAGACACAGACGGCGGTGGTGATAATGTTAAAGTGGATGTTGGAGCAGGAATGCCGGTGCATGTCTGAACATCATGCTGTGAGATTAGGAAATGTTTTGGATGACAGTATCTGTTCCACTCACTCTGCTTGTTTTCCTCTTGGTAATGCTGCTGGTGTGTTTGGATGGGGTGCGTAAGAGCTTTCCACTACAACGTACAAAGAGAAAATCAGAGATATAGATAAAACAACACAAGATAAATAAAGTTAGGTAATGCTAAATATCTCTGCAGCCTCTCAGATTTTTACACACAATTTCCTGCATCCTGGTGAAGTTGAGTGAAAAAAATTAAAGCAAAGAAGAAGACTTTGGTTAAAAAATGCTGACATGGGCAGTTCACCCTTTATGTAGCATGTAGTTTACATATTATATGCATTAGGGACATATTGTAGCTCATATTGTGAGTTTTATTATATGCCAATCAAAACTTGAGGAGGCATTTTGTGGATGAATTTATTTCTTCTTAAAGCTCCTAAGAGGAATTTTCAGTTTGTGGCGCCCCCTGTGGACAAAGCAGTTACTGCAGATCTTTTCTTCTACATGTTTGTTAAGCTAGTCTGTCCTCTCACTAACTCCTACCCTCTCACTGCGGTTTTAGACGTTAGAATTAAGATTGAAAATGGGTCAAATTTATCGCTGATGGTCTTGTTTGTTTTTGGATGTTATAAAAAGGCCCAAATATGAGTTCCAGTCTGTTTCATAAATGTCAAAAACTCCTCATAGGAGCTTTAACTTAATCTTTTTAGTACAAGGGCTTACATTAGCTTGTAATTGCTGTAGTATTCAAATGGTTTTGAGGACCCTGTACTCCCTTCAGATTGTCTTCACTAAACACAGTATCCAAATTTTCCATCTTTGCCAGTCTGCTCCTGCTCAACCAGTTATTAAAATAGCACTCTTAATTCCAAACAGGAAGTGAGCTCACATATTCAGAAAGGTCATCCAAACAACCTACAAACAACGTATGAGCTAGTGCTGGTTAGCTTGTCTGGATGTCTGTTTTGCCTCCAGTGAAGCCCCGCCCACCAAAACATCTTGATTAAGGAGTCTGATTAAAATTACACTAAATTCTCACAGTCGGTCTCTGTGGTGTGTATGGCTCTAACAGGTCTAAGCGTTCTGCTCCAGTGTTTGCAGGCCAGGAAGCAAAACCCGAACAGACAAAGAAAGAATGTTGAAAAAAGGACAAAACTTTCCCAGCGTGTAAAAATATGAGTCACTGCCGGCTGCACTCTGCAGATTTTATAAGGTGTGTAGATTAATGCGCCTGTTTTCTGGTCTTGTTCGGATAAATAAGCATGTACACTGAATTTACAAGCAGGATGTCAGTCTTCAACTTTTATCGGCTGTAAAAACAGAGTTCCTCTCGTCTTGTTTGGAGGAGCATGTGATGGTTGAACAGTTACGGGACGTTTACAGCCTGTCTGAAATAATCGACACCCTTTGACACCAATCATCTATCTCTGCAGGCAGGACTCTCTCGATATTATGCAGTCAGACTGAGAAATGGCAGCAGCTGAAATACAAACTCTGCTCACATTGTTGTGATGTGTTTGTGTTGGAGGCAGTGCATTATGGGACATTTTACAGCCTGTCTGAGTTATTGAATCCCATTTTAAGACTTGGTATAAGGATGATTGGGGTGACAGTATCTGTCTTGTGTTTGTATCTTTGGACGTGTGGTTAAGAATTGCATTGTGGGACATTTTACAGCCTGTCTGATGTCGTTTTTAAAGAAATCACTCACCGCTAAAGGAAGAAGACTCTATTCTTCTCATTTGACGGGTATAATTTTCCTTCCTCGCGTATTCACAAATTTCAAGTCGTCATTTGGATTGCAGAGCCGGCGCGGCGAGGCCCCGAACGCACTGTGTGATGTTTTGGATGAAAACACTGAGACCCTGTGGGATGACACGCGTCATTCGCCATCACTGTGGCGCTGCCTTCACTTCACTCTGACTGATGAGGGCTGCTGTTGTCTAATAACTCAGGACTCTTGTCAGAAAAAGGAGGGAGGGGGTCTCAGGCTGACACTTGCATGTGTGTGAACGAGGAGGGCTGACAGGAAGGAGCCGGCAGGTCAGGGGGAGGTGATGGTGGCTGTTTGAGTGAAACAGAGAGTAAAGGAGATGTTGGGAATCCGGATTAGCCGGCCTGCTCCTGACTGTTACCGGGAGACTGATTGAATGGAGGGTAGCATGCAGCAGTCTTAGTAAATGAAAGGTATCCACCGCCGCCGCCGAAGCTGCTCTCACCTCCTCTCTGCTCAGCCTGGAGTCTTGAATGGAGCTGTCACAGCGGCTGGTGCCTCCCCGCCTTCACTGCAGGATTGCTTTCTTCCAGTGGGACCAGATGTAACCTACATCTGTCAGGCTTCATTAGCCGTGTCAGTCTGAATCGCTCTGTTCAATTTGACTTACCACAACTGTTTTGTTTTGTTAATCCCCCCTCTTTGGTTCGCACATTTTTGCAATTATGTTTCGCAATTTAAAGTTTCTGGCTCTGACCTTTCAGTGATACTTTAAATTGCAGTTGAACTGTCATTGGGAGTTGAACTGAAGTTGATAAGTCTTTAAGGAGGATTGCAAAATTA